GTCAGCAGATTCCTCTTCCCCGTTTTTTAAGCACTTTGCTACACTTTGCTCGTTTTTATCACTTATTGTATTCCTTTAGCATGTGTTGTATGTTTATATGATTGATTTGAACGATTGTCTATTTCTCATGCTGATTATGTCATCTTCATAAGAGAGTCATTTAAATATTTTTATTTTATAGAAATATTATGATATTTGATAATCACTTAAGGCCACACCAGGAATTCTTAAGTTCTGCCAGCTTCTTTATTTTATTAGAATTTATTTTACGATTCTTATTTTTTTATGATTTCGCATATTACATTGGCGAAATATATGCAGAATGAATCTTACAATCATCACATATCCAACGAATGGATGTTCTGTTTATATTTCAGCCGAGTGACAGAAAAATTTTAATTATTTATTGAACAAATTCCTTTGCTATGTGATAAAATACGTCTTAAATTAAGAATAAAAACAAGGCACATGAAAATATTGTGAAATTTCAATATTTAAACAGCAAAATTTTTACGTCCGTATCGATACTCAGCTCAACGAATAACTAAACTAAGTAGATGAATGAATGAATGAAATATTTGTGAATGATCAAAGCATTGCTTGCTGAAAGAGAGATTAAGCATTCAACATTCTTGGAGAGAGAAAAACATTTGTGAGAGAATAAACATTAACAGTGATAAACCGGCAAGTGATGTGCGTGCTGAGTAGTGTCTGAACATGATTATGAACTGATAAAAGAATTCTAGTTGATTAGAAATTTTTAAAATGTTTTGGTGAGGATTAGATTGAGTTTGACTTGAACAACTTAAGAAATATGATTTCAATTGAAATTGGTAGTACTGGGGGTCCTCCATTTGAGTAGTTGCTTTGTTCCAAAAATTTTCTACTCAAATCGAATCTATTCAAATCAAAGTAAGGAATCCATACAAAATCACATGTTTTGTTCCAGAGTCTAAAAAAAGTTTCAAAACAATATAAATTTTTATAATTTTCTGCACATTTTAACTCGTTTCTTAACTTTTCTTTTTTAAGATAACTTAATTTATTATAAAGCATATTCATATGTAATTTTAACAGAAATTCACAAAAAATATGTTTTTTCAACAAATCAAAAAAATGAGAACCTTACAAATGTTATTTCAACCGAACAATTTGTAAGGTTTTGAAATTTGAACTTTTATTCTGTTACTATTATATCGATTTTGTAAACTTTTACATTAACTTGTAATTTTATTATAGATTTTTCCAGAGATCGAAGCCGATTTATTCGGCTTAACTCAACTTTGAAAATAGCCTACCATGATCGAAACCAAAAATGCTTTAAATTGCATTTTAAAACATATCTAGGAATTATAAATGATTAAGAATGCTAATATAGATATAAAATCGATATTTTTTTTGAAAATAGCCTACTATGATCGAAACCAAAAATGCTTTAAATTGCAACTTAAAACATATCTAGGTATTATAAATGATAAAGAATGCTAATATAGATATAAAATCGATATTTTTTTGAAAAAAGCCTACTATGATCAAAACCAAAAATGCTTTAAATTGCATTTTAAAACATATCTAGGTATTATAAATGATTAAGAATGCTAATATAGATATAAAATCGATATTTTTTTTGAAAATAGCCTACTATGATCAAAACCAAAAATGCTTTAAATTGCATTTTAAAACATATCTAGGTATTATAAATGATGAAAAATGCTAATATAGATATAAAATCGATATTTTTTTTGAAAATAGCCTACTATGATCAAAATCAAAAATGCTTTAAATTGCATTTTAAAACATATCTAGGTATTATAAATGATTAAGAATGCTAATTTAGATATAAAATCGATATTTTTTTTGAAAATAGCCTACTATGATCAAAACCAAAAATGCTTTAAATTGCATTTTAAAACTTATCTAAGTATTATAAATGATAAAGAATGCTAATATAGATATAAAATCGATATTTTTTTTGAAAATAGCCTACTATGATCAAAATCAAAAATGCTTTAAATTGCATTTTAAAACATATCTAGGTATTATAAATGATAAAGAATGCTAAATAGATATAAAATCGATATTTTTTTTGAAAATAGCCTACTATGATCAAAACCAAAAATGCTTTCAATTGCATTTTAAAACATATCTAGGTATTATAAATGATGAAAAATGCTAATATAGATATAAAATCGATATTTTTTTTGAAAATAGCCTACTATGATCAAAATCAAAAATGCTTTAAATTGCATTTTAAAACATATCTAGGTATTATAAATGATTAAGAATGCTAATTTAGATATAAAATCGATATTTTTTTTGAAAATAGCCTACTATGATCAAAACCAAAAATGCTTTAAATTGCATTTTAAAACTTATCTAGGTATTATAAATGATAAAGAATGCTAATATAGATATAAAATCGATATTTTTTTTGAAAATAGCCTACTATGATCGAAATCAAAAATGCTTTAAATTGCATTTTAAAACTTATCTAGGTATTATAAATGATTAAGAATGCTAATATAGATATAAAATCGATATTTTTTTGAAAAAAGTTTACTATGATAGAAACCAAAAATGCTTTAAATTGCATTTTAAAACAAATCTAGGTATTATAAATGATGAAAAAAGCTAATATAGATATAAAATCGATATTTTTTTTGAAAATAGCCTACTATGATCAAAACCAAAAATGCTTTAAATTGCATTTTAAAACTTATCTAGGTATTATAAATGATAAAGAATGCTAATATAGATATAAAATCGATATTTTTTTGAAAAAAGCCTACTATGATCAAAACCAAAAATGCTTTAAATTGCATTTTAAAACTTATCTAGGTATTATAAATGATAAAGAATGCTAATATAGATATAAAATCGATATTTTTTTTGAAAATAGCCTACTATGATCGAAATCAAAAATGCTTTAAATTGCATTTTAAAACTTATCTAGGTATTATAAATGATGAAAAAAGCTAATATAGATATAAAATCGATATTTTTTTTGAAAATAGCCTACTATGATCAAAACCAAAAATGCTTTAAATTGCATTTTAAAACTTATCTAGGTATTATAAATGATAAAGAATGCTAATATAGATATAAAATCGATATTTTTTTGAAAAAAGCCTACTATGATCAAAACCAAAAATGCTTTAAATTGCATTTTAAAACTTATCTAGGTATTATAAATGATAAAGAATGCTAATATAGATATAAAATCGATATTTTTTTGAAAAAAGCCTACTATGATCAAAACCAAAAATGCTTTAAATTGCATTTTAAAACTTATCTAGGTATTATAAATGATAAAGAATGCTAATATAGATATAAAATCGATATTTTTTTTGAAAATAGCCTACTATGATCAAAACCAAAAATGCTTTAAATTGCATTTTAAAACTTATCTAGGTATTATAAATGATATAGAATGCTAATATAGATATAAAATCAATATTTTTTTTGAAAATAGCCTACTATGATCAAAACCAAAAATGCTTTAAATTGCATTTTAAAACTTATCTAGGTATTATAAATGATGAAAAATGCTAATATAGATATAAAATCGATATTTTTTTGAAAAAAGCCTACCATGATCAAAATCAAAAATGCTTTAATTTGCATTTTAAAACATATCTAGGTATTATAAATGATTAAGAATGCTAATATAGATATAAAATCGATATTTTTTTTGAAAATAGCCTACTATGATAGGAATCAAAAATGCTTTAAATTGCATTTTAAAACATATCTAGGTATTATAAATGATAAAGAATGCTAACATAGATATAAAATCGATATTTTTTTGAAAAAAGCCTACTATGATCAAAATCAAAAATGCTTTAAATTGCATTTTAAAACTTATCTAGGTATTATAAATGATTAAGAATGCTAATATAGATATAAAATCGATATTTTTTTTTTGAAAATAGCCTACTATGATCAAAACCAAAAATGCTTCAAATCGCATTTTAAAACAATTCAAGGAATTGTACGGTTATCACCTGTACACACGTGCCTGTATCACAACCCTTGGTAGTAATGGATACCAGCTCATCCTTTAGAACAGATTTAAACCTAATCCTTATTGCTGACATTGACAGATTGGTTAATTTTTAAAATATTCGCAACAATAATTGCAAATCAGGGCAGAATACTTTGGTGCCGTCATTTTCAAGTTATAGTTTTTAGTAGGGATAGGCCTATACCAAAATACACAAGCCTGATTTGCTGGGTTTATATAAAAAAATTAAAATTAACCAATTTGTCTACTTTAGGTAATTAAGAATGCATGGAATTATTTTGGTAACTTGAATCTAATGTTTTTTAGCCCCACAAACCCAATGTTGCATGTTTCAATGTCTCAACTGATCTTGTGCAAACAAGAAAATGTTAATCTGAGCCTATAAATCGAATGAGAAAATTAAATACATGTCAACTTTTCTATTTCTCTCTAAACAACTTGACTTTTATCATTCTTACCATTCGTTGCAACTTGTATTTACCAAAATAGGATAAAGATTGATTTGAGTTAGACTTTTTAAAAGGAGTGTGTATAAATAACAAGACACGATATAAGAAAAGAAACCGTAATTCTCGCTGCATTAATGATTAAACTTATGTCTAAATAGAAATTCTACTTTTAGTAACGAATGGTATAATTTAGAGAATCAATGGATCCTGCATGCGTTACTTTGTTTCCGAAAAGAGCAGCAGCCTATAATTTAAGCCTGAATAATCTTTAAAACATTGATTAATTTGTGTAAAGCAAAATATACTCGAATGGAATGACTGCATAAATGCCTAGTTTGCGTAGGCTGAACGTACTGAATTTGTTTGTATCTCCTTCAATAAAATGCTTGTTTTTTCGATAAAAATTAATTTTAATGTTGGTGCTGATTTATTAAACTGCTTTTGACACAGTTTGGTAGCTACCTTCAGTTGTGGACTAATTAAAATATCACTGTGATAATATTAATAAGATTTTATTCTGTGTATGACGGCATTTTTTCTTCAGATAGAAAAAATATAACATTTTGAAGAAATCATCTATTGTAGCTTAATTAACTTAAGTGTAAACGTGATTCGTTGGTTGCTTAATCAATTGGATTCTGCGATAATTTGCCATTTGAGTCTTTTGATCCTCAGTGATATTATTATCCATGTTCTGATATTCGATTGTTTTAATTTCAGGACAATGAGAAGCAGCACAAAATGTTCTCCAATATAGCGAGTACACTTTTAAGTGCTTGAGATTCTTTAACTTCATAATCATTCTGGCATGATTTATATTTGTCCAATACGCACTCATAATGAAATTCTTAATAGATGTGTTTTGAGGAAAATCTATAGCCCTGATGTTATTAAAAACTCCATGTCGAATATGAAATGTATGCAGTTTTGGAAACGCTGATAAGATCAGAACAATTTCATCTAAATGAACTCTGTTTAGTTTAATAACTTTCAAAGTTGATTGATGATTTTGCAAAATATTCATACCAGGAACAGTTTCAAAGCTTTGGAAATCAGCTTCTTCAAGTCTAAAATGGCATTCTGATAGATCCAAATATTCAAACAACTTGAGCTGATTAACAGTCAGTAACTTCAAGTTTCGCATATTTGTGAGTGCTTTCTGAACAATCTTTATAGATATTTCGTCTATAGCTATTGGACTTACTATACTCAATTTTTTTACATCAGTGCACTTTGTCATTAATCCATTCGAATAAAAGTAATTTGCGTTTTTGGTGTAATAATTCCAATTTGTGTTGTTAAATTCAAGTTCCTTTAATTTTGGGAGCGAACAGATGCGCTGGAAGTCATGAGACGTTTCTAAAGTTACGATTGTATCAGCAAACTTCTTTAGAATACTTCGGATATTCTCCTCAATTTTAGAATCCCTTATATAATAAGTACGTTGAAATCCAAGTTTAATGTTCTGATATTTACGGTTACTCAATAATAATATATTAAGATCTTTACGGCGATTATAATTTGTGTACTTTGCTGCTATTTTCTTCATACATTCTTTGGACTGTCCAAACATTTGATACCATCTTTTGCAGACTATTGATGAATTCAAGACATCCTTGCCACTCAAATATGTTGCGATTTCATTGAAAGCATCTTCAGGTAATGCGCTCAAAAGATCCATTGCTTCCTTTTTTGATAACAGAAGAATTTCTGTGAAAATCAATTTTTTTTTTGTGTTTATTATGTGAAATTGTAGATTTAAATATGTTCTTCACTTACCTGGTAATCTTATCAAATCTATTGATGTATTAAACTGTCTTATGGCATCGAATTCAATGCACAAGCTTATTAAATTATTAATTATATAAAGATAATTTTTTTTAAACTCCAATATTTTTTTATTAACGGCATTTGAGAACGATCCCTAAGTTTTGAAGCTATTATTTCTTAAATTTTAAAAAAATACGTTATAAATTTTCATTCAGGTCAGATAAATTTGGTAATTGATGCAAAACAGAATTAAGTCCCTAATTGAAAAATTCAGTTTCTTTATTCACTCTTATTATTACGATTCTTTATAAAAATAACTTCAGTATCGATTCAAGATTAATGGAACCTGAATAAACTTAATTTTCTCTTCGGATCATCTGTAATATCAACAGATCTCTCATAATATACAGTAGTAAGTGATTTACAAGCAAACAATGAAGGCATATATTGAGAACGAAGTATGCTGAATATGACATGCTGAAGATTTTTTCAATTTAGTATATGATGTAGAAATTCTTAATAGAAAAGAATAGAATTCTTAAAAGAATTTGTAATTCAAATTTACCAAAGTTCAATTAAGAACTTAATTTATAATTAATATATAGATAATAATAATAATAATGTGTGAAGGGCCCAGCCTTTCAGCTGGAGGCACTGCGATTCAAAATAGAACAGAATCTATTGTACCACACCCTTTTTAGACCTACAGTTTATAGTGGGATCCGAACCACTTGCAAGCTCTGCACATTGCAAAGACACGAGTACATCATAATACTTGATGTACGCTGCAATTAACCTAGTCACAATTCGTGTGCGCAAGATGCCGTAAGGAAATCATCCAGATGCTAGTATATCCTTGTATACCTAGCAAAGGATGCAGATTCTGTGCCAAAGACCTTATTACTACACCCAACACACGAACCGAGCTTCGTAACTAGAACGGTGAAATGGAAAAAGAGCTTCGAAAATTAGACATGGCCTGGGATTGAACCCAGGACCTTTGGCACGTAAGGCCAACGCTATACCATTAAGGCCACTGATGCCATTTCACCGCTTAATATATAGATACATAGCTATGATTCTTTATTCATTTAAAATTTCTTTACATAAATGATTGATCATAAAATAATGATTCACAAGGATCCTCAATTGTGACTAGCCATTAATGATGATTTTCTAATAAAATTAACAAAATTAATAAAATAGAAAAATGCTTGCTTATATGCAGCTAAAAGGATTGGAAATAAACTTGATTCGACCGTTATTTCTAATGTACTCATGTTGATTTGGTGGAGTATATTTACTTAAAAAGCAATATTCGACTTTTCTGAGTAATGAGCAGGCAGGAAGGACGTTAATGAATCGTATATGCAATAAATGAACTTTCAGTTCCTTCAAATTTTGACAATAGACGAGCATTTCTGAAAGTTTTTGACGCATATTAGACGATTGTACTGAACAAGCGATAATCATCTTCTTTAAGGCTGTATTTGATGGCATATTTACATTCAAGTTCTTAGAATGGTTACTGATGTGGCGAATATGGAATGTATGTAATTTTGGAAATTCTGACAAGAAAAATACAACATCCTCAAGCCTCAATTTGTCAACCCGAACAACTTTAAGAGATGATCGATGAATTATTAAGAAATCATAAATTTTATCAATTTTAGTCCAGAATGAATGACGATATCCAGTAAGATCGAGTTCTTCAAGCTTAAAGTAAAAGTCAGTAGCTTGCAGTTGTTGTAAGACATCTAGTTGATTGACTGTCAATGACTTTAACTTATTCATGTTTTTAATTGATTCAACAAGAAGTTTTTGCGATCTAATATCTAGTTCTCCGCATCGTATGTCCAATTTCTTAAGATCGGTGCTCTTTGTCAACAATCCATTTTTGGTGAAATAATTGGCGAATCTTTTATTTCTCAAGAACAAAAAGTTTTTAAATGTCAATTCCTTTAAGGCTGGCAAATCACAGATTCGTTGGAAGTCATGTGATGTCTCTAAAGTTACTATCGATTTAGAGAATTTCTTTAAAATTTCTCGGATGTTTACTTCAACGCCTGATTCCTTTATACGACTTTGATGAAATCCAATAATCAAGTTCTGATACATCCGTCCACTTTTCAGAAACGAGCTTAAATCATTTTTGCAGTTGGGGTTACTGTATCTTGCAGATATTTTGTCCATACACTTTTTTGATTGACCAAACATTTCATACCATCCTTTGCTAACTAGTGATGCTGTTAAGACATCTTTAGCACTTAAATTTGTTGATACTTCAGTGAAAATGTCCTCAGGTAATGCGCTTAATAAATCCATTCCTCTATTTTCTGTGAATATTTTTTTAAAAATTTAAGATTTACTCATTTTCCTTTAAATAATTTATATTACTTCACTTACATCTTATAGACGATAGATTTATGTATGTATTTTGCTGCTTTGTAGTTATGAACTTGTAGATTAAACTAATTTAATTGAAATTTTCTTTTAAATAGACATTTTTCACTCAATTTTATTTTGATTTTTGCAACGGAAATCAAAATTTTAAAAATTACTTTAAATTAAAACAGTAAAAATCAAACTTGAAAAAGACGGTTAAAAATTTGATTCCAAATTAATGCGAAGCATAAAGTCATTCAGTTAAATTATTCCCATCTCATTTCTTTAATTCCATTTTCGATTAAATAAAATCAACAGCAAAGGAAAACTGACAATACATGAAATGAAAAGAGAATAAACCGCATAAAAAATAATGTTGTAAGCAGAGCTGCTCATTGAGTCAAATGGTATTTAAATAAAAGACCAAATATACTGACCACAGGCAACTGCTCTGGGATAAAAGAAGGAAGGAAAAAAATGTGAGGATGCCGAAATGAAATCATGTGTGTAATACTGCCGTTTTTGAAGACAATCGTCAATCTTCTCTTTTGGTCATCATTCTCCTTTCAACATTATTTTAATACATGTCGAGAGTTACGGAGTGGATAAGCGAAATAAAAGAATTTTTGAAAAATAAACAAACTTTTGCAAAGAAGAAGAAATTAGTGATACAGTCGCAGATAGTTGTGAACGGGTGATTAAGGCGATTTTTCTTGTCTTGTACAAAATGATCAAAAATCGTTAAAAGTGGTTGGAAGCATGTTATGAACTTACTGTTACATGCTAGCAGCTTGGGTATTTTTTGTGTGCTAAAAGTGGGCATTCTTCATGAATTGGATGATTCTATAGAGAAGCTGTACATATGTGAATTTTCAAGAGACTTGTTAAAAACGATTTTTGAGATTAATAGTATAACGGATTAGTGAAATTCAAATTTTATGAATTTATAATGGAAGATAATATAGAGGTGGTGGAAATTTTTAACAGGTTGCACTCATATAAAATACAAAAATCATTAATTAAAGCATAATTTCTATGTTTTAAACTGTTTAACTATGCATGCGCACAATAACTCGATGGAATAAAGCTTATAAAATAAGCCTGAGTTCTCAACTTATAGTTAAAAAACTTTTATCGTCAGCCGAAAGAACAAACAAAGTGAGTTATTAAGCTGCATTTTTACACAATTTATTTTCAAAGAAGTGCTATAAAGTCAACTTGTAGATTCTCCCGTAAACAAAAAAGTTATAGAAATGAATAAAATAATATTAGAAAGAGTTATATTAAGAAAGTGTATTTTAAATACATCATTAGTTGTGACACAACATCCACAGAACTATAATAATCATAATGGACTAGTTGGTATGAGAAATCATCAGCAAATAAGAAATTATTCTCCAGGTATTTGGGATTCAATTTCGCAAAGCGCACCGGTGAATTATCTTCAAGAAATTACTATTAAACTACATGATACTTGTGGACTTCCATGGTGGTCTACAATAATTCTATCAACGATTATATTAAGAGGAGCTATTACTTTTCCATTGGCTCTATATCAAAACAAAATATTAGCTAAAGTTGAAAAGCTTTCAACAGAGGACATGCCAAAAATTGCAAAAGAGCTCAAGTTCGAAACAGCAGTTGCTGTCAAAAAATTTAAATGGACAGAGCAGCAGGCAAGAGTTATGTATTTAAAGTCCTTAAATAAGCAATGGAAGCAATTGATTGTCAAAGAAAACTGTCATCCGATGAAAAGTGCAGTCGTTCTTATTGTTCAATTGCCGCTATGGATTTGCCAATCAATGGCACTTAGAAATTTAATATTTATGCAACCAGATCCTTCGCTTTTAAAGGCACAAATAGTTTGTGCAGAAATGACTTTAGGTGGATTCAGCTGGATTCCAAACTTAACAGAAGTAGATCATTCATACATTTTACCAGTCACATTAGGAGTTTTGAACTTGGCAATTTTAGAGGTAATTTGGTAAAGTCTTGGATGAATAGAAATGAATGAATTAATTAACATTATCCTTTCACAGATTCAAGTCATGAGCAGGAAAATTCAAACGAGTGGTAAACTCCAAAAATATGGGCAATATTTCTTTAGAGGAGTTAGCATTTTGATGATACCTATTGCTGCATTCGTACCTTCTGGTCTTGCATTATACTGGGTCGCATCAAGTTCATTTGGGTTAATACAAAACTTACTCATTTTACATCCAAAAATAAGACGCTTAGCAAGAATACCCATAGTAAATAGTGAACATGAGCGGCCTTATAAGCATATAGTCGAAAAAATTAGAGAAAGAATGAAGAAATGATAATTTGTTAAAATGATAAATATTAATAAAATAACGATTTATAGAAATTCAAAATCAAGATAAGATTCAAATTCAAAAACCTTACAAATTCTTCAAAATGCTTCAAAACCTTTGAAATTGCATTAAAACCATACAATTTATTTATTTCAACATTTGTAAGGTTTCCACACAAATATAGCATTAACAGTCAAATAGTAAGCAATCACCCAAAGTGAACCAACATCAGCACATTGATAAAAATTAAGATACACGCAAAATTCATCTTTGCTTCGTGGTTAATGATTAAAGATTCTCGGAAATGAAAAAAGACGAAACAGAACTAAAAAGATTTGGTTTTTGGTAACCAAACAAACGCAAAACGGAGACGAATGGAAGAGAGAACAATTGAATGCAAAAATTGAAATGCATTGAATTTATGTATTTATTTTTTTGACTTTATTTTTTTATTTTTGGATGTAAGCAGCAAAATGAATTAAACATTTTTATTTTAAACGGATTCATGTCATTGAATGTAAATCTTCTATCAATCAAAAATCGTTATTTACCTTGCTCTCAAATTATAATTTTTAATCAGCGATTTCTTGTTTAATTTCAGCAACTTGCTTTAATGTTTCGAGTTCAAATTCACTGGATGAAAGTGTGCTTCTTATCTCATGCAGTAAAATCATATCCGATCGAAGATCATTAAATGCTGTACAAATTTCTTCTGTAGCTGGTGGATTTTGATCAACTTTAAATTCTGAGAGAATCTGTTCCAATGCTTTTGTTCTTTTCTGTCCAAAATTTGCTGGTAATTTCATCTTTTGTGAACGCATAGCAATCCCAGTTCCTTTATTAACGCCTTCACCAAATCGAATGGCTGCTGTTTCCATTGATGTCACTACATCAGCTTTATTAATCTTTTGCTGTACTGGAACTTTCTTACGATTCAGTTTCTTCTCTTGTTTCCTTGCTTGTGGTGTCGTTAATGTTGCCTGTTCATCCTGTTTATCAGCTTGTGAGATTAATTTCTGTAAATCTTGAGTTTTCTTTTCTCGTTCTTTTTTGCGGGCTTCAATTTTACGCATTTCATTCTGTAACATTGTTTCCTCTTCAATCTGTGCCTGTGTTCGATCAAAAAGCTTCTTTAATTGCTCTTTTCGCTTCCTTTCATGTTCAGCATCAAATACATAAATTTTCTTCTCGTTATTTGCTGCTCCTTGCCTTATTTTCTGAAGAGTTCCAATCACTTCATAATATCGTTCCTTTAAATCTTCAACTGTCTTGATTCCGTACTTGTCGCGATCCCATCTATCAGTCATTGTTACGAATCGTGTATCAAATCGTTGTGCTAATTCAAAAAGGTAGTCTGTCTGTGACTTGTTCCATTTTGTATTCATTCTTAGATGTGTATTATATTCATTTAAATTATATGTAGGAATACTGAGTTGACGATTAAGTTTTGCAAAAGGATATTCTTTTGGTTCGTCACTAGCTCGCTGCCAATGACAGAATTGAACGCCGTCTGAGCGTGCTGCATTTGTAAATCTTGTCCATTCCCATTTACGGACCTTTTTCATTCCCAATCGTGCCTTATTTTGCTTATATCCAAGGCCTGTATGAAAGATTTTCAATCTTACTGGATGTTTTCTTAATTTTATTGATTTGTTTTACCTGAATCTGTTGGAAGTAGCGGAGGAGCATCTTTACTATCTTTATAGAGCAAAGCAAATACTTCTCTGTGCATGCCTTCAGGTCTTCTTGACATTCTTGTTCTGTAAGTTAAACATTTCGTTATTTTTACCGGATAATTTGCATTTTTCAATCATACTTCTCATTAGCTCCTTTCTTTTTCGTCATTAACGATTCTTTCGTGAGCTCCGGAGTCGGTGGTTGCTCAATATTGAGAATTTCTCTAAACATATCCCCCATTTTCACTATAATTAATGATTTTTCACTTGTTCAAATAATTATTTCTGCTAAAATTTGGTTTGTAAACAAAAAACAAGTAAACAAATTTTATACATGATCCAAAAAGCGCATCATGAATACAGACAGACAAAATAAATAAACTAGCATGTCAATTTCAAAACATCTGATGAATTAGAAAGGTTTTTATCAAGCAGATTGCATACACGTGAAGTAAACAAAAAAATAAAATTAAACTAATCTTTGATTATGGCTGAATTAACATTTAAAGGAAGTAACTATTTGAAACAGAAGCTCATATTAGCTACAATCTCAGGAAAGGCAACAAAAATCACCGACATTAGAAGCAGTAATGGTGGATTACAAGAATTTGAAATAAATTTAATTAGATTGATTGATAAATTGACTGATGGATCAAAAATTAAGCTTCATGCAACAGAATTAGAGTATATTCCAGGTATTTTACTTGGTGGGAAAATAGAGCATCAATGTTGTCTCGATAAAAGCATCGGTAAGTTAATTTAAAACATCCAGTGAACGAAAAACTTAATTAAAAACAATTATATTAGGATATTATTTGGACGTGCTGATTGCTTTTGGTCCATTTTGCAAGCATCCGATCGAAGCGAACTTGAAAGGAGTAACAAACAGTCCAGATAGTCCATCAGTTGATCATTATAAATGTTCTGCATTTAACATAATGAAGAGATTTATAATTGAGGTAGAATCATTTGAATTAAAAGTGTTGAAAAGAGGCATGAAGCCACTGGGTGGTGGTGAAATATTGTTCAAAATTAAGCCAGTCATGAAACTAAGAACATTACAGATTGAGAATTCAGGAATGGTAAAGAGAATTAGAGGAATTGTTTATGCCTGTAAAGTGTCACCATCATTCGCAAACAGAACTGTTGAATCAGCCAAAGGTACGATGCTTAACTTCCTGCCAGACGTTTATATCCACACGGATCAGAATAAAGGAAAATTAAGTGGCTTATCGCCTGGATTTGGTGTAAATTTATCAGCAGAAACAACCGAAAATGTGATTTATGCAGCAGAAGTTGTATCAAATGTTCAAGGAACGCTGCCTGAAGACATTGGAAGAGAATGTGCAAATAAATTACTTGATGAAATCTATCGTGGAGGTTGTTGCGACTCAACATTCCAATGGATAATGATTCTTTATATGGCTTTAAGTCCAAAAAATGTCTCGAAAGCAGTCATTGGTCCGTTGTCGCAGTACAGCATCAAGTTTCTTCAATTATTGAAAGAATTCTTAGGAATAACATTTAAATTAGACACTTATGAAGAAGAAGAAGACGAAGAAGAAACAGATGACAATATGAGGAGCCCTAAAGTCGTGTTAGCTTGCGTAGGTGTTGGATATAGCAATTTAGCTAGACGAGTTTTGTAAATAATATCAACGGCTTTTTGAAATTTGAATAAATTTTTGTATTTTTTAACTGAACACATCCAGAGCTTCTCAATATTTTTTGGATATAAGGCACAGCTAGACGATTGACATAGAATATCTATAGGTAAGCAGAGCACATTATATCTGAGTGCCGTATCACAAAATTTAAGAAGCTCTAAACTTAGCGCTCTTCGAAGAATCCAAAAATATTTTATCCAATTTCGGTTTATTTAAATAATTAAGAATCGGACATAAAGTTAATAGTATTGTACTTAAAGTGATGAATCGTTTATGATCAAAGTGAGCTAGCCATATGTTTTGATCAAAAAACAAGCAGAACAATAAATCCAAAAATAAAATAGGTGTTTTTTTAAAATAAGGAACATAAATTAATTAATTAAACTGTATGAATATAGCAAGGATTATGTATTAAATCAATTAAAGTTTATGCAAAGATAGTGAATAATTGGAAAGGAAATATATACGGCTGCTTATCTGATATCACGAAGAATTGCAAAAAAGGTAATCAAAACAAGTTGCGACAAAAATAATTTTTGAGCATAAATCCATTTAAATCGTGAATATCACACTCTTATTATTAGCTAACTTGATACACAAAACGTGTGTTTTATGCCGAACTTTATTTTTAGCATTTATGTAGTATATGACACTAGATATGCTTTCTCGTCTGTGTTATACCTACTCTTTAAAATGCAAAAAAAAAAGAATGAGACGAAGAAGAAGTCCTAAAAATAGTCATTAAACTGTATATCCAATAATCATCACAGATATATTGCAATGATGAATTTTCATTCCAAATAAACAGTCCGAAAAGAGTTTACTTTCTCTGGATTGTGCAACATGTGAATAATATTTATTAATATCATAATAGATGAGTGAGTTACTGTGTCGTAATGCGGTAGCGGCAAAGAGTTGAAAATGATTGAATAATTAATTAAAATGTTCAATACGTCGTAACCTTGTCAGTGAAAAAGTTTCTTCTACATTCGTTTTCTAATCAATGTTTCGCGATATCGTGACTTGTCACGATATACTATCTTTATATCTAAGCCCAAATCACAGCATTACATTGTTCCAAGATATATAGATGTGCTCATACAAAAATATCGCAGTTTTTAAACGTCAAAAATTTGAATTTTCTAAAAACACTAACACTATAAAAGAAAATTTTCAATTTTTGTTTTGCAAAATTTTCAACTTTCTGTTAAGTTTTGTTGATACAGGAGTATTGCAAATGCTTTGCTATAATTTAAAGAAACTGACTTAAGACAAATGTTGTTGCATCTGTCAATATTTAAATGAAAACTTGAAAATAGAAAATTTTAAAAATTTTTGTTTGTATAAGTACACAAAAAATAGTATGGTCGAGTATGGTCAAGTATACTCTGTATGAGCTCATCTATATATCTTGCATTGTTCAAGGCTTTATTTACGAGTACTGGGGGTCCTCGATTTGAGTAGTTGTTTTGTTCCAAAAAATTTCTACTCAAATCGAGGCAAAGAATCCATACAAAATCACATTTTTTGTTCCAGAATCCAAAAAATGTATCAAAACAATGAAAAATCTTGATCATTTTTTGCACATTTTACCTCGTTTCTTAACTTTTCCTTTGTGTTTTAGATAACTTAATTTGTTTCAACGCATATTCATATTGTTTTTAAATGGAAATTCACAAAAAATATGTTTTTGAAACAAAACAAAAATATGAGAACCTTGCAAATGTTATTTCACTGAATAATTTGTAAGGTTTTTGAAATTGAACTTTTTAGAACCGTTAATTTTATATAGATTTTTAAATTTTTACTTTAATTTTGTAACTTTAGTATTGATTTTTCTATCAATATGATAAGTTCACGCTTATCGCAGTAAAATTTATGTTTTAAAATTATTTTCTGAAATTTTTCTATCAAAAATATTTGTTTTGTAAACATTTCAAATCGAAGAAAACAGGAAGAAATCTACTCAAATCGAATATTTTGGTGAGTAAAAAACTTTCTGTTCAAATCGAATCTACTCAAATCGAGGTCCTCAGTATTGTTAAATTGTATTGAACGAGCTTTTAACGGACGTTATTTAAATTTTATGGTAAACTTGACTCACTTACCCAATCAAAAGAATTTCATTTCTTCTCAATTCTACGTATTTAAAAGGTTTTACACAAAGTTAATGATACAATTTTAAGATGCTAGACATCCAGCTATGCTTTACTAGTCATTTTAGTTGCTTAAACTTCGTTTTAAACGTTAATTTTGATTATTATTAAGATTCTTAAAATTTTTGTTTGCATTGGTAACTTAACGAAAAAAAAATTCAAATTTATAAAAACCGTTAAAATATTAAAAAATCTTTCATATATGAATATCCATTAAGCAATTTGAATTATTACTGGTTTTAAATACAGTCAGTAAGCATCTAAACGTCACTCAAATAAACTTCACCACAAACCTCGAGTGAATTAACTTCGTCGAAGGTGTAAATTGTAATTTGTTATGCATCAAACTTTGCTATCAGTAATAACATTGAAAAGAAGCATAAAGGCACTTGACACAACAGAATAAAATGAATGCTTTACATGTTCCAAAAAGCAAGCAAAAATGTTCGTGTCGATGTCAAATATCTCAATATTTACGTCCATAAGAAATGAGTTGAGGCATGTATTGTTTGATGTTTAGTTCTTTTATGTATTTTTCAAGTTCAGGGCTTGTTGATTTTTCATTTTTTTCCACCCCCATGTTTTTATATCTTTTTTGGATATAAAATCGATTTCACGTGTACTTTATATTTTCAATATAAATGCATTTTGCCTATAAAGTCGTGTTGATGATAAAAAATGAAAATGAAAAAAAAAAGATCGTAATTGATTTCCATAATTGTTGTAGTCGATTGAAAAACTCGTGGCAATTTAATCGAAATGTTTACCGCCATAATAATTCATCAATTTGAAGTATTTGACACACATTAAAGCAAACTAAGCAGTGCTTGCGATGTGGCATAACGAAATCGTAAAATATGGATTCACTTTTAAACCATTTTGATGCGCTTGAATTTGCAATTTATATTGCTTATTTTATTTTTGGAAGCTTTTTTCGTTGAATTGTGTGCTTGAAAGTCTGCATTTGATGACACTTGATACTCAAAATGTGTTTTTTAATAGCTGGCTAGCTGGCATGTTGACGATGAGCAGGCACAACATAGAACTTTTTTATTCGTTAAATAAATTTACTTATTTCATTAAAACCTTACAAATGCCTTGAAAATATTTCAAACCATACAAATGTTTTAAACTGTTGTAAGGTTTTCAAACACTTTTTTGTAATTTTTATTGTTCTAAAATTTGAATTTCAAATAACAATCACTTCAGTTTCCGAATTCCGCATATTCTTAAGTCAAAAATTTTTATACTGATTTAAACAAAGTTGAAAGTTTTTATTTTTCTTTTTTGCAAGAAAGTAAATTTTTCAATATATTCTTAATGTAAAAAGTGGAAAAAAAGTTTTCCCTCTTTGGTACTGCCTAGCACAAAGTATAAAAAGTATTATAAAGGAACAGAAAATAGCTTAACAATCAGAGAAAAAAAAGTATATATTGGGTAATTCCGTTGATAATGAAGCTTTTGCTATAAATGAAAATTAATGCTTAGATCATAAATAAAAATTTTCCATTCAAATTAAAACATGTTTGAAATTAAAGAATGACTCGAGAATAAATACCGAGAATTCGATTCCTTGGAATTTCGCCATATTTTATAAATTAACGATCGCATTGCACAGCGAGAGATTTTAGCTTGCCTCTCCACATTCCATTCCCGTGAGAGCGAAGAGAAAATGCAACTTTAAAATGCGCGGATTCGAACCTAATGAGATTCATTCGTCATTTTCTCTTCGTGCTGATCAGAAGTATTTTTCTAAACCTCTTCTACACATACAGTCTTAATATTAGTGTATATAATAAGCAGGCATACAGATAGACGCTTTTTTTTCGGTGAGTGTGTCAAAATAAAAATAAAAAAAAAGTTATTTTATCAAATTTAAAAATGTTTGTTTAAAAGCTGAATGAAATAAATAAATTTTTTTGAGTAATTCTCTTTAATTTACGTTTAAAAATATTGATAATCGCTATTGGAAGTAAGTTAGCGCTTCTATATAAATAGAATTAAAAAAATTTTTATGCAAGATAGAAAGAGATGAAAAAAAAAACGTGGGGTTTTGAATACACAAACTCACAACCTCATTTTTCATACATTCGCACTTTTTTTTTTGGTGTTTTGAAAAACGAGTTTTTTTTTTGTCGGTGCTTATGCAAAAAACTCAACATGCATAATTCCTTGAATTTTAAAAAATTCTAACCGTGACATACATTTTGCAGGTTAGAAAATTATTTGTTGAGGATTTGAAGTTGTGACGCGTTTTGTACTTTTTTTTATTCCACGTGATTATTTAAAATTTATAATGTAGACTTGTATTAGTTTTTGTCTCTATTTAAATATTATATTATTAATTTTTTTCTAATTGCTGCAATTTATTTCAATAAATCATGAAAGAAACAAGTTGGATGTTATTGAGATCAAACTTAATTATCTTTCTTTTCCGGAATAAGATCGCGTGAATGCTTTAATTAAAGTTTTTCTTTTAAATAAAATTATACTTTATTTTATTCAATTTTTTAAAGTTTGAATTGAGCTTCATTTGTTTCTTGTAAAATTTAACGGTATTTTTAAATTTGAACCATTTCATGTTCTAAAAGATGCGAAAATTTAACGATAGTTTTGCATCTATTTTTATTCAGTCCAATGTAAAAAATTGACGAATTTAAAAATTCAAATTTTTTGCCTCATTTGATGCAAAAACTTAACGAAAAGGCTTAATCGTCTTTAAGAAAAATTTAACGTTTTATTGTTATTCAAATCTTTTACTTCATTTCAAAATTGAAGCGAAATGCGTGGGAGTGTTTTATGGAAAAACTTGGATTTTAAGAGTGCATTAATAAGCTAGAGTAAAGAAATCCAAATTGACTCATTTTTTTAAAAAAATATATATGAAAATCACCTTAAAAATTGTAAACGTAAAAGGAATTACCAAAAGAATTCCTTATCAAGTTTTTATGACGTTGAATACATGCATACATGCTGTTCTGATAATAATGCTTATGGTATCGAACAGCAATCACTATAATATTTTTTAATTAAAAAATAAGATTGTTCAAGGTGAAAAATATAACGTTTTTTAATTTAAACTCATTTTATGCCACCGGTTCATTTCATTTCTAAATGAAATGCAATAAAACAAATAAGAATGCATGCTTGTTGATAAACATTAAATAAAAATATTTAAATTGTGAGAACATCATCCAGGTCATCGGCATTCTAGGACTTAGTTGGATTTCACGGAAATTAAAAAAGTGTTTGTTTTGATATATTAAAAATTACATATATAAATATATAAAATAAAAAGGAATCCGTGCTACGTTAAATCAGCAGTTATCATTCTAATTTCATACGTTCAAGTGAAAAGACGTTAATCTTCTTATTATTTTTTTTTCTTCACATTTTTATTAAATCGCGTGAACACTGTAACACCTACATTTATATTTCAAGTGCCGTGAATTTTCATTAAATTGTTGTGAAATTTTTTTTAATTCATAAGGAAAAGAAAATGTTTGCAGCGATTCTCAACATTGTTTGCATGCCAATTAAGTATGAAGAATATTTTTTGATGAGTGATGAATCTGCAAGGATTATTATTTGAAATTCCTACGCTGGAAAATTGTGTAATTTTTGTGTATATCATGTGCTAGACTACTCGGAAAGCTTCAAAAAATGAGAATATCAAGTTCTCAATTCAATAGGTCAATAGCATGAAAAATAGGATGAATTGATAATCAAAAAATGGAGGCACGTTCTCCAGGGGTGTAGCTAGTGGAAGGGGGGGGGGGGGGTCCTACTCGAATAGAAATTTTTATTCTTTTTGAAAAAAGATTTCATTTTGTGTTCATTTACATGTGAAGTGGTACTTAATTGTTGGAGAAATAAATTCAAATTTTATACACCCCCCCCCCCCCCCCCAGTGCTCTATGATTCCAATTTAAAATTTCACAGTAAGTCTAGTCACTTGATTTAAATTAGTCAATGAAATTGACCAAGAATCAATACGCAGACGATCCAGTGACTTCAATTTCGCGAGAGAATTTTTTATTTGAATTGACATCAATTACATTACAAAAAGCTAATTGACGAAAAAATTAATATAAAAACGATATTTCATGGATTTAATGATTGTTTTATATGAGAATGTGGCTGTGGCACGTAATTGATTGGCAATGCACAACTTCTTTTAAAAGTCAAGTTATTTTTTAAACATTTTTGTGGATTTGCAAACTTTTCCTCTTGTGTTAATTGTTTTGATAGCGAAATAAGGAGTTACTTAAGACTGTCAATAACAACAATCGTACCTTAATATAACTTATAAGGAGAAGTTTATTTATTACTGAATTTTGTTGACAATTGAACATACAAAGGGTGAAACTTAGAGGTTCTAGCTAAACTTGAATGAAACCGGCTAGAAACCTGCTGTAATCGCTTATTGATTCAGACCAGGGAGGGGTTGTCTGAAAAATCCTATTTTTTGATTTACGTCATAAACTAAGCTTTAATTGCAATATTAGCAAAATATTTTCATAGGATATAATTAGCATTTTTCAAATCTGACTCACTGAATTAAAATCACCAGAAAAATTCATATTTATTTGTTTTGACTATTGAACGACTCGATGCATGTGAAAACAAACAATTCCGATTTTTCCATAAAGTATAAGTATTCAAAATTGTAATCTATTGAGGAAAAAAAGCTATTATAAGCACTTTGATTGTCCCGTCGTAGCTCATTAGCTAACTTAATCATATTGATAATCTTGAAAGTTTTTTTTTATTTCTTTCAAAACAGCAAAGAAAATTTATTGATCGTGAAATAAACGGAAAAGCTAATGCGGTTTATTCTTTATGCTGGAAAACACAGAAAACTCCCAAAAATAAAAAGTTGCATTTTCATCTCAAATGCTATACTTAGTATTGTGCTTATATCAAATAATCTGGGATTACCTAGAAATTCTCGAGCGATAAGATTGTAAATGATTAATTTACTGTGACTAAAATCTCATCAATTATAGAGCAAATGTGGGAGGTGTGCTTTTATTACGTCACGCAATTCCCCAAACTTCTTCAAAATCCCACTTATCGTCTTATTAATAAGAGTTATGGAACTAGTCAACAACCCCCAAACTCTTCAAAGTTTATTAAATAATGTTGAAAAAATGAGATGAACTTCCTGCATAATGTTTCAAATAACCCAACTTACATACAATATTATTGCATTTAAAATATAATAATAATTAATTAGCTGAAGGCGAAAAGCCACTGAATTCGATGATTTGTTACAATTTTACATGCAATACACTGGGGAATTATATTAAAAATATCAACATGATGATTATGATAAGAGATATGTGATACGTAGCAGTTTATTACTTTTTAATTGATTAGGTACAATGTTTATTTTCTCTCGGCTATTATAAGTGTAGGTGTCAGATTTACGCTCCAATTTTGAAGTGCATTCAATCGGGTCAAAAATGGAGATTTTTTTATGATCTGATCTTTTTATAACTGCGAGTTTTAATTTAAGTTTTATGATGAATTAATGAACGATCGTTTTTGGAAGAGAGCTTTGAAGTTTGGAAAATATGGTGTTGTCTGTCTGTCCTTATTGATATTTATTTTATTGCTTTATTGCATTTATTGACGACATAATGTCCGGTAATAATTCAAATTTTACACTTTTGTATTTGTACACATGTGAATTAATATTATGTAGGATCAAAATTCTAATCTTCATATCTAGGTTTCAAATAAACTAAGGCTCTCGTTTTGATCTTTTTTGGGCGTGACGTGATACTTTTCAGGTCCGTTCTAACAATATTCCATTCGTGGGTAATCTTGTAGCTCTCGTTCCTATTTCTCTCGCTACACTTCAAGTTCCTGACCCGTTCCTTAATCCAACTTTGCCCAAATGCCCAATTATTGCTTGATTTTCTACATTAAGCAGTCGAAGTATCTAAACTTCCGAAAAAGAACAAATTTGGAAAATGGCTGGATTCGAACCGACGACCTTAGAGTTACCATCCCGAATTTGAGCCAAGCGCCTTACCTTATCGACCATTAAGGCACTTAACTGCTTCTTATTTTAATTTTAATTTTAAAATCTTTTCTGACAGTTATATTTCAAATCTTATGACAGTTAATTGTTGAATTTTTTTATTAACAAATTTTTCCATCTTTATTCTAATTTTAGGAATTCTTGGCAAATAATCTGGACCATAATGGCACACCGGCATTTAATGGCAGTTTGTGTTGTTTGCTTACTTTGTGCAGAACATCTCCCGTGTAAGGAACACATTCTAGCAAATAGCAACAATAACAATATCGATTCTAATGATTGGAAAACTGGAAATACTGACTTATCATCAAAATCAAATTATAATTATCGACTTAATTCAATTATTGATGTAGCAGCTGAAAATTATTACGATGAAAATAGAGATAAATATAAGAAAGAAAGGAGAGATGAAATATTATCGAGGAAGAAGCGGCACGCAGATCATTCACATGGAGTTTCAACATCACAACATCGACTTGAAATGCCAGAAGTAACAAAAATACATTTAGAAAAAATAATTCGTCAATTTAGCAGCAACCAAACAACAATGAACGTTCATGCATTTGAGGACATGATTACACAGCTTAAACTTAATTATTTATTTAATTTATCAAAACATAATACTGATCATAAATCATGTATGAGCGAGGAGACTTTTCTGATGAAATTGACACATATGAAGGATGAACACAGTCACGCGGGGAAAACACATGATCACAGTCACGCGGGGAATGATCACAGCTACAATCACAGTCATGAAGATCATGAACACAGCGGAGACAAAGAAAGCGATGAGGAATTCAGCGATGATCATGAAGGACATACTCACAGCCACGAAGATCATTTGGACCATGACCATCATGTAGATTACGATCATCATGTAGATCACGATCATCATGTAGATCACGACCATCACCATGATATAGAATTAAGCTCAGAAAATATGATGTCAATATGTCCTATCCTCCTTTATTACATAATTAATCGTGATACTACATTAAGTGAGAATTCATGCTTTGATGCAGCACATTTTAATACAAAAGACACAATTACTCCTTTAATAGAAATGGAAGATAGGAAGCTTGTGTGGCTTTATTCATCAATAAGTGTGTTTATAGTCAGTGCATGTGGATTATGTGGTGTTATTGTCGTTCCAATTATGGATAAGCAATATTATCATTTAATTTTACAATTCTTAGTGGCTCTTGCGGTTGGTACAATGACTGGCGATACATTACTTCATTTATTGCCACATGCCATGCTTCCACTATCACCAGATCAAGACTTACATCAATCAATGATGCATCGTGGATTAATAATATTTTCATGCATTGTTTTCTCATATTTCTTTGAGCGCTTTATAGCTACAATTATGGAATATCGACAGAGGAAGGAGAAGAACGATAAAAATCCAAAGAAACATATTCGCGTTGTTCGAGAATCGGAATCGAATTCTGTTAATCCAACAACGTGTAAACACAAATATTCATCGTATCCATATTGTTATGATGAAATTAATTTAGAAGCAAAAGAACATAATCATGAATTGGATGAGAAGGAGGAGATGCTTAGTCCTAAAGATAAGGATATTGTGATTATACAAAATGACACCAAAAAAATTAACGGATTGATTCATGAAAATAGTAATGATATTGATAATACAACATTATCGACTAGCTTAGATGGATCAATTGAGAGCAGTGCACTGTTTAATAATGTTAAGCAATCAGGAAATCCTGTATCTAATTCTGCATCTTTTAATGCTAAAACAGAGGAGCACGACGAGGAAAAACTTACAATTATTTTAAGGTGAGTTTTAAATGGCTTTTTGAAACTTGAATTTTTAACGGATTTTTAATATTTCAATTTATATCATTTAAATTTCGAAATTTTAATGGTTTTCCAATATTTTTCAGAGAACACCAAACAAAACACCATGGACATTCACACACACATGGACATGTTCATTCGCCACCTGAATCTTTATCAGCTGTTGCTTGGATGGTTATTTTAGGAGATGGTTTGCACAACTTTACAGATGGTATGGCAATTGGAGCTGCCTTTTCAGGTAGCATTGCTGGAGGATTTTCTACTTCACTTGCTGTTTTATGTCATGAATTACCACACGAATTGGGAGACTTTGCGGTTCTTCTGAAAGCTGGAATGAGTCCAAAGAAAGCTATTTGCTATAATATTTTGACTGGAGTTTTGTGCGTGTTTGGTATGATTACTGGCGTCTTAGTTGGTGATACACCCGAAGCATCTCAATATATTTTTGCCGGAACTGCTGGTCTATTTATTTACATTGCACTTGTTGATATGGTAAGAAATTAAGTTTGTAGGTCATTGCCAAAATTTATTCTCACTGATATGCTTATTTTTTAGATGCCTGAATTAACGTCATCACACGGAAAGGAAGGAAACTGTATGCTTGTTCAATGCTCATTACAATTCAGCGGTATGTTAATTGGTTTATTAAGTATGCTGTTTATTGCCATTTATGAGCACGATCTGATGGAAGTGTTTACCAAGTCTAGCTCCTAATTTACTTCCTTTATTCTCAAACTCAATTCAATTTGTTCAATACGATTAAAGTTAAAATTGGTTAAAAATTAAGAATATTAAGTAATTAAGTTAATTAATTTTATTTCCTTTCTTCATTGACAAACATAATTAGTTCATTAAAAGTGAATATCAATTAGGTATAACAGAGTCAGGAGTGTATCCAAAAGATCAACCTTTTTTAATTCAAAATTTTTGAATTTCCCAAATAAATTATCCGTTAATTTTCAAATATTTTTCGACCATTATTTTTAAAAGTACTTGCTATTTTAATTAAATCCCATTGGAAACTAAATGCAAGATACACCCCTGCGACAGAACACAACAAACAATTTGAATGGATTAGAACTTAAACGATTAAAATGAAAAACGTTTTGTGATCGTTTCACAATGGATAGATTTTTCGATATTAAGCTAAATCTGATACCATGAAGCAACAAAACAGACTTAATGAGGCAGAAAGACCAATTTTATTGTTTACTTTAAAGCTTTAGTAAATTTTTAGTTCGGTATCGAATGATAGAATCAACTTTATCCACTATCTTATCCTATTGACATCAAAAAAGCATTCTGTGGCTGTGTCCATATTGGTTCGTGATGATTTATCTAGCTGCATCGATAAACTATTGCTATATGTTTGAAGGGGGAAATTTTGACTCGAAAAACTTGTTTTAATAAAAAAATTTATGGCATTGAAGCTGAAGATTATAGACACAGCCGCAGTTTAGCACTTAATATATTTTTTCATAAACTTAAATGTTCCTCCGATAAACTTTGAACATAAAAATAAACTGAATTTAGTAATTTTAGTGAAAAATCAATGAAAGTTCCCAAAGTTATTTGATGTTAAACTACAAAGTAGATTCTTACTACACAGTTATAAACAGCTGGGAGGAGTTTTGGTGGAGATTTGTTGGAAATCTAATGCAATTTTGACTGAAATTTTCGAATATTTTGACAATTCCAACATAACTCTTTCTCAGCGCTCCTGTCCTGCATTAAAATGAGACAAATTTAATTAAGAATTTTTTAAACTTAAAATTATTTTAATTTTTTTTTTCTATAATTAGTAAGATTAAAGAAAATTTCAAAAGAAATTGATACTTTCAAAATTTTAATTTGTGATTTTCAATATTTTTCAATTTTTATATCCAGATTTGTTAATAGGAACAGTATTAATGATCTTTAAATTTTTTTAAAAATAAATTAGACAATAAATGTGAAATTTGTTTTGCTTAAGTTTTTAAAAATGAAAAATTTTCTTCTGGAAAAATCAGGAAGCTGTTTTTGCATACAAATGATGACTTAATAAGTTACTTGAAATAGTTTTGTGCTTACTAATAATGAATATTTTTGATATAAAATGACCGCAATAGAAATCAACTTAATTTTTTTAGCTCATAGGCATTGCAAACTTTAGATATTGTATTTAATCTCTTAAAAAAATAAGCAGAATAAAATTTTCACTATCATGCAACTATCAGTGCGTGCAAATGATGTATTGAATTTATATTAAATAATTGTTATTCTTTCAGATTGATAAATTTCAAATTTCAAACAAATTTTTGCAATTTGAATCTTTATTAAAACATTTGGATGGTTTTGATGGAATCGTAAGAAATTATTGGAGATTCCTTTGGGGCCGTTCACTTATTACGTTACGCAAAAAAACCCCCTTGTTACAATATGTTACAACTCACAACCCCCCCCCCCACCCCTGAACGTTCATAATTTATTTTATTTTGATAATTTTTTATAGGTTTTAATTTTATTCATAATTCATCATAGTTTTTCTTTATTTAAAATTTCCACAAATTATGATTGTATTTTATAGTCTTGTAAACCAGTTTTCTATTGATTTGTTACTGTATATAACAAAAACTGTGTATTGCTTACCTATTAAAAGTGATCTGGACATTCAAAAATCATTAAAAGGTGGAAAATTTAAAAAAAAATGTTTTTGGTGATTGGTGACACCCCCCCCCCCCCCCCTATGTTACATTTTGTTACAATTTTTCAAACACCCCCCTAAAATGCGAATGTAATAAGTGAACGGCCCCTTTATTAATCTTTTGAGAAAAAGAACATCCAAATGTTTTACGATTTTGTAAGGTCTTCAAAAACAATTAAAAAAGTTTTGAATTTTATGAAAACCATAAAAATATTTTCTATTATTTGAAAAAATTTGTAACAGATTTTCGAAAAATTTCACGTTTTCGAAGTGAAATCCGTTACAATTTTTTTCAAATAACAAAAAAAATTTGTAGGGTTTTGATAAATCATCAAATTTTGTTATAATTTTTGAATTTGAAAAATCCGTTAGAATTTTTTTAAAAATAATTTGGATAAAATGATATTTTTCATCAACTTCCATTACGCAACAGGTATTCTTTTACAGATATTCAATAATTATCAGCCATGACAACACCAATTAAAATTAAAATTTATTAATTATTCGTTTCGAAGCAACCTCAAACAAAAATATTTTGCATTACCTACCTTTACAAAGGAAATAATTAATAAGCATAATAAGTTTTTGCTGACGATAATCAAATTACTGAAACCAAAAATAAGAAAGATTCAAGCTTACTAAGTTCCTTTAATATAATTTAATTATTATAAGTTTTTATTTTAATTAACAACATCATTTGACAAAATGCTACATTAATTAATTAATTTCATTTATATATTTCATAATCATTATCAATTAAATTTCTCTCAATTTACTTAATTCGTCCAATAAGTCCAAAATTTTTTTTTCTGTGGTCATTTTTCATTTTTAATTAAATGTATATAAATAATTGAAGAATTTATGTCTAAATGTCTTAGGTAGAAAGAATATATATTATTATTATTATAATAGTTACGCTGAGTATCATGTAGAGCCACTTAAGTATTTAGAGTGCTTTCTAATGCACTTTAATTCTTACCGACTAATTTCATTTTATTATTTATAAATTGTGCAGTATTTTATCATGTTTTGCTGCTAAGAGTTTAGGCTGGGTTCTGGGGTGTATCTAGAGATCTAAGAAGGTCCTTTGCTTAATTTTGAGGTTAGGTCACACTAAGTCATACCTCTTCTATCAATTAAACAATTCAATCTTTCAATTTACTATAATACCCCCCCCCCCCCTTCGACACGTTCTCAAATCTTCATAAAATGTATGAGTATGTATTGGGGGGGGGGGGGGGGAAGGGAGAACATAATCATCCTTATAATGCACAATGTTCCTTTAACGATTAGTTCTAAAACTGAGCCATCTGAATGCAATTGGGCTCTGACAGAATATTTTGGATCTAAGACCCATTTCTTCGTGAATATCATTAAGTACCCCCCCCCCCCCCCCTCTCCCCGCACAACTCCAATATTCTGATACAAAAATACCCAATGGGTGCCGATGATTCTTATTCTTCGAAAATGGTCCTTATTCTTCGAAATCGAAAATTCGAATTTGAATTTTTTTCAAAAAATGAAATTCCGTTAAAAATATTTCATCAAAAAATTATATTTGTTTACATCAGTAAAATTTTGATTAATTTTCATTAATTATGGGTAAAACCTGCAAAATTGCAAGCTGCAACAAAAATAAAACAATTACAAATCTTTTTGAAGTACCTAAGCACTCATTAAACAAAGATAAATGGTTGTTATTTTTAAAATCAAACAACATAAGTGTCGACGGAAGTGAGATTTCTGCTGTAAGTGATTGTAACACATTCAAGACAAAATTTTCAGATATTGTTCTTAGTCAGGTTGAAATTCCATTTGAGCATTGTTCAAAGACTATTGAAAATTTAATATTATTTTTTGTAACTTTTCGATCAAAACTTGAGCTTCATTGTCGATTGTTACATTCAAAAAACAAATTTGCGTCGAAGAATTGATTTTTGTTCATAAATAAATTTAACGGTCTTTAAAATTTCAAAATTTTTTATAAAAAATTATTTTTCGAATTTTTTCGAAACAGGTTTGAATTTTAGAAAAAATAACGGTCTACATTGTTGTAGGCACCCATTGGAAAAATACCAATCAAATCTTTTTAATAAAGTTTCTAATTATTTAAGAACCTATTCATGCCCCTTCCTTGGAATCCCCTGGATACACCCTCAAACCATTTTGAATATAGGTATATGTATATATAAAGAGGAGGAAAAGATGACTAGAATAATTCATTAATAAATTCCATTTTACAACTCTAATAGCAAGACTTCCTCATGCTATAAACTATTATTATTGTGTCTGTATTCATTTGGATCCATAATACGATCATCGTACAATGACAATGTCTTTGATGCTCTGACCTTCCTTACACTAGCTGGCAAATCGCCTGGAGTCTTTACTCTACATTGAACATCCCTTAAACTTACTTTCGATGGTCCGAATACTTCACGGAAAACTTCAAGCGATCGTTGGCGTTTCAACTGATTGCTTTCACTGGAATCATCTGAAGTTACTGTATTTAATGTTGCTGACTTTGAGGTGACAATTTTTGTTGGAGCTTGAATGACTGTGAATGAATCACTGTTGGGGTCATTTAATGGAGTTTTGTAGCTTTGGATTTCATCAGATATCGAGCAGCTTATGACAATTGGGGATATTAAGTCTAAATTTTTGGGTCTTTGAATGTTATTCGGTTTATCATCACAATTAATAACGATATCATTGGTGACTTTACGTACTGGCGATGAGAAGCTTTGCTGAACATTTTCAACATTTAATGCATTCAGGTTCCGTCGCTTCATGTGAAATTTTGCATGAATTATGTCTCTCCATCGTGTCGACTTCTTCTCGGAATTATTTTTCTTTTGTAATACTTCACGTGACGTTGCGGAACTTGTGCATGCTAATTTTTTCGTCAGCAATTCCTCAACTAATACTTCATATTCTCCATTATAGAAATTATCATTACCCGTCGGATTATTGATCAATTGATTGCCATTACATAATGCAGCCTTCTTTATTGACTTTATTTCATCATTTGATTGATCAGCTTGATGGATTTGTACCAAATTCCTTTCCAAACATAAATTTCGTCCTTGAAATTGTTGAATTTGTTGTCCATAACATTCCCGATTCTTTTGAATGCTTCCATAATCATTTGATGGACTAGAAATGTATGTTTCGCATGTATTCTCGACTCTGTTTGTAGATATTTGATTTGGTGGAATGGCTGACGAAAAATCTCGAGTTGGGCTGCTTATACTGTTATTATAATTATTATTTGCTGTTATTATTAATTTATTATTTGTGCTTAATGATGTTGACATTGTGACATAATGAGATCGTGGCTTTAAAGTGGATATCTCAATCAATCTCTCTTCAACGCACAATGATGTAAGACGAGCTTCAGCATCTGGATCCCAACAGTCTTCACAAACCTCCTTAATTGCATGTGCTGCCGTTCCACCGCCCCATTGAGGTGGAAATAATGGTCTAGCTTTATGTTGTAAAACTAATGCTCTCATTTGGTCGAATGTCGGATGAATACCAATTTCTGCCTCATATGGTGCTTTATATATCGGTGTTGGCATTTCAGATGGATAAAACTCCTGACATCTCATACATAATTCCCATAAAACCAATCCGAGCGAATAAACGTCAATTTGCTTTAATGCAAGCTCACAATCCCGTAGATTAACAGCGCCTTCTAAAATTTCCGGAGCCATATAACGTAATGTACCGACTTCATAAATGCTTTTCGTTTCAGCCAGTATCATTTCGCCTTGATATTCATAACGTGATCCACTCAATTTTGTTGCAAATCCATAATCACATATACAGCATGTGAGATCTGCTTTTACGAGGATATTTCGACTGTTGATGTCCCGATGACATATACACATTTTAAGCATGTCTGCTTTCTGAATTCTTGTATGTAAATGTGAGATCCCTCGTGCAATTGATGTTGCCATACGCGAGAATATCGGGAATGATGTTGAATTTTGCTTTAAATACTCATAAAGACTGCATTCAGCTAGTGATAAGACGAGTAAGTATTCAATCTTGCCTTCTGAGTTGATACGCTCATCGCATCCTGGAATTGAAAGGATAATATAGTCATTAGCTTTAACACATTGCAGGAAGGGACTCGAGGGTTCAGTTTCTTGTTATCACTGATATTAGTGATGGTTATCAACTTTTTGCTATAGCATACAGCTCAAGGGTGGCGTATGGACTTTAATCTACTTTAAAATCTTGACAAAAAACCGTACAGCACCCTCTATAAGCCCTCAAACCCCAAATAAATCCTTCATACCAAAATATTTCAATAAAGCAGGACACACATCCATAAACGGTTGCGTATAGACATCCATTTCATTAAGGAAATACTGTTTCTTGTTTGCACTAAAAATCTTTATCGCTACTGGCTGACAATCGTTCATCATTCCTTTCCAAACGGTTCCGTACCTAATGTGATATCATTAATGTTATTAAAAATCATTCAAATAAAAAGATTTTGATGCCAAACTTACTTTCCTTCACCAATAATTGATATTGGCTTGAGGTTATCGACATTATATAGATTTGATGAATATCCTGGACCAGATGGTGCTAATGGAGAAGTTTCTCTTAATGGCTTTGGTTTAGTTCGACAGGATATAAAGAAGACAACGCCAATAACGACAAGCATAATGCCGGTTGATGCAAAACTTATCCATATAGCAGAACTTCTATATTGAATTCTTGTTTGGATATTATTATGTCCATCATCTGGCGATACAATTACAGGTGATGTCTTGGGAGTCGTATAAACAAAGTTTGCATTACAGAAGTCAGAATTACAGCAGCAAAACAGGACATTTTTGCGTTCAACAGCCATACATGTTGACTGATTGCAAATATCCCTGTGCTCCCAACATCCTTGCATATCAAGTCGATACTTTCCATCTTTTAGTGGTAAATATGTTGAGAAACAATAGTTTTGTGAACCTGGACAGGACACATTGGTTGCAGGTCCTGACATCTGTGAATTAAATTTAATTAAATTACATAATAAGGTATAAAATTAATGATGCCCTACTTCTGTAGAGTTCAAATCAGTGTAATTCTGATCCATGTCATCATCAGCTTCAGAATCTTCCTGAATTTCATTTCTTGAATCGTCTTCCTGTTCACTTGATTTGCTTACTCTACGTCTTTCAAAATGCATACATCGTCTTGGTGAGTTCTCTGTTGGATGGAATGTGAGAATGTAATGTATTTGACATAGTATAGGATATTGATTTGATTGAGTACATGTGATTAAAGTGTGGATTAAATTCTAATTTGAGAATTCGTTAAATTTTGAATGTTTGCGTCTTTTTTTACTGAGATGAAAAAGTTTTAATGTGAAAAAGCAGTTACAAAATTTGAATTTTTGCATAATTTCTCCTGAGATGATTCAATTTCTTTGAAAATTTCCGTTAAAATTCTGGTTAAAACTTCAAATTTCGCATCATTTTTTACTGAGATGACAAATCTATGTCAAGATTTGAACTAAATTATGGAAATAGTTATGACGAGTGCCTATTAAAATAACGAATTTTAAAATTTCGAAACTTCATTTTTACGAACTCACATTTTTACGACCACACAATGATTCAGAATCGAAAAAAATGTTCAAAAATTCAAAAATTTCATGTTAATTAAACTATGTCCTTTAAATGCCAGATTAAAGATCTTAACTTGAGGCATATCCTATGAAAATATCTCGTCCCAATTTGATGTCTAACTCCAGAAATCATTAATTTAATCTCACCCAAAATTTGTTTACAATTTGTGTATGAAAAAAAAATATGATTTTTTCTACTTTAAGTTGTTATTTGGATGTCTTGGAAGCAGTTACTAGCTAATTTAAGCTTAGCTTTACATACTAAAACAACCAACTCAATAGAAATCTGCGTATTAAGCCTTAAAAATGGAATTGAAATCTGAGTATTTTTACACTACTTAAACTATTCATAAGTTAAAAAGTCTTCCAAAGACCTCTCTGAAACCTATATAAATCCATTAATTAAGTTAAAATCTATCTCCCATATTACTGAGGACATGCCGTTTGATGCCGTTTTCGAGATATTTGCGATCAAAGTTTACATAAATTTTCATACAAAATTTGATCATGCACAATATTTTTTGATAAACTTTTACAAACTTTTGGTAAAAAATCATGTTTATCCTTTATATTAGGGACTAATTTTTTGAGCAATGAACGAAAACATTATGTAGATGATGCTAAAAGATTCAAATCAAGAGAAATTAACAAAAACTTTCAATTTTCTAATGTGTTGGAAAAATATTGTGCACAAGGAATTTTTGAACATTTTTTCCGAATCTGAATCATTGTGGACCATATCATTTTTACGAAAAATTATTTTTTCGACTTTTTTATAAATTTTAAATTCTAAAATATCGTTAATTTCATCACGTGTTCTCTTTAATAATAAATCGCAGAAAAAAAGATTAATAGAACAAATTTTTTTAAATGTATAGAATTAAAACGTATTTTTTATTCAATATCACATTTTATGGACTACATGTGTATGTTTAAAGGAGTAACAAACACAATTAAGCTCTTAAATCATTTTTGACTCCTGCAATAGCCTTTAATGTTTCAACTCGTGGCACGGATTTTCGACGGTTCAGGATTGATTTAATGGAATGCTCTGTCTTTTCAAAACCTGGCATTCTATGCTTTTGTGGCTTTCCAGCCAAACATTTGTCAATATCCATTTCGATAGACACAAATTCTTTTTTTTTTTAAACATACACATGGAAAACAACAAATGTGATATTGAAAAAAAAAATACTTTTTAATTCCATACATTTAAAAACATTTGTTCTATTAATCTTATTTTTGCAGATTTATTATTGAAAAGAACACGTGATGAAATTAACGACATTTCAGAATTTGAATTTTATAAAAAAAGTCGAAAAAATAATTTTTCGTAAAAATGATATGGTCGTAAAAATGAAGTGTTCGTAAAAATGAAGTTTCGAAATTTTAAAATTCGTTATTTTAATAGGCACTCAGTTTAATAGGCACTCAGTTATGACAAATCAAAAAAAGAGGCCGTTCACTTATTACGTTACGCAAAAAACGACTTTTTTCACAGACCCCTCCCCCCCCCTTGTTACAATATGTTACAACAATTCACAACTACCCCCCCCCCCCCCCCCCCCCCCCCCCCCCCCCCCCCCCCCCATGAACGTTCATAATTTATTATATTCACACCGTTTTTACGTGTGAATCTATTGGTTTTGTTCAGATTCAAAAATCAGTTTTTCGCATTTTGTGAGAAAACGAAGCGAAATTGGTTTTAAAATATCGCAGAAGGAAAGTTTGTGTTGAAATTTTACATCATTTTCAAAAAACAGATTTCAAATTGGTTGTGGCATTGCTGAGAAAATCGCAAAATACGCTTTCTGTAAGCAAGCAAACAAGCAAGTTAATCAGCAAGAAATCTAAATAACGAGACATTGTAGAGACTTCTAGTTTTTTACATTTGATCCGTGCTGCTCTATAGAAGAGCTGTACTGTTTTTGGGCAAGGTAGGAACAGCCGTTGCTTCAGAAAAAGCAAAAAACTTTCCTTTCTTACGAATTTTTCGAAACAAAAGTTGACTGTGATTTTTATATAATTAAACTTTAGATGAAAAAATTTTTTAAAAATCTTTCAAAGAATCTTCGTTAAGCTTTAAACCTTGAAACATATGCTCAGCAAAGCTCAGCTGACTCGCTAGCGTTATACCTTCAAACTTATGCTGAGCTAATCTTGCTCTGTCCATAAGACTTTTGATGGTACGGTGTGAATATGGCCGCACTAGGTTTCTACCCGATACACTAGTTTTATGATTAAAAAGGTGGAAAATTTAAAAAAATGTTTTTGGTGTGAATTTGTAAACAAATTTTTTTCGTGAACTTTTTTTTCGTGAACCCCCCCCCCTTCCCCCCCCCCCCCCCCTAAAATGCGAACGTAATAAGTGAACGGAAAGATTTTCTAATGAATTCATCTTCAACCCTCGCATCTAAAATAACATGCATCTGGCTTCATTTTAATAGTCAAAGTTTCCCATTACAATTTTCATTCAGTAAGAATTGAATAAGGAGAGTTTTGGAATGAATAAATATTTTTAAAAAATCTATTCATAAATTTTAATTGAAGTAACTATCTTCTATATCCTATCTCCCTTCTGCAATAATAAATAAATATAAATCGAAATGTAGTACACAAAAAAATAAATATGAAGCTATGACGAAATAGAAAAATAATTTTCATCCCAAATAGAACAGAAATGAATCATCGCGTAAAAGATTTCAAAGTGTACGATACTCAGATATGTGAAGAAGAAAATGTTACAGTAAATTTTTGCCAGACAAACAGAGGCCAAGCGAAAGCGCAAATAAATGGGGCGTTTTTGTATAAATTTTAAATTGCTTATTATTACTCAATGTACGTGTATTTGCCGTGTCTGGCAACATATTTAATATTTATTAATGATAAGGACGAAGATGACAATTACCTGCTTCTGATGGTTTTGTGAATGATATTAAAAGTATTATCCACAGGAAATTCATTGTTGATTCTTTCAGAAAATACACAAAACTTTAAGATAACATTAATGCTGACTTCTGGATCTTAAAATTTTTTTTTCTTTTTTTAGGGCACTTAAAAAACTTGTCACTTTTAGTCTACAAACATTTTTCCTGTCTTTTTTTTTCTTTTCCTTTGTCTTTATTATGTAAAAAAAATAATCCACAAATTCGTGATTAAGTAAATTCAATTCACATCAGTCGATAGCTTCCTATCATTTCTAAGCCACAAAACAGTAAGTAATAGTCCAAATTCTATTTAAAAGAAAGTTTTAAATAAAAATTACAAAAAATTTTCAACAAGAATGAAGGAAAAACTTTTGTGCTGTATAAATTGTCTGACGAATCAACGTATTGATTTTTTCTTTATGAACGATTTTGTTTCGTCGTAAAATTTTCATCCCCCAAACAAAAAAAAAATTATTCTCATTCAGCTTTATTGCTTAATTCTCTCTCATTCTCTTTTGTTATCGCGAACCGAGAGAAGGAGTCGGGAAAATTGCCGAGAGAGTAGAGCATAGCGGTGGATGAAAGGAAAATCGCAAGGGGATGAACTTTCCTTTCTCATAATAAACATAGTAAGTATGTAGTAAGAAGAGGAAGGAATTGAAAACTATAATTTTTTCGCATTATCGATTTTTTATTGTTGTTGTCGTTCCTTCTCGAGCGCGTCACATGAAGAAGAAAATTCTTAAGGAACTTAGCATAATAAAATCACAATAAAGTGAAATTTTTTGGCACAATTTTCATAATTATTCGTCAACTTTTGTCTTCTTTGCCTTCATTCCTCGTCATTTAATTGATTTTTATATATGCGATGAGGCTAAAAATATCATCGCAAGTCGAGGAATTCTTTTGTGGCACTTTTGATTGACATTGTCGATTCGACTGAGGATCTTTCTATTTTTTTTTGTTTTGTGAATGGCAATTTCTCTCGCGGGCGGTATACTAAGTAGTCTTGATAATTGATAGAACTATTTTCTTGTTCTGTTCTGTCTAGTTTATGACTTGGAAGTAGCTATTAAGTGCTAGGGTAGAGTAGAAAGCTACTAATGTTGTAAGAAGAATTATTAGAGTCAGAAACATAAGTTTACTACCCTATATGACATTTAGTAGGGATGCAATTCCTCAATCTGTACAATTCTTGACTGTTCATTTTCCAGGAAGATCAAGACATAGAAAGAGAGCCTCTAATAGCTTCTAGACACTAAGGAAGCTCTCATTAGCTAAAAGATGTGATTTATCAATCAGAAACTGAGATTTCAATAGTGTTTCGAATAGGAATCGAACCCACACCCTTAAGAGATTCAGTCTTATGCTCCTATCAATGATGCTACTGGGGGTTACTCTTATTATGACCAAATGACAGTATTTATCTTTAGATAAATGGAAATAAATAGAGATAATTGCCACCAAAAGTGCAGTACTCAAGAATCGACACAAAAGACTGTTTATTCCTCATTGAAATTCGAGTAACTCAAAAATAAAAAAAAAATTTAATTTCAACCGTCAGCTTTAATCAGAACAAATGTCAGGCAATACACACGCGAACACAGACTGAAAGAAATTTGCACAAATAGCAAGTGAAAGAAAAAAATAAAAAATAATCAGCATACACAGACGAAAAAAAAAGTTCGTGAGCACAATGAGAAGTTGTGAGAGTAAAGGAGAGCGGCAAAGCATGAGGATATGATGCAATTTTAATCAATCACGAGAACCATCATCCATGAAAATTTAAAACTTTCAATTTTGTATCCTTGCATCCCCTAATGAAAATTAATTCCGATTGGTCAGTGCCAATCATTTTAAGATCATTAATTTTTTATCTCCCGTGCTTGTCTATTTATAGGATATTTGATTAGGGATAGACATTTATTGATGCAAAACCGATTATTGAGAATGAAGAAAATTGCGAGAGACTCTGTGTCTTTATTTCGTGAACCGAGTTCAATGTCCTCATGCATGCACATTCTTTTTTATTTTTTTTTTTGTGTGTCGTGTTTGTTTTCTCATGCTGCATAGAATTGGGCGGGAATTTTTTTTGTCTTTGACAATGTTCTATTTATTTTGCACGAGACACGAGATAGTATCGTAAATTTGTGAAGCAGGCATACCTTCATTGATGATACAAAATATTTTTATTTCTGTACTTTTTTTTCCAATTCATAAAAATAAAGAAAAATTCAATTTTCAAATGGAATTGCTGGCAAAACTTTTCCGCGAACATCGCCAAATCCAATTCGATAATCTCCATTGCAGAATCCACGAATAACAACTTCGTCACCATCTTGTAAAAATTTACGTGTCTGATTTTCACCAACGGATATTGAGCGTGTTCCTTTCCAGCTTATTTCAAGCATTGATCCGTATGAATCTTCTGTTTCGCCACTTATTGTGCCTGATGCTAATAAATCACCAGGATTTAAGTTACAACCAGTAACGGAATGATGGGCAATTTGTTGTAATGCAGTCCAGTATAAATGACGATAATTGGAGTGACTCACTGTGACTTGTGTACCATTTTCAGCTGAAAAGATTACAGAAAAAAAATATTTACAGCTGCATCGGAATTATTTTGATAATATCTCACGTTTTATGTCCACAAAGAGCTCAATATTAAAATTAAAGACTTCGTCATGCTGCAAATATGGGAATGGCTTTGGTTCTTGTGGGAAATTTGGAACAGCGAATGGCTGAAGAGCAGCAACTGGAACAACCCATGCTGATATTGAAGTTCCAAGGTTCTTGGCTGTAAATGGACCGAGTGGCACATATTCCCACTTTTGAACATCACGTGCACTCCAATCGTTCATCAAAACAAAGCCAAACACACGTTTTGCTGCTTCTTTTGTTGTTACTCGCTCGCCTAATTTTGTTGGCGGGCCACCAATAAAAAATGCCATTTCTAGTTCAAAATCCATTAATCGACATGGACCAAAAACTGGCGCTTCTCCATCGACTGGCTGTGTTTGACCTAGTGGACGATTAATTGGCGTTCCTGAGACAACAACTGAACTTGCACGACCGTGATATCCAACTGGCAAGTACTTCCAATTTGGCATCAATGCATTCTCTTTGCCACGGAACATAATACCGACATTTGTTGCATGATGGATCGATGAATAAAAGTCTGTGTAATCGCCAATGCTTGCTGGCAAGTGCATTGTCGAGTCTGATTGCTTAAAAATTGCTCTGGAAGTTAAAAAAGTCATAAATATTGATCAAAATGTGCTGAACCTTGAAATACCTTTTTTTGAGCTCCTCATTCTTATCTAATGAAGATCCAGCAAGCAATAAATCCCTAGTTATAGTTCTAACATCATTCCATGCATCATATCCCAATGCCATCAACGGATTCAAGACATTAGCGCGTAAAGCATTTTGAACATACTCAGGATAAAAGTTGGCAACAGCGCTCAAGTCTAGAATCTGTTCTCCAATAGCAACTCCGACTCGCCGATTGGCCTTGAAAACAGAAAAATTTATGGTGCCTTCATCAAAACAAAGAATTTTCGGAATAAATTAATTAATATTTAAAGCTTACATTGCATGATGTCGAGAAAATTCCATAAGGTAGATTCTGGATTGGAAAGTCACTTTCAGCAGGCACTTGCACAAATGTTGACATTTTAATAATGTTATCAAAATTTACAATCTTAAGATTAACAGATATAACCAGAAGTAAAAGTAACAATGTGATGTTTACAGATTGGAGACTAGCTGAAAACTGTCGGGCCTCCTGAAAATCATGGCTGTTTTAAGCAGCATTATTTGAATATTTTTAATGTGAAAAATCCAGTTTTTTTTTGTGTTAAAAAATTATTCTGCATAAATTAGTCAAGAATTGAGTTAAAATTTTCATAAACAACATCCGATGATAAAAATGGAACGTGCTGTAGATGGAACAGAGTTAGAAGACTTGTTCCAGTTTCATATAATGCATTTGTCAACTTTTGACATCAACTGTTATATGCTCCTATAGCTCAGGGGCAGAGCGCTAGTCTTGTAAACTAGCGGTCGAGAGTTCAAATCTCTCTGGGAGCAAACAGTATAGTTGGATTAATCCTTTTTTTGCTACTTTTTTTTTAATCAACTTTATTTTTAACTCTAAATATACAGGCAGACTTAAGGAATGACAATACTTTTTTAACTAATAATATCAGAACAGCATAAACAAGTATAACGTCTAAATAATATTGCTGATAAAATGGAACTTTAGCACCGATATATTTTAATCGATTCCGACCTTTATTTCTTATGGCATATTCTATCCACCAAACTGCTTTCTCTCTACTCTGCATTGGTACATCATACATCAATGTCTTAAACTGCTTTATAGATTCTTTGTACTTTGATTTCGTCGCTTCCATTATTCCATTAAATAAACTTTCTTCTGTTAATGTCTCGTACTCAAGATGCACTCCAATTTCTTCATTTCGTACCTTAAATGCATTTTGGTATTGGTCAAAAAGAAATGGAATTGCCAGCATTGGAATTTCACGATCAATTGATTCTTCAAGTGACATCAATCCACAATGAGTAATGAATAGTTTTACATTTGGATGTGCCAGTAAATCAGCTTGTGGATACCATTTTGAGACGTAAATATTGCTTGTCTGATTCCGTATTTCTTCATGATTGCCATCAAGTTTCCATAGAACATTAAAGTTGAGTTTCTTAAATGTATTGATGAAGATTGATAAGGAACGTTCGTTCAAGTAATTCGTATTGACATTAGTGCCAAATGAGACATAAATCACTCCATTTTTAGATGCATCCAAAAAGTTTTTCAAATCTCCTTGAATCTCTTTTGGAGGCTCAATATGTAAGTTGCCTAACATTATTGTATTGTGAGTTACAGGACGAGTCGCACCAAGAACTGGATTTGCATTTTGTAACAGAAATTCAATTCTATTTTCATGAATATCAGCAAATGATGCTTTGACATTTGGAAAGTAGTTCCATTTGAAAATAAATTCACCGACTGCTATGCATGGAACCATTAAGAGAAATATGAAGGAATGAACAGTCACAGATAAAAATCTTTGCGGTAAAGTAAGCTTTCCATGTTCATACTCTAAAATGTGTTCTGGATGGATAGCAAAGTTGATGTAATTGCCAATAATATTATGTATGAAGTTAGTCACTTCCATTGACGAGACAGCAACAACTGGACAGTCATAAATCTCAGCAAAATAGATTAATGGATGCTGATAGAGATACTCAACAAGCATCAAGTCAAACTTCTGTTTGTCAGCATTATTAATTAATTTTTTAACTTCTGGATTATTCAATTGATGGAATGTTCGCTTCACAGTTGATTGATAAAATATACTGAACAGCCTCAAGACACTAAACTTCTTTTCTTTTGATTCTGCAAGGTTAAAATCATTACTTTCGTAAGATCCTTCCATATAAATCTCAGTGACATTTGGATAATTATCATTAATCTTATTTACAGTCAATATAGTCAAGCTATGTCCTCTAGCACTGAGATCTTTAACAATTTTCTGAAACACTAGCTGATGACTATAACTTGGATAGTTGAAAATTCCCAGAATGTTTGCACTTTCTGATACCAAAATATTTTGAGAAAACACAAAAACTAACGACAGCAGTAGCTGCTTCATTACGCTTGTAATTAAGTAAATTGACTAAAACTTTAATTAAGAGTGCTTCCATTATTTATAGAACTTTGTTATGACCTATGTGTTCAAAATTTAATTTGAATAATCTTCATGAGACATGTACACGAGAATTATGAAAAGTTTTCGATGAAGGGAATGTGCTGCTCGTTCTGAATTATTATTTATTATGTAGGGCTATGCTAGACATTCATAATAGTTCTGGGGTCGTTCACTTATGACGTCCGAAATTAACGGCCATTTTTCAAAAAAGAACAATGATTTCCAGTAATTTCTATTTTTCTTTTCTCGCTGACCCCCCCCCCCCCCTGAGCGTCATAAGTGAACGGCCCCTCTGTAAATAATTTTTATATTCACACCGTTTTCACGTGTGAATCTATTGGTTTTGTTCGGATTGAAAAATCAGTTTTTCACATTTTGTGAGAAAACAAAGCAAAATTGGTTATAAAAGGTCACAGAAGAAAAGTTTGTGCCTGAAATTTTACATCATTTTCAAAAAACAGATTTCAAATTTGTTGTGGCATTGCTGAGAAAATCGCAAAATACGCTTTCTCAATTCAAACAAGCAAGCAAGCAAGCAAGTTAATCAGCAAGAAATCTCAATAACGAGACATTGTAGAGACTTCTAGTTTTTTACATTTGATCCGTGCTGCTCTATAGAAGAGGTATTGTTTGTAGGCAAGGTAGGAACAGCCGTTGCTTCAGAAAAAGCAAAAAACTTTCCTTTCTTACGAATTTTTCAAATTAATAGTTCACTGTGTTTTTTATTTTAAATTAAACTTTGGATGAAAAAAATTTTTTTGAGCAAAGAACCAAGTAGGAAATACATTTTAAATTTTGGACTAGGGGCGACCCTAGTCAAAATCAATTTTTTCACTTTATTTCTTCGAGGGTTTATACAAATGGATTGAAACTTTGCATAAATATTCTAGTGCTTAAAACAAATACAAATAAAACATCCTAAAATTTTTTTGAGCAAAGAACCAAGTAGTAAATACATTTTCAATTTTGGATTAGGGGCGACCCTAGTCAAAATCTAGTTTTTCACTTTTTTTCTTCCAAAAAATTTTTGGATGTTTTATTTGAATTGACATAATTCTAACATAAATCACATACCAATATTACTTTTTGTAATGCATAGCTTAAAAAAACGAAATCTAAAATTTCGACTACCCCATCTGAATTTTGTCCATACTCTTCACTGTGGAAACCAAAAAACAAATTCTTTATCTTAAAACACTTGACAAAATAGCGACATAATTCAGGATTAATTACTTTTTAATAATATTTTGACATTTACGAGAAAATGTGGTTCAAATAAGTGTTAAGTATGGCCGAGATTTGGACCAAAATCAGCTATACTGGTTCATAGTGTTCCCGAGGGTGACAAAATTCAAACTAAGTGTTTTTGTAGCTGACATAATTATGACATAAATTAGGTTTATTTTTTGAGCTGTGTCGATATGGGTCTCGGTCATACTTCATGCCCACCCTTCAAACTTATGCTGAGCAAATCTTGGTGTATCCATAAGACTTTTTGATGGTACGGTGTGAATATATCCGCATTGGGTTTCTACCCGATACACTAGTTTAATTCTTTAACTGCAGTTCAATTCAATATTCTTGTCCATTCGATCTTAGTGCTAGTCCTGATAGAGAAGTTGAGTTTGATGATGACAACCCAGAAATGCAACAAGGAAACAAAATTAAGAATTAAAAACCACACCAAATTACTTACCCCTTTTTAAAACCCATGCAACAACGCCGAGGGTAAAACAACGCAATCGAAAATTTTAACCAAATTCTCTGGAAAAAAATTTGTTTCAAACTTCCCAACATGTTGTTTTCCCCTCTTGACATTCATAAATACTTTTAAACATAATGTTAGTCTCAAAATCAAAGTCAAGTCAGTTATCCCTCGAATCCATAACGAGTAGTGACTTAATAAGTTTAGCAGACCATAAAGTTGAAGAAAATCTAAGGAAAAACTGCTTTATTTTGTATATTTTTAGTGAACTTTTAAAGCACAAATTAAAAAATAAACAACAGCAACAACTGTGTGGGTATGCGACATAACAAACTCTTTTGAATGCAAATTGAAGTTTTCTTTACAACTCATTGGATTAGTAAACATAAAAGTAAGCATTTTAGAGTCTATCAGTTAAAAGAAACAATTACTTTGAAAGAAAAAGGCAGCAACCACCAACGGTAAACTGTTATAAACTACAGATTGATATGTAACGAGTAGCATCAAAATCAAGAAATCATTCAAATAATTCTTAAAAACTTTAAGATTTTTTGACAAAAAATAAAGTCACTCGGCAAAAAAATTAAGAATCATCAAAAAAGAACACATTCTTGATTAAGTCTGCTCCCAGAGAGATTTGAACTCTCGACCGCTAGTTTACAAGACTAGCGCTCTGCCCCTGAGCTATAGGAGCATTTGACTTGTTACAAATTGTTTGGCAATAAATATATTTTAACCTGAAATGAATCATTCCCGATAATAGATGGCGTTAAATAAAAGACTTGATTTTTTTTTGTTGTTCGATTATTTTTCTTTATTTTTAATTTTATTTTATATTCTTTCTGCATCAATAATATACTTCTTTATTCAACCATATGCTGATCGCTGTTTAAAGGCAATCCGCATAACATTTTTATCGGCATCAACAACACATAAACATCTATAGATTCTTTATTCTTGTTAATTATCAATTAAATTATCATTTTTTTTAAATTACTCATTAATTAAGGTTTTATGGAAATCATCACTAATACGTATGGCAATGTGAATGATGACTCCATTGAACAACATTTTTCTTTTTTTGTGAGTATATCACGCATTAAAGTTCTATTTTTATTTTTGGAAGACTTTTGTGATTTTTGTTGTCATTAATTTCTTTTTTTTTTGTATTTGGCGAACACTCAGTTTCGACCTAATCAATTTTTTTAAATTTAAATATAATATGTATATAGTTGACTGCTTGAATATATGAGCAAAAATAGAAGCTTTCTTTCTTTTTCTCGTGTGTTTTTCATCATTTTTTTTGCAAATAAACTTTAACAATTGATAATTAAATGACATGGTTAATTAGTGCTTAATTGATAATCGTACGGTGGAATTGAATTTTCAAATATTTTAATAAGTCATTAAAATATTTTAAAAAAATTTCTTAATCTTGCGGTAAATAATTCAAATTCTGTTTAATAATTGCAAATGGAAGTTTCATAATTGATCTGTAAAGGTCTTTTTCATTTCTATATTTACAGTTTTAAAATTATATATTTACTTAATTTATACAATAATAACTAATAATATTATTTTCTTTCTTTTATCAAAGATTCTGGTGGCAGATCACTTGAATTTATGAACTTATTTTATGAAGTTTAAGATAATTTGACGGTTAATAATAGAATTTTAATCTAGTACGCTTTAGTATATTCAAAAGAGTTTAGGCTTTTTGAGATTTTCAGAAAAATCTAGATTGGTTTTCTAGAAAATCTAGTCCATCATATATTTGCTTAAAATTGTACTAGATTCTTGACAAAATATTCAAATTTGTCCTAGAATTCAAATTAGATTTGATTGAAATACCAAAAAGTACTAGATTCTGTTAAAAGTATCAGAATCGTACTAGATTTAAAATTCAAATTATGAGTTAAAAATTCAAATTTCTCAAACTTCGATACAACCAACAAAAAAATTTTGAATTTACTTAATTTAACAAATCTTTTCTTAAAAGCGTTTCCATTTCATTTAAAAATTTACAGCTAAACGTCTTTGACTGAAAGTATTAATTTCTAAATACTTCAGTTAATTTATCGATTATTGCGATCTACACATGACGAAATGTCTCTAAGAACATGACGAATCAAAAGGTAAAAAGAAAAAGATTAAATTAAATCAAAAGATATTGCAATAACCTTAAATATTCCGAATTTCATTGTTTTTTTTTTTCATTTCCATTAATTTTTTTTCAGTCGTTGTTAATTGATTTTTTTTTCGGGAAACGAGAATTTGTTATGCAAAGGAAAGAAGAAAATCTAAAAGACTTGATGAAAATGAGCATAAACTCAAAATTCATCAAGTCATGTAACTATTAATTAATTGACTCTATATAGGATTTATAACTTGACAATAGTATTTTTTTTTTTCATCAGTTTTTAAAACTAAATTTACAACTTATATGTAAGTACATGATGATATATGTGGAGATATTTTCTTGCTGGATAATTTTAATTTTTTTTTTCTTTCTTGGAAGTCCTCTAACAATCATCATTTTATTCGTTGTGGAAACGGATCTTGAGTGAGCGAAAAGGTTGCATTTGAAATTAAAACAAAACTTGACAAAAACTATCACATCTATTTTTTTGTATTATTTACCATTTTTTTCATATATTCTTTATGAATCGAAATTCTCACAAATTTTATATTTGAACATTCGTTTTCATTCATTTTAATTAATTTCTAATTCAACATAGGCTGTTATACAATCTATTTTATCATATAGGTTAATTTTTTATAATTTTGTGTGCTATGATGACCGTTAATTCAATTAACTTCAATTAAAAATTCTACAATTTTCTTTACTTTCATTAATTATAATTTTTTCATGTCAAATTTTGAGAATCTTGGTGTGAAATTTTTCTAAATGAACTTTTTAACATGTTTTTGCAAGAATAACGGAAACAATTTACAAATAACGGTTTTTGAAGATGCAAAAAAGAAGCAAAAATTTCGCATCAATTTCTCAATTCAAATAGAAACCAATTGCAAAAGCTGAGGAAAATTTGAGTTTTCCAAGACTTTTTCAATCAATTTTTTTCAATTCATAGGCATTATTTGTGAAAATCAAAAGATTTTTCATTCAAGATAAGTTTCAAAGTAGTAAAGAAAACAACATAAATTGATAAATTTTTCATTTCTAACAAATTTAAATCAACATTGATAAAGTTAGATATGTTCTGCGATGGAATCGAGTATTATTCTTTAATATCATAGAACTTAAGTTTGATTAATAAACTCAACATTAAGTTTTTAACAGAAAATTCTTAAAAGTTATATGAGATTTGAGAGTTAATTTTGATATGCATCCAAGTTGATACTTGCTTGGTTGAATAAAATAACTTTCTTTACTATAATTTATGTTATAACCTAGCATCTCTTTTTCATTAAAGTATTTATTTATTTAATATTTCACGGCCCATCGTACACTCACAGACATTCATAAATGAGGACAAGAAATTAGTAGAGATGAGGCTGCTAGATATATGTATTTTTTTACGGATTATATAATATTTTTGTTGCCTCAATAATTTTGGTTGAATAATAATAGGATAATGAATGGTGTGAATTACATTCGCTAACGATATTAATGACTATAATGGAACAACTGATGTGTGGATGTTTCTAGGGAAGATATTTACAAATCTTGACCTAAACGATCAATTTCATTCAACATGAAATCAACATCCTTTTCAAACACGGCAGCTGATGAGATAATTGATCGGAAGAAGTTTGGACGACGATCATCAGGTTGATAACCAACCATCAAAGTTCCAGCTTGCATCATGCGAGCTTTGATTATTGGGCAGATCTAAATTAAAGTTTAAACAAAATTATTATAAGTTATTGATCAAGTCACAAGTTCATTCTTACCTTTGCAAGTTCCTTTTCCTTCTCTGCCGAATGAGGAACTCCACGTAAACGTTTTGGAATGTACCAGAATGAAACATTTACCAATTCAGGTTCCATAATCAAATGGAACTTATCAGATTGTTCCTTAATTCTCCTAACTTCATACTGAGTAAGGTCCATCAATCGATCTATGTGTGCTTCAAATCCATGATCACCCTTTGCACGCCATTGAAGCCACAACTTGAAAATATCATTGTGACGTCCACACTGAATAACTTTATCGCCTGTATCGTACTGAATATCATAAAGTTTATCAGTCATGAAGAGATATTCGGCTGACATTTGGTTACAACTAAGCAATAAGCCCTGAAATTTATTCAAAAAAATATTTTTTTTTTGTAAGTTTTTCCATTCTTTCTCATAATGCAAAATTTATGAGATTTTTTCCCCCTCTCGTTAGTTGATATACGAAAACGAAAAGAAAAATCCTCATTTAGCAGTCAAGCAACTGTGACCAATTGTAATGTCGTGCAACATATTGTGCCTCAACATAAAATTAATTTTCAGACAGCAAGAACAAAAAATTTTTTGATTTATTTTAATATAAATACTCACATCTTCCTTGAAATGAATGCTGGAACACTGCAAGAGAGCTCCCATCAATTTGTGTGGATTCCATGTGACTGAATGAGATCTGTTTATAGAAAAAAAGAGATTGCGTGTGTTTATGAATTAAATTAATTCATGTTTATACAAGAAATTAAAATTAATCAACTTCAAATCACACAAAATGAGTCTCAGATGGAAATTTAAATATAAATAGACACATGAGAATATTCATCCTTCAATACTCCCTCGTACGGTATATATTTCAACCCCTTATCAACTGTTTGTTCAGTGACACTTTCAATACATTCAGGAATTTTCAATTTTGCATGAAGCTCAACGATGCACAATTCTAGGGATTGTGGACGCATTTTGTGTCTGTTGATTGAATTTTTAATGGGGTTTTGTGAAGCTATCATTGTTTATTCAGGAATGAAGCTTTATGGATGGAAATGAAGTGAATATTGCTATATGAGGAGACATAACCTCAAATATTTGTTACATAACCTCAATTTTTTATTTGACCTCAAAACTTCGATGGATAATCTCAAAAGTTTGAATCAGAACTTTAAAAAATTTTATAACCTCAAAGTTTCCAATCAATCCTTGAAAATTTGGAACTTAACCTCAAATTTTGATGAATAATATAAAAACGTCTAGTTTACCATCAAAATTTTCAGAATATTAGCCAGAATTTTAAAATGATTGCAACTTAACCTCAAAATTTCGAACATAGCCTCAAAAACTCCAAAATCTAGACCCTGGTTATTATCTTGGACAAAACGACTCAAAAATCCGTTCCTTAACCCAAATCTAGCTTATAGGAAGTAAGATTTTCCCATCTCATTTTTTATTCCACACTCAGTTTTGCAATTAGCTTTAAACGGAGGGAAAAATGAGAGAGAGAAGGAAAAGTCATTGAATGCAGCACACGTTGAAAACAGCAACAACCCTCTTATTTGAATAGTATTAACAGTAGCGGGAGTATGAGAGGATTCAGACAATGTTTACTATTCTCAAACAAATTGTGGCAGTAAGAGGATTCAAATAATAGACATAAAATGATGACACTTCTCTGGCAACTTGAGAATGATTGAGATTACTGCAAAAAACCATTTCTGTTGCTGATATGTTTTCGTACTATATTTATTGCACTGAAAGATGTTTCATTTTTACGAGAGCATGATTAATTGTTTGCATGCGAGATAGACGCCCATTTCATACTCGTATGTCGACAACATATGTTGCTGATTTTTTTCTTTCGTCGCTGTTTTGTTACGACATAAAAAAATATTTCATTCATGAGAGGATTTCAAACATCAGGTACTTGAATGAATGAATGGGAATCAACATGAAATCTGCTGTAAAAATTAAAAAGTTAAACCATTTACAGTCACGCTTTGTAAGCGCTAAGTTAAGCTTTTAATGGGTTAAAAGCAATGAAAGGTGAAATATTTTTCAAGTACACAGCACATTTTTTGCATATTGTTGAGGGTTTATGGCTCTTTTGTAACTTTTTGAATCTGTGACGGGAATTAAAAGATCTGTGCTTGGAATGTTAAAGAATTGAGGTCATGGAATGTAAAAATTTCATGGTTAGGAACTTGGAGTATATTCCAATCATCAATCGAGAATTTATAACATTTTTTATTAATGAACATTCATTAAAACATTCCAAATAAACTTCAAACTCCATGCTTAAAATCAATTGCGATATCCAAACTTTATTGGAATTCCAGATCATTTTTTAACAGACTCAATTTAATGAAAATTCTGTAAAATTCGACTCCATGACTTGAAAAATTAGTTCCTCAAAATTAAATTTGACCCTCATTCAGTCAGGAAGAAGAAAGCAGCAAAGTCACACTTCAATAATAAAACAGCACGTCAATTAATCAATTTAAGGCACTATAAAGTGTCAGTTTCAAGCACTTAGCACGTGCCTATAATTAATTTGAGTTTTACTTTGCATCATCATCGTCACAGCTATATGCTTAATTGTTCTATTCATAATAATGAAACTAAAAAACCCATAAATCATGCTGGATCAACATCTAATTACGCAAAATTGTGGTTTTAAAAAAATAAATTGAAATTTTCACTCAGATTTTTTTTTCATTATCCATTAAAGTCTTAGTTCTGTTTTTTATGAGCTACAGTCTCTCCTGACATGAATGCAATACGTTACTTTAAGATTGCTCACATTTGCCTATAAAAATAAATAAAAACGTAATCAATTTTCTCCCCTTCTTCATCATAGAGGATCTATTCATGTCCATAAAATTTAATCCCAACATAAATAATCGATGTTAAAAAAGAGAAAGGAACTGGGATGAATGGAATATGAATAGGGAAATGCTTGTAAAGGAAATAGACAAGTTCATGATAAGAAAGCCGCAATAATCAATCAGACTAAGAAAGAATAGCATAAGCTCTTGAAACAAAAATATTGATTTTCCTGTCACTGGCACTTTTAAAGCAGTTCTGTGGTCGATATATCCATGTATCATGAGATCTGCATTTTATGACCACTTCTGCTATTGAAATATAGCACAATAGCATTGCAATTGCCATAAATTCACTGAAGCAGTTCCGAAAAAAAGGAACAATAATTAAAAATCCAGCTTCAGGGTTAAATGAACAGCAATGGATGAAAGGAAGCATTCAAATGTCAATCCTTTGTCATTGTCGTAATTAAAAGTATATCACAATTCTTTATTTCCATACCTTTCAATGCCTGACAAACGAGGATGTCGATGTTTCTTTGATAGAAGCAATCCACCACCCCATGCAGCCTATATTATTGGAATAGACATATATTAAGTTCAATTCTATTGATTTTTATGTCAAATTGTCTTACATCAATATGGAACCAACAGTTGTACTTCTCAGTAATGTCAGCAATAGCATCCAATGGATCAAAAGCACCCAAAACAGTTGTTCCTATATAAATTATTAAATTTGTGCATTCATCCTTAAATAATATCAAGTATGTTGCTTTTTCTCACCAGCAGTGGCACAAACAAAGAATGGAATCTGTCCGCGTGCCTTACGTTCCAAAATCAATCGTTCCAATTCATGTGGAATCATCTTTCCTTGATCATCAGACGGAACCATGACACAGTTTTCAGTTCCCAAGCCACAAACAGATGCACAAGACTTAATTGAGTAATGTGATTGATCAGATGTGAACATGCACAAGTCACCAGGAAGTCCACGTGGTCCATGTTCTTTGTATCCTGGGAACATTTTATGACGTGCAGCAAGGAAGGCATACAAATTGGAAATTGAACCGCCTGGTGCCAAAATTGAATCTCCACCAGAATAGCCTGGCCAAATGATATCACGCATTTTTGTCAGCACGACAGTCTCCATAAGAATAAAGACTGGAGCAATTTCATAGGTGAACATGTTGGTATTTGCTGTAGCAGTCAACCACTATAAAGGTAGTAAGAACGTTGATGCTTAATTAAGATATACAAACTTTTTATCCTTTTTGTACTTACCTCGCCAGCCATCGAGACGAGATCCAACCCACATGAGAGCTGATTAAAGAAATGAGGGTGGCCTGAATAAAAAGGAGAAAGAAGGGATGAATGAAAAATAAATATGCAAAATTAACAATAATAAGAATTTAATTTCGATATGCAGCAAATGTATCGGAATAATCGCCCTGTGAGAGATTTTCTCAGGAATCTCTTGAAAAATTCATAGTCATCAAGGGTGAACTAGGAATGCTTTTAATGAATGAAAGTGGAAATAAGTCGGTAATCTCATGTCAGTATTTGACATAATCATCATACGTTTAGATAGACACATTGTTTAATGCAGGGTAGTTGAATCAAAAAAATTGCTCTATCAACAGCAATGAGGGAAATGAACTTTTAAGCCCTGCATTAGACACACAAATCCGATCACAAAATCGCATCAGATGCTCATAGAAGCGGAATGTAATGGAAAAATCACATGAAGGAAGAAGAAGAAGAAGGAATTGTTCCCCTTTTACAACAGCAGCAAGCAGCATTCGAGGAACTTTAAATAATAACAAACATTCTCGTTTGGAATTTGAAAAATTTTCAATTAAAGTCTGTAAGTACTGCATAGAAGAATAAAAGTGATGGTAAATGTTTAAAACGATTTGTCTTTTAAAGTTGGAACTAGCAGGAAATGATAGATGCTGTTAAAATGAGTTTGAGTGTCTATACAGATTGTCAGTCTTTAAGATTCAAAGATTCAAATTGTCACTAAGATTTTTAAGGTTAAATCTCAATTTATTTGTTGGTAAAGTTGGGTTTTTTGGCTCTAAAACTTCCTTGGATCCCTTAGTGTTCAACAGACAGGTATGGCTATAATTCTGACAGTTCCTTCAGTTTTTCCTTTCCAAAATATTGTTTTTCGGAAAGTAAATTTAACCTCAGAATTGAAATTCTACGAACTCTGTTGATTTTCATTCAAGCATCTTTTAGAAATGCGCTCACTTTCCCAACATCCAGCACAACTTCTAATAATCTAATCCCGTATTTTTAAACAACATTCTTAAAAAAAAACTTTTTTTCCTCATTCTGCAATTTCAGTTCGTTCGATTATTTCGAGCAAGTGTACCGTGAGTAAATGCCCTGATGCTTCCTTGAGTGCGAGTATTTTTCTCCGTTTTTGTTCTTGCTGAACATCAAAATACAATCTACTACCCTCATTGATCGTCTGCGTCTGTTTTATGAATATTTTTGGATGAATGGATTCCTCTCGTGTTTTCTTGATTGTTTCTTCTTCTTTTACTACACCAGACGAATAACGTGTAGTAAAAGTCATTCATATATTCTATTTATAGTCCTTTCGATAGCAACAATCGTCCTAATAATAGCACAACAACCACAAAGGACAGGAAATTATGAATTCGTTCACAAAACAAGAATTCAGCCACCAACATGATTTTAATAGATAATTTTCTATTCAATTTATCGTGTCATCGAGCCCTTCCTATCATCCATAATTCATACTTTATTCTTCCTTCTTTTTTTTGCCGTGTCGTAGTTGTGTGCCGTTAAAAGTCATGTTTATGATTGAATTATTATCACGATGAAAATAAATAAAATCTATTTGTTTCTCCCTATGATCTCTCTTTGGTGTTATGTCCCAGTAAGAAATCGACTAGATGTTAATGTTCAGTTGCAAGTGGTTCGGATCCCACTATAAACTGTAGGTCTAAAGGGTGTAGTACAATAGATTCTTTACAAGTTGAATCGCAGTGCCTCCAGTTGAAAGGCTGGGCCCTTCACACATTATTGTTCAGTCTTAATACATTTTATAAGTAAAAGGTTCCTTTCATAAAGGTCGTTCATAAATTATGTCTAATTTTTCAGGAAGAATTTCGTGAAGGACGAATTTTCGACAGATTAAAGAAGTGACCCATAAAACCCTATTTGTAATACACATCATTCATGAACGACTCCCAAAACAAGAAGTACCAACCCTGAAATTTCAATCTGGGAAATTTTCATCAACTTTTTTAAACATTCCAAAAAGTTTCATTGAAAAATATAATTTAGGGGATGACTTTTCCTCCTTCCGTTATGTCGAGAGAGTCACGTGCACACAATATTGATTAGATTAGTAGAATCTACACAAATATTGTTCTCGCTATGAATGAGCTGAATAAAAATGTGATTATAACTTTTTCTTGCTCTGATTTTTCATGTTACTCAATATCATCTCCGTACCCCTTTTTGTCGACGTTCCATAAGTTCTGTTTTTGTTGTAAATGCGAGAATAATATTGAATGGAATTTTCATTAAAATAGAACCCTCTTGAATTATGCTTCCTTTTATTATTCGAATAGTATCAACAAATGATCTTGTGGGAAGGATTTTGTGATGCAAAACCTGAAATTGAATTTTGATGGGCATTTATTGATGTGATTATGGCACTTTCTACTTCTCTTCGGGACATGTTATTCTTCTGGATTGAATTGATTGTTAATCAGCCATAAATTTGCATTAAAGGTTACAGATTGACTTGAACTTTAACAGGGCGACATCTATAGCACAAACTAGACCTCAAACTACTCACCAGTCTTAACTTGATACTTCATAGTTGTGGCACAGTCAAAGATCAATTGCTGTAATGGAACTGGATTTTCATGAATATCCAAGTCAAGTAATTTCTTCATGTCTTCTGGATGATGGAATTCCAAGATCTTTTCATCTCTATTGTTGGTAGCATTAACATAGTCCAAAAGGATGTCAGTAACTTTCTGAAGAAATTCTCGAGTCTCCAGCTGTGCCGTTTCATTATGAGGCAACAATTCTGTGAAGAAAAAATTAGAAATTTGGAGTTGATTATTCAAGTTTGAATTGTTCGAAAGACTTAAAGTTGATGTTTTGGATTATATAACAAGAAGAAACTAGCGAGGGGACAACAACATTATGGGGCAATGTTATATGAAAGTTTCAAACCATTATTCACCAAAATTTTGATGGTTGTTTGAATTTTCTTTCAATTTATTTTCCCATTATGTTGTTTTCCCCTTAGAAACTAGGTTAGTCTTCTTCTTATTCCATTATTGTCTACAATTCATTACACCCGTTGTTAATATTTGCAAAAAATTCTTTAGATACATTTCTGAATTTTTTAACTGACTAGCTTCATCTTCTTCATCCATCAGAAGAATTGGCATAGATTACGACATGATAAATTAGTTTACTCAAGTTATGTAACAGAAAGGAACTAGACAGCTTCCAACAAGAAGATTTGTTATATAAATTGTTGTGAAGATAAATTAACTATGTTATGATAAATCTTTCTAATAACACGGAATTAAAGTGCCATAAGCAATCTATAAGTAGTGATAATCTTGAATGTTGGAATGCGAATACTTGTTATTAAAATGAATAATTGGCAACTATCTTAGATGTTCGTGAATATTGTATGTTTCTAGATCTGGAAGCATATTCATGAAAAATGCTATGTTTTAAAATTTTTCTATTCAAGTTCAAGAAATCTTCTCTTGTGCATCTCAAGAAATCCCTCATCTCATAGAACACAGCTAATCTTAAGAGAAAAAAAAAATTGCCATTCTCGAAATTGAATCACTTCAACCCCTCGAAATAAAAATATCTTCATTCAACTCCCCTTATCGCTCTAGGGGGGCTTAAGTTGTCGCACTTAATAAATTAATACATTTATTTTGATACTTTATGGTTAGATGAGTGTACTCAAAAGGATTTAGTATCAAAATTGAATTTTAATGTTGTGGAAAAATAAAAGATTTGATCAACATTTCTTTAATATTGAAACTGTCCATAAATGATGTCCAGGAGGATTCAGAACAGTGATGATGAAAGAATGTCAACTTAAATTGTTGATTGAGATTTTTGATTGATCACAGTTATCATGGAAAATAAATAAATCAGTTGAATATCATGAACCAAGACATAAAGACACATTTCATTGAATAATCAAAAATAAAATAGAATTTGCACAAACTAGGTGACAGTTGATTACAGTAAGTAAGTAGTATACAGTGGTTAACTTGTGACTGAAGCCAGGTAAGAAAGAAGAAAATTTCTATTTTATATAATAAACGTCACTAATAAATGGTCCCCAAAGGTAATGGACAAAGAGATAATTTATAATAAAGCTATAAAGTGCTATAAAGTCAGTCCTGATTGAATATTAATGAGAAAATGATGAGACGAGTGATTTACATGCACTCGGAAAATATGTTACCCATGTAGGAATAAAATTAATATAGCAGTCATGTCAATGGAATCATAAAAATTATGATAAATCGCTGTGCCTGCAAATGACAGTTGATATTTGCCTTTTTCAAGTTGCAACAACTTTTTTCCGCTTCTATACTTTTTCATTAGTTTAGCAAGGAAGAAGAGAAATTAGTTGCGCACATAAAAATCATTTTATTAAGCACAGGCATAGAAAAGAGTAGATATTATGTCGAGAAGGGAGATGAAAAATTTAATTAAATGCAATAATTTGTCAAACAATTGAGTTGAAGGACGTATAGCAGCAGGAGTAAAGGAGGTAGTAGAAAATTTATTTTAGCAGATGAGGCGCATATCCATGTTCTATTCCTATATTTTTTGAGGATGATGTTTATATTTTATGGATAAATTATGTAGAACAACTATGAAAATACAGTTTTATTATTTCTACAAAAATAGTTTTATAAGCTCTTCATAGTTGTGGTAGCATGTGCCATAGCAGCTTATGATTATATTCAGTTTCTATGCAAACTGAACATAAATTTTGAAATAGCAATAAATTTTCTACATCAGAAAAGCATAGAATATCTAAAAATAGACATTGTGAAGGACATTAAGAACAGCTAACAGAAAATTCTCATTTCCAAACGCACTGCCAATAAAAAATGAATGAATTTTCAACATTTCAGCAGATCCGAGGAATTTATTTTGTTATTTTAGGAACAAATTTGCTCCTCTTTGTGTGATCTGATTAAAATATATAAATTTAAGGAATGGAATGTTCATCTGACATCCCGTGCAGTTCTTAAAAAACATTCCTCGGCATTTTTGACAGGGGTTGACTATACAGCACGACCCTCACATGTAATCGTAATGGAAATAAAATTGTCTTGAAGCGAGGATTGGGAAACTCACTCGACATTGTATCTACATTTAATTGTTTCCTAAGTGTCTCATAATCGCCTTACTTCTTCAGAGTTGATTGTACTTATGGATGGGAAATAAACGATAAGAATCTTCAATTAATGGCAAAAGCTAATAACTTTGGAATCTTTAAAAGCAGATTTTGTTGCTGTCAAAAGCACTCGTTTAATTCCATTAATTCACGCTCCAAATGATTTTTTGCCTTTTTAGTCGCAAGACGAAAATAAAAGTCGCGTATTTTTTGGGAGATATATCCAATGATAAGAATGTCTCTCATGTCATAATCTGAAGGCTATTTTTATCAGTTTTATCGTTTGATGTGAGTAAGAATGGAATGAAGGAAATTGGTATGGAAAAAATATTAACGGATTGAAGATTTCTTGAGCTTAGCTGTTAAGATCAAACTGATTGTACTGGTCCTAGGCATTCCAATGACGCTCTTTTTAATAATCAACCCAGTTCTTAACAAAAATGTTATTCCATCTAGTCTTAAACAGAAACCTAAGGCTACACATAAAAACGCGCCTGGAGATAGGTTTTGAAGATTACAATTTGCAAATAACAAGTTAATAATTGGAGGTATTAAAATAAAAAAAAAACGATGATATGTACTGAAGTTTTTAATCATAATAGGAATCGAACCTTTGAAAAATGCAAAATTGCATTCATTTATAACAAAACGATAGTTTTCCAACTGACTATTTGTTCTTAATACTTTAAAATCAAAGAACTCCAATTTTTAATCAGAACCAACTCTATCCATTTCCCTAGCTTGTACCCTAAAAATCAGAACTTCTCTCATCCTTGAAAATGAAAATAATAATAATTTTCAATAAGAATAATTTCTTTTATGAAAATAAAAAGAAGCAAAGCAAAACCAGTCAGAGAGCATTTGAATTATAAATAAAAGTCACTCGAGTGGATAAATGCTTTGTTGCTCTGCTACAAACATTTCTATTTGTTGTGCCATTTGTTTGAGAGCTTGTGGATTTAATACCTCAAATTTCCCATTCCAATTCTTGTCGTCGTCCTTTGCAATTTCTGCAACCCCTCTTGAAATTTCATTCACATTACGCAGGATGTGTAAGGAAATGCTGTGAATAAGAGGAAAAACGTGTGCCATGTTGTGTATATTCGTGTCTTTTTTTTATTAATACAAAGGCAGCAAGGAAGCTTGATAAAAAAATCCCTAAGTCAAAAAAATATGAGTACAGAGATAAGAATAAGCAAAGAGACTGAGAATGATGTATGAGGTATTGATAGTGTGGGCAAGGACTGACATCATATTTTTTTACTACTGTAATCGGATCTTTTACAATAAAAGAAGCATATTCTTAATGCTACAGATGTCTGATATAGTTTTGATTTATGGAAATTGTCATAAACTTCTGACTTCTCTGCATGAGCTTAAGTAGAATTATCATGACAGAAAGAATCTCCAGGTAATGAAATTCTATTTACAACAAAACGTTTTCTTAACAGATTTGCATTAATGAGACTTGCTTCCCGTTAGGAAGTTAAATCAATTTCCCTCTTATCAAGCTTCTTTTTGCACTTAACATTAAATGCTGTAAAATTTTCATAAATGGGAAATTATGCCAAATGCTACACAGCATACAACATAAATGTTTAATCGGCCCTGGGGCCCGACATTCAATTAAAGGATTATAACACTTATACAAATGGATGAAAAATGTTTTAATTTTAATAGAATTTTGGGAAATTTTAAACAATGAATTTAAATTTATTACAGTTTAGGTATTAATAATTAATTCTGTTCTAATTTATGGTAAAACATGAGATTCTTGCATAATAATTGTGCATTAATTCAGTAAGTTTTGTTTTAGCTCAATTATAGACACAAATTTAAAACCAGCCATCAAATTTTAAATTCTACCTTGTTTGAAAATTCTTCCAATTTAAATTGCATTTAAGTTTGTGTTTACAAAATTAAGTCTTTCCCAATTTTAAGTTTTTCAAGCAATTTTTCGAATCTTATTGTGAATTATCTTTAACAAAGACTGTTGATAATCCTTAAAATCTTAGTAGATCTCAATGAAGAACAGTGTTGCAAATGTAGATGTCTACACTAGATGAAGAATGTAGATTCTTCAATAGTTTTTGTCTGAGACAGAAATTTTTTCATAAAGATCAATTCTATATGAAGATAGAAAATCTAATCTACACAAAGATTATTTCTACATAAAGATTCGATGTAGATGTCTACAATTCTACATTTTTTCCAGATCTACATCAGAGAAGAATGTAGAATTGTAGACATCTACATCTAATCTTTATGTAGACAGAATCTTTATGTAGAAATAATCTTTGTGTAGATTAGATTTTCTATCTTCATGTAGAATCGATCTTTATGAAGATCAACACTGATGAAGAATCAAGTTTATGTATCCCAACAATCCTTTCTTCTTTTTTTAAAATTAATTGTTAAATCTAACAATTTTGCATAGTTTTGTAGAAAATTCAATACTTTTTGAACATTTACCCCTTCTTAAGTACCCTATAAATTGGAAGTAGACTATTTAGCACATCAATTATAGTATTCAACAGTCAACTCCTAATTTTAATTCTTATTGAACCAAATAATAATTTGATACATAACTTACCTTGTGCTGTAAGATTAGCAATCTTATCAGACAATTTGTAATTGTTGGGATTAATGGATGTCATCCTGTTCTGTAATGAGAAGATGATGAAGAAATAATTAGCATTATATAACTCAACCTTCAAAGCATCCCCAAAAAATTATATACCTTCAATAATTACGTATTTGCTACTTAAAGGAATTTTTCGTATATTTTTTTTGACAACAGTCTTCAAATTTGATTATGTACTTCAGGTTCTAAATAGACTTTAAACTTTTTTTTTCAACAACAATAATTTTTTTTGTAGATATGGAATTTGATAAATTTCTAAAATATATATTTCACGTTTCTACTTAACAAGAACTAGATTATTTGTTCCTAAAATATCACAATCTTCGTAAATTGTGGCTACACTAGATAAATATAGACTCTATATCACTTAAATATTTTTAATTGTCAACTGCCCTGTTTTAATTTCACAAAAAATAATTTTTTCTTTCTTCTTGGTCTCAATTGCAAAACTGTACAGTTGCAGAATCAGAGCAGTTATGATTCAGTTCTGATTATAACACAAAATATTTAAAGTGCAATGAAAATGGTGAGCAGCATACATAGAAAGAGAGTGGAGAAAAAAAATAGGATAAATGGGGAGCACAATTGCGTCATCAAGCAGCCATGTTGAAAACGAGGCGGAGCATAGAAAATTGCTTGTCGTATATACACGAAAAATGGGAGGATGAGTGGAGTGAGAACATTGAATAGCTGTGTGGGTGGATTGTGGGGAGATTTGTGGTACAGAAGCTTTTCGTCATGTCGCTTTATTTTTTGCTGCTGCTACTGATGATGTGCTATTAAGTAAGAGGCATAAATTAACGGCTTAAAATAACAATAAGTTTTTTTTGTGCCTCAACATCCTTATTATTTTGTAGTTGAAAGTTGAAGAAAAAAAGCTAAGTATAATTAATATACAGCCATAAGTAGCAGGCAAGGCTTCTTTCATTCATTCATTCACCTACACATTTGTAAATGGAACCATTGATTCTGTTGGAAACAGCCATAAAAAAAGGTTGAATGACGTCATGAGGAAAAAGAACAAGGAAAATGGTTAGGCATATATCTTGTGACCTACTTTCCATCTTCATCTTGTTCAGAAACAATAAAAAAGTTTCTTCTTCCTCACATCAAACTTGTCGTTAACATTAAGCTGGATATAATTGAATTTTTTACGTGTTAGGCAAACATAATGACGATTGTTGACGCAATTATTATTCTCATTTGTGGAGGCGTTATAATTTATGCTAATACGCGCTCTTTTTATGCTTACAAATCAATATATTTCACATGAATCTGGATACGAGAAAATGTAAAAAAAATACTTATCTTGGCAAACTTCCTCTATCTTCGGAAAAGAATAAAAAACTTAATCAGATTCTGATATCAGCAAAAAAGAGAATGTATTTTTTGTAGAATAGATTATGTTACAGATTCATGTTATTGTCGCCCACACATGAGCACACAAATATTTTGTTTTTTGCTTGATTGTTTTTTTATTTGGGGAAATTCAAATAGATCTTTTTATACGTAATAAATTTTAAATAATCTTCTGGAAATTGAAATGTTTTTTGTGAAATGAGCTATAAGCTTTTCTTATTCAAATCCTTTTTAATTGTGTTTTTAACAATTTTTATGATTTTAAAGTTTGTAACGGGATTTCAAAATTTGAAGCTTTATTTGTCATTTCGGCAAAAAAAGATGCAAAAATTCAAAAACTAACCGTTGAAAATTTTATTCAAGAATATTTCATCTTTTTTCTTCTTAATGTGCAGCTTTATAGCACATGCTACTATATCTACAAAGTTATTGATTACACAGACAATCTATAAACCAATAAGTCACACTTTAATCTATAGCCATTAAAGCGCAATAAAAGAAGATGAAAAACTCATCTTCAGATTGTATCCATTAGTGCCAGTAAATCAACGAAATATTTAGGTTACGTCCATTTTGTTTATTTATACATAATCAATATTCTCTTCAGTCATTTATGCTCTCATAGTGTCTTTAGTCCTCGTTTGTTACACAAAAAATCTCAACATTGTAACATTTACATGCACAGAGAAAGAATTCTGAAGAGTCAATGATACTTCAAGGACATTGATAATGTAATCTGTGTCACATGAATATAGTTATTGGACTGATTTGTCTCTTTCGTTGCTTATGCTAAACTTTTCTTGTCATTTTAAGCAATTAATTAAAAATCTGTTGGAATGATTTTAGTGGTGACTTTTTGGGAGATCCAGCAAAGAATAAGAAGAAGTTTTCATCACAAAAACCAATTTTAGATATTTTGAGAAAGAAAAACTTTGAACAAAACAGCCACAGGCTATCAATCAAGATCCATGAATAACATTCTAGCAGAGAGCCTGATTCTGCATACAGAAAAGCTATTCAGTTGGAAAAGCCAAAAACAATGGACGTTAAAATCCATCCAGGCTGTAAAATGCTCAATAAACTTTGTACTGTATGAAAGCTCGATTGAACTTTCTACTGGGTAAGCTATGCTCTCTCAGTTGATTGAGCATAAAGAATTGAGCCTTTTTTGCATTTATTTTCATTTGAAAAGCTCAACTTTTAAGGCACAGCATAGAAAAAGTGAAAATTGTTGGATGTTACGTAATGATCGAATCGATTTTTCATTTGATTTTCATTTTTTCACGTCTATAAGATAAAATCTGTCAAAATTCCTGAAAGATTAAGCACAAAAAAGCTTCAATACTCACATCAGTTGCAGGAACCTTAATTTTCGACACAAGATTGTCAAATTCTGATTTAAGCTTCATAAAACTATCCATCTTGTCTACACAATTATTCAACTAATTTAATTAAACTTTTTATTTTATTTTCAACACAAATTTCAATTAACTTTTTCCAGTTCCTTTATCGAAATTTTTGCAACTTTCCAAAAAATTTTAATAATTTTTTTTTATCTCAAAATCCCAACCTTTACACAGCACGACGAAAAACAGAACTTTCTCATTCGACAGTCAACAACGGAAAAAGCTAAGTGATGCTGGTGCGCTCTCAACATTATTCTGTGTAGGGATGTGATTGTGTTGTGTCGTGCGCGATGGACGCAACGAAAATTTTCGTGAGAGTTTGTCTTGTTCTTATTTCCATTATGAGTACGGAGGAGCTGGCTGCTGCTTATTTTCTTTTTGTGTACACAAATGAAATTGTGAATTACAGAATACTTGGCAAGGAGCTTGCTTATTGAAATTTGATTGAAAATTGATGTCTGAGGATTGAAAAGTCACTGATGTCAGGCATGTCAACAGTCGTTCCTTAATCTTTATCAATTTATTTCTCGTCACATTTGAACAGCTGTACATGATACTTTATAAATTAAGACAAGGTTCACTTTAAACGATTTCAGGCATTTTACAAACTTTTATCTTGTATCGCAGGCATGAACATACAGGTACAGAATGAAAGATTTCGTCATCAAAGAAATTACTTCATGCAATGTACATATGATGATGTATTGTCGGCTATTATCTTTTACGTGTGCGAGGTCTCGTTCGAATCTAGTCATTGAGCTGAGAAAATTCTGTTCTATTTTATCAGCTTTTGAGTTTGTTGTCATTGGGTATCGGTAGAATTAAGCTTGATATTGGTTTTTTGGAGGTGTGCGACTGTCTAATGAGGATGAATCAGGTGTTTTGGAGTGGATTTGAATGTTTTAAGCTTCCTTGTCTCATAGAACATCTCTTAAGTAGTTTTAAGCAGATGACTTAATACTCCCCCTAGCAGGAATTTACTAGTAATTTACTGGATAGCTTTCCATTTGCTACTTGCTATTTACTAGTCATTTTCACTTGCTAATTGACTAGTCAATTCGCTTACAATTTAACTAGTAATTTACTAGCAAATTTTTAAAAAAATTTAATGAATATAACCGTTGATTTCCACGTGTTCTTTTGATTTTTCTTATTTGTGTAAATTATTGTAAAAGTATTAGTGTGTACTTAATTATAGTACACTAACACTATGGAAAAAAATAAGACTTAATTTCATTAAGTCGAACACTGATGAACGCTTATGACTCGCACGCAAACCTGAGGAAGATAAATAATTAATCGAAAGTCACATACAAATTTGGATCGATCTTATAAAGGTGATTTCTGCGCGCTCTTGTGAAGTATATAGCAAATGCCAAATTTAGAACAAAATTTTTTATGACGCAAAAAATTCTTTTTTTGATGATTTTTCGGAAGATTCGAACTTAAGCAGACTTGATCAAATATCAATCTTATAATGGTGATTTCTGCGCGCACTTGTGAAGTATATGGCAAATGCCAAATTTAGAACAAATTTTTTTATGACGCAAAAAATTCTTTTCTTGATGATTTTACGTAAGATTCGAACTTAAGCAAACTTGATCAAACATCAATCTTATAATGGTGATTTCTGCGCGCTCTTGTGAAGTATATGGCAAATGCAAAATTTAGAACAAAATTTTTTATGGCGCAAAAAAATTTTTTTTTTCATGATATTTCATAAGATTCGAACTTAAGCAGACTTGATCAAACATCAATCTTATAATGATGATTTCTGCGTGCTCTTGTGAAGTATATGGCAAATGCCAAATTTAGAACAAACTTTTTTATGACGCAAAAAATTCTTTTTATGACGCAAAAATTCTTTTTTTGATGATTTTTCGTAAGATTCGAACTTAATCAGATTTGATGAAACATTCCACATGGTAATTTGCTATTAAATTGCAAGTGTAATTTACTAATAGTAAGTTGTTTTAATAATAACTAGTAAATTGCAAGTAGTAGAATAGAAAGACTAGCAATTTGCTAGTTAGTCTCGCTAGAGTCCAGATTCAATGCTGCTCAGGTACCAGAGTTTCAAATTTACAGCTTTTGTTCTATTTTGTTTGTCATAGAACCTTTGGATTCATACCATAAGTCCAAGTCTCATTTTTTAGTCCATTTTGAGTCAATGCGTCTTTTTATGTAGGTTGCTAAGGTCTTATTTTAGTCCGACAGATTCAATCCATCATAAAATACTCCTTTTGAGTGGTTTTTACTTTTTATTGGAACTAATGTCTGTTAGAATCATCAACAAACTTATAATTTAAAGATAAATCTAATTTGAAGTTCAACAAAGCAGCCCGACATTCTTTAATCAAAACTCCAAACAAGTTCCAGTGCAGCAATTAATGCACTTCTTACAGTCTATATTCAAAGCCTTATTTCTACAGAAAAGTTTCTCAACAAACACCTTATCATGTCTAGCGCAATCAGATATTTCCGACAATATCAAAGGTGGACAACTTATTTTGTATCTGTAAGTTGATATCTTTCAAATTCCACTACGTAACTATAAAGTTGTACAGACAGTAATTAGTTGTAGGTGAAAAAGGCAAGTCGATATGACAATAGCCTATAAAATAGTACGTATAAAGTCGTGGAACTAATCAATTATAGTTTTTTATTGTGTGATATATTGATTAATACGTAAAATAGGAAATAATCACGTCATATTAGAAGTAAAGATAACAGAAACCGCAAAAAAAATAACCTTTTTATTTTGTTTTCGTCGATCTCGGAAAAGTTGAATGATTTTGATGGAAAAATAAATCAGAATCGCAAAAATTGATGTGCGTCACATGTCTATCAGAGTTATGTGTTTACTCATAAACTAGTAATTAAATCAATAATTGTTTAGTCTCAAACAAAAGTCCATTAACCAAACTGAATGTGCTGAACATTAATATTGTAATAATTCCTTCAATGGGATTTGCCAATAAACATTTGCAAATAATCGAACATTAAGTGATTTAAAGCTTAATTTTCTGTGTGCTGTGTGACTTGATATGAGCAAAATGTGCTTAACATTATAGCAACATTTAACGGTTTTATAAAATTTAAATGACAAAAAAGTGATGCGAAAATTTAAATTTCAATAATTCGTTAAACATTTAAAAATCAAAACCAGTTATTTTGACAATATAAAAGCAATTACTGATGCAATAAAGGCGCTTTAATTAACAAAACCGACAAAAATACTCAGACAAAAGTAATGAAAGTAGATAAAAGAGATAAAAACGAAAGCTGATAGTGTTCATAAACGTGAAATAAAATCAAGTGCTGATAACAAAAATTTATTGTCGATTCTCCTTGCATAAATTATTGAGTGATTTTCGCATTTCCATTTAGTCGCATTTGTGATTTTTCGTGTACAAGAAACAAGGGACAAAAAAAAAGTTATTTAAACATGGTAATAATAATTTGTTATATTAATAAGTCATTACTTATCATCTATTGCTGTATAAAAAAAATAACAAGATAGGAAGTGAGGATCTAAATCCACCCACAAACCTCATTTTAATCTATTTTTAAACATTTTACATAAAATTATGCTACAACGCGCTTTATCTCCTGATACAGATAAGAAGCTTTTGCATAATGTTGTGGCTTTATTTGATACTGCGTGTGCTGTAAGATACAAAAGTGATAATGTCTGTTTATTGTACAAAAATTAAATTCTGAAATGTGCAAAAAAAATTTAATAATTTGTGGCATTTAAAAACATTTGGGTGCTGTGCCAGAAAACAAGAAGTTCCGATTGCAAATCATGAATTTTATTGTGGTGGAAAATTACATCTCATCTTATATCACGTTTCTCTCGTAAATTAGCATCCTACACAAAAGATATTGAAGCATAAATCTCATATTTATGGCATGACCGAACATATTTTAGAGCTTTTGAATATCTTTGTATTAAGGATTTGTTAGCATAAAAGCTTGAATAGACGCATTTCTATGGATTATGAAATTGTAATTTTACCGTGAATATCAAGTGCTTCATGATCATGAAAAATAGACATAAAAGGCTTATTGACTGGCTCGTGAATGCTTTGATCTTGCGAAAATGTCAAGTGCTGAAAAAAATCAGTTGTATGAAAAAATTTAAAACTCTGAAAACCGCACAAATTCTTGAAAGATTTAAAAACATTTGTACGGTTCTAAATGCAAATTTCTAACGGTTTTTTAAAATAGAAAAACTGCACAGCAACAAAAATTTCTTAAATCGCAATTTACCCTAAAATGTCTCTTGCATGACAAAAACATTTATTGCCCAGAGTACCAAACATTTCCAACTGAATGAAATCAGTCCCAAATTCTAGAGAACAATGGGGCAATTCTACGAGTAAAGGGAACCGCAGAAATTTGCATTGTAAGTTTTCGCTACTTGCAAAAATTTAATTTTTTTTAGCCGTTATATTTCTTGGATAAAAATATTGTTTTTCTTTTTATAAAGTGAATTTATTCGTGATTGTTACGTTATTCGTTCTTAAAGTGTAAACTTTAAGGCAAAAAGAGGCATGAAAAACTAATTAAAACAAATTTTTCCATATTTAAAGAATATTGCAGAAAGAAATTTCAACGGAAATTTTAAATTTAAATTTTTGTAAGCGCTTTTAGCTTAGTCGAAAATATGTAAAATTTCCACCGATTGACACAGTGTTTGACAATATATAGCTTAATTAAAGCATTTCAGCTATGTTTTAAGGCAAGAATTTGTTAAATTTGTGAATTCAAACATTTTTTGGGTAGAGACATCAACCAGAAATGAGTATTTAGTGAAATATTTAACAAATTAAAGTACATTATTTTTGTAAATTCCACCGATTGACAGTAAAAAAATTAAAATATCTCCTCATACAGCCATTTTTTGCAAATGAGTGCTCTTCATAATGATAAACATTCCCTTTTTACATAATTTTAATTAATTTAAATGCGTAAAAAGTCAGCATTTAAAGTTTTTTTTAATAGAATAAAGAAATTTTGTAATTTTTTTCACTCGTAGAATTGCCCAATGTCAAAAATGATTACAATTTTTAAGAAACATAAAAAAGCCATAAAAAACAAAAACTCTTCGATGACATTTAGGGATCTTGCGACTACGTGCTTAAAAGTAATCAAAAGAAAGGTCTAGCTATAGATTAAGCATATATATGCCATATAAAAAGTATCAAAAAAGTTTTCAAGAAATGTAATGAACCAAAAGGATGTACGCTGGAAGAACTGACGAAGAATTTTCAATTAGTTCCAACTGAAATCTGCACTATTTGTATCACGAGCCAAACGACAAACTTTTTTTTATTCAGCAATAAATTTTACTTCCATTCGTGCATTGAAAGAGGAAAATAGTTCAGAGTTGAATGCATTCAGGAACATCGAAAAACTTCACTTCCTCCATTAATTACAATGCATTAATTTCTAACGTCATTTAAAGTGTCAATTTTACAGTTTCCATAACTATTTTCCTTAATTTCCACTTTCAAATATTTAATTGTAAGCAACAAGCCACGCCTACTCAATAATTTCATTCCTTTACAGTCACTAATACAATTACTTGTCATCCTTTTATCACTGCACATTGCGCATGCCGCACCAACGGAAATAACATTACATAATAAGGATTCTGTGACAAATTCTAGCGCAGTCAGAAATTGGACGTTGTTCTGTGAAGATCTCTGTAGGTAAGTTGTCCTGCCAAAAATAAAAAAAAAGAAGTTTTGTGGATCAAAAAAATTATTTTCAACAGTTTGAAGATATCAGGTCCCGCTTGCGGGCTTGATTGCCATAAAATTCCAGTCAATAAAGATCTTGTCGCTATGGCTGACATCATTACAGCTGAGGATCATGAAGAGCTGTGTGAAGATTTATGTGAAAATGGACTAGGTGTGTAGCTAGTGAATTTTGAGGCTTAAATGTGCTAAATCTTTGTTCCTTAATCTAGGAGATAATCGGTGTGAATGTAAAGTGCCAATAATACCAGCACATTTCATACCAGCCATCCATCGACCAGACAAATTTAAAATTTGTGCTGATGCTTGTCGCTTCTATCGTGTGACATTAAAAGGCTGCTCACGATGTCCATTTGAGGAAAGTGAGGAACAAACTTTTAGTCGATTCCATTTACCACCGCCACCTCCTCATCCACCAGTTTTAAGTCCACAAATGCCAGTGCTGCAAAACTTTCGACCTAATCCACAAAGTGCTATGCAAGCTCCAATGCAATTGCCACAAACTACACCTGACTCTACAACACCTGACTGGAATCGGCTTTGTGCTCAACTTTGTCGGAATGGCACTGGAGGTCTCCTTTGTAATTGTGATCTGCCACCATTTAAGTAGGATTAGTAGGTAAGTACAGGCTTTTGAAACTTGCTATGACTGATTTGGGTGGGAAATTGATGGGAATCGGAACAATCAATCACCTTTGAATGGAGTGGAGTGGATGGATAGACTTTATTGCTTTTGAGTGATTGATTGAGACTTTATGGAAATTTTTTGAATTCTTTATTAAAAAGTCAGCATTTTTCGGGGAATGAGTTTTCAAATGTTGAATTTTGGAGCAAGTTTGAACATTTTTCATTAAAATGAAATATTGCTGAAAATATTCTTTTAAAGATCTGATGTCAAATTTGGATATTTTCAAAAGATTAGAGATTAAGGTTGATTAAAAACGAATTTTTTAAATTTTAAAACTTTATTTAAAAATTAATTCAATCAAAAAAAGCTGCAATTTATTTTATTTTAACTTTATTACGAGTTTTGGGATCGATAATAAATGACGTCAGAAAATAAAAGTCTTTTTTCAAAAACAAGTCATTGAATTCCAAGAAATTCTAATGTTTTTGAGTCTCTGTAACTACATTTATGATAAACCACAATTATGGATTTTAAAGAGAATTTCTAAATTTAAAGAATTCAAAAAACATTCATCAATTTTTGAAATCAAATTAAGTTTTTTTGGATTTTTAAGTTCTGGTCTTTTAAAAAGATTTATGATTAAGTTTTTGAAATAACAAAATCCAAATAAATTTGAAAAAATTACCTTTCATTTCAAAATAATTTTAAAATTAAAAATATTCAAATTCTTTTAAAATTCTAAGAACATAAATCACAATCTTAAAAATAATTCATTTTAAAAATACTCAAATTTGATTTATTAATATTTCATTTAATTTTATATCTTTCCAGAACACACTTTGCACTATTATCAACAAACTTATAAGTTAGCGCACTTTAAAAAGTAAGAAAAATGAACACAAAAACTTTTAGTTTCTAGTCCTTCTACATTTGTAGGAACTTTAAAGCACATCTGCACCAATTTGACATAATTTAAATGGTGAGCAGTAAGCACAATAATTTATATATTTAAAAGAAAAAATTATCAATTAAACTAAATGTCAATTCAATCGAGCATTTTCATGTCGAAGTTTAATGAAAAGTTGATGATTAATATCAGAGACTTGATGACAAGCTGATGTGAAAATGTCATCGACTATATAGTATTGAATGTAACTTATTAGCTTTTGGTTTCATCAGAAAAAAAGTCATATGAAGAATAAATGTTTAGACAAAAAATATTTAAAAATTATAACAAAAAATATGGAAATAGAGAATGAAAATCGAGACTTCACTTAAGGATGAAGGGACATAAAATCGTAGAATCCATTTGTAAGAACTTACCTTGAAGTCTTCTGTTCCATTTTTTAAAAATCAAATTATTTTATTTCATTAATTTTATGTAAATAAATTTCGTTTCAATGGGAAAACCCAACCCCATCGAGATTTATCACATGGGCTTCCAAAATTTAATGTAATGAAAAGAAAAAATATTCGAGCCATGAACCTTGAGAAAATATGGATTAAATTATTGAAAATATATTAGAAGCATAATTATATTTATTACGAGATTGGAATGATTGTTTAAAAGGCAGGCTGATTATTTGAATTTACATCCAGAAAATCTAACGGAAATTTTCTTTTCAAAATTTCGCATCTTTTTTGATTGAATTTGTTGCTTAATTTGAATTTTAAAATAAAGTTGAAATTTATTTTGGAAAAAATAATTCAACGGAAATTAAAATTTCAAATTTTCGCATCTTTTTTTACTGAATTTGACGAAAAAGTTGAATTTTAAAAAACCGTTAAACTTTAAAAATCCTTTTAAAAATCATTTAAATTCTCAAATAAATGCCAAGCATTGTTCATTGGCACAACTGCCATCTTTTGGCAGGAAACATTAATTTTTTAAAGGAAATCATTCAAAAATTTTCTCGTTAATGTTTTGAATCATCCACTTTTATGATTGAAAATAATCAGTGAATTAATTCTTTTGAAATCTTCACACATTGAAAGCATTAAAAACTCTCCACAAACATCTGAAAAATATTGACATCCTGAAGAATTTTAATCGAAATAACTTTACTGAATCGAGAGATTTTTTTAAATGATTTTTCTTTCATTTTTGTTGAATTGAAAAAAAAATGAAATTTTCATAAAAAAATATGAAAAAATAATCTATATTCCCCTTTATTTCCCCGTTCAATACTTTTGACGTAAGCTTCATCAATTTAAAGTTTAGAAATGCTTAACAAAAATAAAGTTTATTGAATAAGGAATAAAAAAATTGCTGTGGAAGACAATAATAATGAGATATTCCACGACTAAGGTCGTGTGTTAATGTCTCAAAAAAATAATAAAATAAAATAATTAATTAATGGAAAATTTAAATCAATTAATATGAGATAAATTGAATTAAATGATAAATTGCTTTTGAGTGGTGTTTCAGTATATGTATTCATATATAAAATAACTAATATAACTATCGATATATCCATAACCCAATGTATGTAGTACACATTAACCCAATCACATTTAAAATTCATATATAAATTAACAAAAATTGAATGTTTAACTATGGAAGACTCGTAAATGCTAAAGAACATCCAACAAATGCTGTATAAAGTCATCAACCAGCATACAAACATAATTTTTGGGAATATCAATCAGAGATTATTGTTATTATAAAGAATAACTCGAACAACCTGTCATAAAATAAATATAAAAATTAAAATAATATTTTGCACTTTGAGGATACCATCTGAAATGTGTAACAGCTTACAAATTTTACCATCAAAATTATATATTTATGTAATTTCAATTCCGAAGAAGAAGTTAATGTAATGTGCAATAATTAAATAAATAAATGGGAAAACTCAGAATGAACAAAAGCAATTTTGAGTTTTTGAAGAAGGAATTGGCATTTTTATGAATTTGTTTTTATTTTCAGCATTAATTTGAACTATCTTTGGTCTCGAGTCTCGATAAGTCGAAAAACCAGATAAATCATGAAAGTCTCGTTTGAATCTAACTATGATCTCTTAAGTTGGATATTTTCAGTGCATTATTGCTAAAATTAGTAAGATTATCTTGATCAACGTCAGTTGTCGCAAGGAAAAGATGTAAATTTGACCAATTCTCTATTATTCTCCAAAAATTTAACATTATTCGTCAAGTTATTCTAAACAGTTGCTGTAGAAAGAATTCTAAACTGCATACAACATGAATTTCATAATATTAAGCAAACCTTACAATGATAATCACGATCTAGTGAGGAATTCTAGAAAGTTCAAACAACATCAATGAAACTACAAACATTAAAATGCAAATTTCAGCATTTAGAGCGTTTAGATATGTCTTATCAATAACAATTCTGTCCTACACATCATTTTGATGAATTTCATAACATTTGTAATAATTACATCAGCATTTAAAGGACAACTGGCAACGGTGTAAGATTTCAATGGAAAATCCCCAAAACATCAATCCGATCTCATAGAAAGCAGCAATAAAAACATTTATTTCTGACAATAAACACTTATCAGGTAGAATGATCAATAGGAGCTGTTTATGTTTTGATGCCTTTACATTACTAACATTATAGTACAATTTTCTGTATATAAGCCGGTGCATTTTGTTCCTATGCATTTATTTTTGTGAAGATATCCCCAATAGACAGACATGGTAAGTTGTGCATTTAATATTTTTTAAGAAAATAATTTCTAATAGTTGTCAACATCCTAGAACGCCTTTATTTGTGTATTCCTGATTGCTTTATCAGCACAAGCCTTATTGGCTACACCAACAGCAACAACTTTCTCTCAAATGAAAGTCGATGATGGACTGTTTTGTAAGGATCTTTGCAAGTATGACTTATCTGGTCCGGGATGTAACGTTGATTGCTCTGGAATTACACCAGAAGCTTTTGATGTCACTCCTGATTTCTGTGATATTTTGTGCAAGCATGGATTAGGCAACAATCGCTGCAAATGTGAAAATGTCGAAAAATTTACCAAAAATGAAAATGTCCTCGTCTGCTTTGGATTCAGCATCTTCTATAATCTTTCGATCAAGGGATGTCCATACTGTCCTTTCATCGATCCAGAAAATCATAAATCAATTCCAAAACCAGACGACATCCGAGGATTCTATGAGAAGTTTATTGTTACACCAGAAGATAAACATTTGTCAGATGAAACCAAGAAAATGTATTGTGGCTTTGTCTGCAAGACTAACAAGAACGTATCTTACTGCAAATGTGGAAAGGAATAAAGTGGATTGATTTGAACTGAAGTGGATTTTTCAGTGCTGATACATTTTTTTCATAATTTTGTGGCTTTATGCCTTTTTTTTAAACTTGCTAATAAAACTTTGAGACTGAACATTAATTAAACTTTGCATTTATGGATTATTTTAAAAATTTGTTTTCAGTTCTTTCAGGGTTTCTTGACTTTAAAAGATAACTTTTCTGAGAACTTTGTTGAAAGTTACGTGCTGATTAGTTTACAGTTGAATCTTTAAGTAAACTGCATCAGTGAAAAGACCAGAAACATTCATGTTCTGAGTTTGTAAGCGTGTGGCTTAAATCATACGAGTTTTTAGAAATAGTTCTTCAAAAAGAATTTATATTTTGTATCTCAATTATAAAGTTATACTCAAATAAACCAAGCACACAAAAGTTGAAATTTCTACCCAAGCTGAAAATCTTTCCTCGATCCCTTCATGAAATCAAAAACAGCTTGTTAACAAATGTTGTATTAAAGAGTTGCAGTGCTGCTTAATTTTGATCTTTAATAGCAAATCAGTTACACGTATTTTACAGCTATGATTTGTTAGGTATCAGCAAACAATAGAGCAAGTTTCAGGCACACACAGGCAAGAAAAGTTTGTGGAATATAACTGATTTACAGCCAGGAATAAAAGCAAATATTTGTTAAGTTCTACAGACTTAATTTTTGTTGAATTTATTGGTCAAATTGATCCGAAATAGAGCTCTGAAAGCAGAGGATGTATCCAAAAAAGGTTGATGTTGATACTTAAGGAATTTAAGTTGTTATAGGTTGAAATACTAAGCAGGAAAAAGCAAATTATGCTCGAGAAGGAATTGAACCTTTACTCTGACAATTTCTCGAAACATTCTCTTAACACTAAGCCATCAAAAATGTTGATTTAAGCTGATGGCTTATTTTGGTATTATCGTTGATGATGCTTAACTTTAGAACTCTAAATAAAATGACTTTAAAGGATGCAATTTATCCATAAGCTCAACCATCTTCCTTAAAAATATAAATAAACTACGCAGTAAAATAATTATTTCTAAATCCCATTTTTATGAATCCTTAAACAGCTGGCGATGAAGTAAATAAACTACGCAGTTTATTCTGTTTTTCATGAGAATCCACAAATCCTTTTTATTATGAATGAGCATGAAAGAGGACTCACCAACAACCTTTCGAACAATGGGACCGGAATATTTAACAGGTAGATAAAAGTTGGATGTTATACCTGCATTATCATCACAAATGCAACATTGGCGACGTACATTCTATGGAAAAACTTGTTTTCTAAAACATTCGATGCTGCTAAGTATAAAAGGAAATGCATTTTTATGCTACAGATTTATTTGTAAAGATATCCTCGTTCTGGAACAGACATGGTGAGTTTTAATATCCAGTGAAGCTTAATCTATAGCTATAAAAATTTATTTCATCCTCTAGAACGCCTTTATATGCTTATTTGTCATCGCTGTATCAGCACAAGCCATTATGGCTGAAACTACAGCAACTCCAACAATATCGCAGATGAAAGTCGATGAAGGACTGTTCTGTCGTGATCTTTGCAAGTATGATTTATCAGGTCCTGCATGTGACATTGATTGCACTGGAATTGAAACTGAAGTTCTTGACGTTTCTACTGATTTTTGTAATGTTTTATGTAAGCATGGATTAGGCTACAACCGCTGTAAATGTCCAGAAGTTGAGACTTACCACAAAAATGAAAATGTCGTCGTTTGCTTCGCATTTTATATCTACAATAATGTATCACTTAAAGGATGTCCGAAATGTCCATTTATTGGCATGAGCCATCATAAACCAGGAACACACACTGAAGGAACTCATTCACATACTGATGCTCATGCACATTCAGGTGGCGGAAGGCCAACTGGAAATCCATATGCTCACTTAATTGTTACACCAGAAGATAAGAAATTGGCTGCAGAAGTTAAGGAAATGTATTGTGGATATACATGCAAGAATCATCCAGAACGAGGTGGCGGTTACTGCAAATGTGTTAAGGCATAAAGGATTCATTCGAGGCACACTAGTATTAAGGAAATAAAACAGCACACACAGCAGATTCTCAGTTAACAAGAAAAAGTTTTAATGATTTTTTTTTATCAAAAAACAAATTTCACAAATTTTTCTCAATAAATTCAGTTAAAAAACATTAATAATAAATTTTTTTAAAAAGCATTTCTGAATTAGAATTTAAAATTCATTTCAAGAATATTCAAGGACGCAAAATATTTCAACATTTTCAGCAATTTTTGAGCAGCTTTGCTTTACTGGATCTCGTAATTTGCAATCTAATGGTTTAAAAATGTTTTAATTCTTAGATTCTCAAGTGTGTTGCTATTGCTATATCCAAAATGATTTGAGATCCAGTCAAACTATTGTGGAACCGATAGCATTTAAGTAGGATGTAATAGACCCAATACTAATCATAGACGACTACAAATTCGAGAGCTGGTTTTCTCGGTTGATACTAATGATATGTGTCAAGGATATACACAAGAAACAAGCCCTAAACTCAAATCTACACAACAAACATACCACAGATCCAACAAAGACTGCTCGAAACAAGCCTCAAAAAATAGTCAATGAATATAAAATCGGTTAATAAAGCTGAATAATTTTTAGTACCGTATCCTTTCCCACCCTTATTCTTAGACATTCTTTTGTCATCAAGACAAGACACTTCTTTTATTAATATCATACAAAATTGATATATTGCATTATTTAAAGACACTTTAAGCAACTTTTTTCCCGTCCACATTTCCATTTTGTTAAGAATAAAAAAAATTCGCAAATAAATTCAAGTTCTTTTTTTTTCTTTGTTCGGTTTCAAAAATGATAAGTCATCTATTATTACTTCATTGTTTTTGTATAAAATTCTAAATTGTAATTCTCGCCTACATTAATATGTTCAGTTTTAAGGAGAAAGATAAGAAACAATAAGTTTTTGATACTTCTATTAAGTTTTTAATTACAAGATTTGGGTTATTGGCAAGTATTTTGATGCCTTCATCAAAATTCAAATAGTAAGAATTGAGGATTATTGAGGAGCTTTTAAGTGAATTAAGTAGGGGGCCGTTCACTTATGACGTCCAACATTTAGGGGGGGGGGTCTAGGATTTTGTGACAGTTCAAACAATGGAAATTTATTTCTATAGAATTTTTGTGACAGAGGGGGGGAGGGGGGTCTAAAAATCAGGTTTTTTGTTGGCCGTCATAAGTGAACGACCCCTAAGGCTTATCATTTGAATTCATTATCTTACTTGTATTGGGTATTCGAGTGTTAAGGTAATTCTCAATATTCTATTTCAATATCGATATTCATTATTTCTCATACAGAAGCACCATTTGTGCCTTAAAAGCTCCTTACCATCCTCAAAAATACGAACGACACATAATGACAATAATTATTACACAACTGCCTTTATTAAAAGTATCAAGCTCAAAACTCTGATTAAATCAACCAAGTTAGAGCGTCATCAACTTCCTTATAAGAATGCCTTGTCAAACCTACTCTCATTATGTGCCGCTCGGGAAAAGCTATCTGTTAATCTAATTAACAAAAATTTGTAAAGTTATAAAAACAAATTTAAACAGAATTCAATGTCTTTTGTCTAGAGATTTTGTGTTTAAGGAAAAAAATTATACAGAGTCAGCCAATTCGTCTAATCGACATCGGACTGCATGCTCAACAACTTCGAGTGATGGATAGTCTAATTCTTTCACTAAGCATAAGACAGCTGACAGCAAATTCGAGCTCTAGAATTATCAAAAGTAATTAATGAATCAACAATAAGTCAAATTATTATGGATATTCATGACTTACTCGATTGACTGGCCTTCGATGTAGTCCTGCAAGATGGCTAAGTACGGCATTTGATATGACAGTATTCTCACTTCTTCCTCGCCTTAAATCCTCTCCGAAATCCTCACGTGACATATTTCCATTGCGATATTGATAAAAGTTTTCCCTGCGTTCATCTGGATATCGATCTTGACTGCCACCATTTGTTATCATTCCTCGTCGAGTCTTTTCTTGTGGATATTCTCGATGATTTCCATTTTGATTGTTCTCCTCCCAGTCCCCATTTCCGCCTGTTAAATCTGACTGACTATGTCGATAATGTGCTGGCGGTTGTTGACCTTGATAGTAATCCTAGAAATTAATTTAATTAATAATTAATTTATTTGATACTGAAGATTATTATTGATAAATTATGTGCAGGAACGGAGTTAATAACAAAATTAGCTTCAAAAATGATAAATTTCACCTTCATTGAGTGTGTGGACATAGACGTTGACATATGACCTCGTGGATCTCGATAATTTCCACTAATTTGTGGCGAGTCGTCAGGTGATCTCTGGATAAAGTTTAATTTAGCATGTGAAAGTGTATTTACACAACAGAAAAACATTAGTGCATTCAAACTTTAATTTATTGCTCATAATTAATTCACTCACCTCATAAGACTGCTGCATTCGTTGATTTTGATACCTTGGCGATGGTGTGTGATTATTTTCTGATGGTGAATAGTTATCATTGTGACGATGATTTAAGGGTGTTCTCTGTGAAATGAAAATTTACTTTGCAATTTTTTGTGACTTCTAATCATGAGAATAATCTAATATCAAACATTAACACCAAGGAACAGATGCATGTGCTTTATTTTAAAATTGAATAAATAACAAATTTTTGAAGAATAACGGGTTATTGAAATTTGAAATTCAAAACTCTTCAAATGCTGAAAATAAGAATTTATATGGTTTCAATACAAATTGATAAAAATAACGGGAACATTAATTTAACTTTTAAAACCATACAATTCCTGAAAGCACATTAGGAATTTGTATTGTTTTGAAAATTCACGTTATAATGTTTGAAAACCCTTCAACATCTAAAAATAAACATTTGTATAGCTTTGCATTTAAATTTTAACCGTTACTTTCTCAATTCGTAAACTACAAAATCAAAAGCATTGCATCACGTTCCACCAAAAATCAACAAATAATATATATAAACTAACATCAATTAAAATCTATGGTGTTTGTGTGTATGTGTGATTACGTATGTATGTGTAATGGATGAATGTATTAAGTATTAAAATTGTGAAAATACCTGAATGGGTGACGAGATTGACGGAGGACGATCAATAGGATCGCTTGCACATTCCGATTCCGTACCTTCGGGACTTTGTTGCATTGATTGAGGAGGTAGAGGTTGCTGTATAGTTTTAATATATATGAATGAATATGTTAGAGAGAAATTAACGACTTGTTAGTGATTTTTTAAAAATGAGGAAATTTTAAATGTATTAGGCCAATAAATATGGTAAATTTTGTGTTATTAAGCCCAAATAAACTTTTCTTTTCAAACTTACACTTTCTCTTACTTCTCTGATCGGACTATGACCACGAAATCCTGAATTAGCTGCCTGTTGTCGATAGTTTGACTCATAATCTTCCTCAATCGGCTCCTCTCTAATTTGTTGCTGTGATTGTGCTGGTTGTTCGGTCATTGGACTTCTCATTGCATCTCTCACTTCCTCCGGTGTCACTTCAACATTATCCAATTTTTTTAAATTCGGTAGGGCTCGTAAAACAATTCGTCGATAGCTAAAAATATAATTCAAGACATTGTGAATCACATGTTGCAGTTAATGAGATATTCAATATAAATTACTTTGCGCCAGATGCATCCACACAAGGATTTTCTTCCAACCATAAATATTTAAGTTTTGCCAAGTTCTGAAAAAGAGAAAATAAGCGAAAACATTTAGTTCTGTAAATCTTGACCTTGTCATTCATGAAATTCTTAAGAGGCACTGCGACATGAGAAACTTAATATTCTATAATTTCATATATCCACTTGACCCAGAATTCAGAAACAAAAGCAACGTGATGGTTTATGAGGTCAAACGGAAAGTCTAGCACAGGAATCAAATGTGCGTGAAAACCAAAAATTCTCACCTCGCCTTTATTTTTATGATTATTATGAGAAATAGTCGCAAGGCCATTTAATGGAAATTTAATTAATTAATGAGGGTGGATTTACCTGTAAATACACCAGGTCGTTGATATCTTGAATATTGTTCTTACGTAAATACAATTCCTGCAAGTTTGGGCATTCTTCAAAGTCGGCAAGGTTGCTGATTTTATTAACACTGAAATGAGAAATAAAAGAACATTGTTATGACTTAATAGAATGATAACTTCGAGTGTATAACATATAAATTTATTCAGATTCAAATCAATAAATCCTAATTGGTCACTTAACATGGAAAGATTTATTTACTTTACAAGGTAGCTCATGAATTATTGATCTGAAATTGGTTGCTTTTGTAGTAAAAGTGACTTATTATTAATAAAAATAATTTATATCGCAGGAAGGTTAAAGTACTTCATTGTTATGTCTGTTATGGACAGTATCCTTGAAAGGACGAACAAAAAATTTGCAACGTTTTAACGGAAATTTTTCAAAATTCGCAAACATTTGTGAGGTTCTTAAACACACAAAATTATTTTAATCGCTCAATTTCGCGGATTTGGATTAATTTCGTCTTCTGTTATGGTCTTATTCTTATGTATTCCAACCGTTCCTAATGTATTAATAAGTCACTATAATCATATCTTTGATATGTCATCAAATAAGCTCAAAATATTTCAAGGATCAAACAAAAACCATTTCGATGCACATTTGCTGCAATTTATGCATGTCTAGCAAGGAAGGATGAGCTGTTACGGTGTGAATATCCCCCTTAGAGCCTTTCTACTTTCTCCAATAGTTTAGTACTTAACAGTGAACAACAACGCAGTTTTACAAAAGTGACTCTTTAAAACAGTTATCCGAATTTGAGTTTATTAATCAACATTTAAGGGCTTTTTGTTCAATTCCTTCCCTCAAATGTCTAATCTACAGCAAGAATATACATTTACTGAATGTTATAAAGAGCCTTTATTCACGTATTCAACAAAAACCACGAAAGTATTTTACAAATCAATTTTTCATTGTAATCTATTTAGCATCTTGTTAGAGAGTCCAACAACAATTTCCTTTAATTCTCATGGGTTGACTTAAAGATTAAGATTCTTTCAAGACTCAAAAATCAGTTGCCAAATTGAAATCAATTGATTAAGATATGCAAACAGAATAATTTTTAACAGACAAGACTTGACAGCTTGAAGTGCAAATAGAAAGTAAGGTACTTGAGGAAGTCTAAATTTATGTGCCGCGTCTCAACAGAATCTCATGTGCAGAAATATTTCAATAATTCTTGACTGTACAAATATTTATTATTTGCTTCTTTTAAGCCGCTAATCAGTTCCAATTTTATAAATATTTATTTATCGATTGTGCTCGTAAGTCGAAAATATAATTTTTTTTAATATTCGCAGAGTCACAATGAATTGCCATCAGTCAATTGAAGAGGATAGTAACGAAGAGTGTATCATGTTTAATGCTGATAATACATCTTACTTGACACCTCAAACAGTTCAGTTTGATCATCGATTAAACTCGAATCAAAATGATGAAGAAGTTAGAGATCTTGTGATCCATAAATCTCCGTCTGGAATAATATCACTTGGTCGACCTACAACCCTGCCAACTACTTTAATGGTATCACAGAGGAAGTTCATTATAGATTTATTGTCCAGTCGCAGTAACAGCAATAAATCAATTAATGTTTCCATTAATGCATTGAGGGAGAATCACATGGCTCACATACAAAAGAAGAGGAACCGGGAAATGGGAAAGTAAGTACACATAAATAGTTCAGGCACAGAAGATTAAAAAGACACGATCTTGAAACATTTTGGCACGTGAATTAAACTTGCTAATTGGAGCTATTTAAAAACAATAAATTAGTGAATGAGTCTAATAAGGTTTTAATCAGTGAATGACGTGCGGACCGTACCCAGATGTGCTTCACTTTTTGTCAACAATGCTTTAAGTAAGAATTATTCAAGGAACAGGGTCTAGAAAAAACAAGTCTTTATTTACAAGAGTGTAGCACATGTATATAGACATTCCAGACACAGCTATAACTATAGCACCAAAAAGACATAATGGATTAAGATCAAATTTCCTCTTTTGTGCCTCAACCACAAGCCACAATTTATAGAAACGTTTATTTCATTTCAGTGACGCATTGAGTCTTGTTTTGTCAGCACTTTATGCTAAATTCATATTCGTCCTTGGCATTGCATTTCCAATAACAGGCATAGTGGCTGATAAGGCACCAACGACTTTTTATCAGGGATTTTATCTCTTTCTGTATACAGTAAGCGTGCTGTTTGTCATCTTTGTCTATTCGACACATCTTAAGAATCGTCAAGTATTCTCAATGATTGATCATTATGAGGAACGGACTGGAGATACGAAATTGAGCACCAAGAAGCGAATTATACGTTATGGAAGCTTCTATTTAAGAGTTGGTGCCATTGCATTTGGAATAGGCTCAATGGTTTATTCCGGATTGGAATTTGGCCAATATTTTGAACTTAAAGAGGATGACAGATGCCAAAATATTTTAATTGCTGTCAATCCAGCCGCACGAATGCTTCTAACTATCGTTCAGATGCAATTTATATTCTTGAATACTAAAGAACTTAATATGACGCGTTACAAGGTCATTTCTCGTTTTGGATTGATGCATCTTGTTGCCACAAATTTATGTGAATGGATTTACGTTCTCGTCGAAGAGACTAAGCATGAAATTGAGAATTTTGTGCATCAACATAGCATCAATAATACGTCATCACATCTCATCCATAAACGTGCGACATCAAGCTCAATATTCGTTGAGTGTAAAAGAACTAACATTATGGGACGTTTGGTGCAAAAAGCAGCACCATTCCTCTTTCCATGTACAATTGAGTACTCATTAATTTGTGCTGTAATTTTATATGAAATGTGGAAGAAGATTAAAATGAGAGATCCATCGACGCGTGAACATCAAGACTCAATAATGGGTCATCATAGACATAAAGATGTACGTCAATTATCGGTTGATTGCTCAAAAGCACATCGTGGCATGTTTGCAGGCATTTTGGTTATTGTGTTAACAATAATTTCACTTATAATGTTTTATGTGCTTAAGGAAGAGAAGCTTTATAAAGCAACGGCTGTAGTCGAAGTGACATATTGTGAAATTTTATTATATTCTCTTACTTCCATTGCTGTTCTTTTGGCTATGCGACAAATGCGTGACATGAAATTCTCAAAGTTGTATGGTAAGCATTAAGCAAAGATAGCTTCTTGGGATCTGAAACTCTTATATTTTTGGGTAATCGATCATTGAGAATAAGAGTTAGCATTCTTTGCTTCAAAACTTCATAGACATATCCTAATTGATTAACAAATCAAATCTTATATAATTCACAGTGTCTGGAATTGGATTAGACTGCACATTACTAGTACTTGGTAAGTCAATCTAATCAATTAAGTATCTGAACATAAATTTTAAATTCTCAACTCCTTAAAAATATCCAGCACAAAGCGGTGTCTACATATACTCAATGTTTAGTCTACTCGCCCTTTTTTTCACACTTCAAGACAATCCCAGCAACATGTCAGGATTAATGACCGAATCATTATCTCTCATTCAGACAACAATTCAAACAATTTTCATACTCAATGCGTGGTGGCGTCGCACAAAAGGAATTAAACAAAATCGGACCAAACCTGGTCGTGAGATTATTACATTTTTAATAGTCGCAAACATGGCAATTTGGTTCATTAACTGCCTTATCAAAAATCGCGCAAGTTTTCGTCCCACACATCTCAGCTTTTTTGGCGAATGGAGTTGGACAATAATTACACACACTTCAATGCCGTTAGCTATTTTCTATAGGTAAACATTAATAATTGCTGTTATTACCTCTTCCTTTCATCTTAACCTGTTTTATGCATTCATAATAGATTCCACTCGACTATTTGTCTTTTTGAAATATGGAAGACTTCATACAAGCTTAAAGAGGATCTCGAAGATAAGAACCAAATGCAACATTAGTCTTTTGTACGCGAATGAACAGATAAACGACAAAATTCAATGACCGTACGAAGAAAACCATAAATGGAAAGAGTCTGTTTTTTTTTGTTCTTCAACTACCATAAATAAGTTCAAGTAGTAATATTTAACCATTTATAAGAGTAAGAGATGCATGAATCATTAAATAATATTCATTTTGCTGCCAAAAGTGGTGTCCATTAATGATGTCAATTAAATTTTTGTACTTTTCTGACTCACTCTCAGTCTTTGAGAGATTCTTTGTCGTTAAATTAGATACAAAACAGCCTATATGAGGCTTTTAAAGATGACTTAACATAAATCTAGCTCCTTGGGAACTACATTTTATATTAAATATTAATCACCGCTTGAATGTACCCCAATAAATATAAGACTTAATCTGTAATCGACCCAAACAAGTAAAGCATTAATAAATAAAATTGTGATGAGGAAGAACTTCTTTTGTTATTGTTGCTGTTGAGGATAAAGCAAAAGGAAATGCTTCATGCCATGACTAATGGGTCATAGCTCCTACGGGGAATGACTTGTACAAGAATAAAGCATGTTAGACAACAAAGGAATTTCATAGTTTAATTTGACCTGAAATATTATGAATCAGGAAGGAATACATCCTCGATAGCACTTTTGATTCCAAAATTATTGCGTGAAAATTCTACAATTTTCAGTATACTTTGATGACACAATAAAGTCAAGACTTGCTTGCTTGAGACACGCATAAATTAATAAATGAGAAAAAAAAATCCATTTGTATGAATGATGTCCATAAAAAGTAGTTCCTACAAGTCTAAAGTCGTTTTAACACGGTAAGCACGTAGGAGGAAGAAAAAATGTAAATCATTCGCACAGAGAATTGCTTATAAGCACAAACAATAGAGTACAAATGTCGATGAGAATTATTTACAGCTTTCGTATGCATTTTTTTTTCAGTATAAATATAGTCAAGTGTCCATAATGAAGGTTGAGTCACAATTAAGTAGTGATTAAATTGTTTCCACCTATCCACAAAAATTGTTACCGTAAATTACCATCAATCACATTTATTTTTTTTGGAAAAAACCAAAAGTAGTAAATGTCGCGGCACAAAAAAAAATCAATAAGTAGAAAAAGAAGTAAAGACGATAAACAGCACAAGTTTTTTGGATCCCCAAAATTCATAAATCAAGGCAATAAATTTCATTGTCTTATGCTGTTTCATTACATATTTACATCTAAATGACTGTTCTATGTCGTGCTATCGTTGACTTTTGTCGTCATTCAACTAAATATATCCATACTTTATCACTTATTGACTTATTGGTATATCCGAGCAAGCTATATCAATAATAAAACTGGATTTCCAACCATAAAGTTATGATTCTATCCTAAATGGTGTGTATTATTATTAAAAATAGATTATGGCTAGAAACAGCAGTTAATTAGTCGTGACCTTAATTATTAATACACCATGTAAATCCACCTAGAGTGGTCTATTAGTGATTGAAGCGTAAATTCGCATTATCATTTTAATGAATATTATAAAGCAAGCACGAAAGTTGCTTCTTCTCTCTGTTTTGGTTCTGTTCATTTAATTTTTCTCTATCCGCTCACGACTCTCAATTTTACGTAATTTTTTTCTTTTGGTACGTAATCGCTTACTGATGAATGAATTTAATGATTGTTGCCTCTTTAACATACTTTTTTTTGTAGCATAATTAATTAATTATATTTTTCTTGATAATTTATTTCTCTGTTTCACTTCAAATGAGTAACATAACTCTACAATTGTTTAACACTTCACAATATGCAGTCTAATCGACTGGTGAAAATGTGTAATGTACTTTTCCTTTGCCTGGTAGCTGCTTAGGCAAAATTGGTCGGAACATTTTATAATCCTCTAAGAAAATAAAGATTGAAGCACTGACGGTCATCAAACCGAGGAAACAACATAGCATAAACGTAATTGAATATCTCTGAGGTGCTGTAAGTTAATTAAAGGAATGAATTTTCATCTTTTTTTCTGCAATTTCTTATGAACATTCGTAACTTACTATTATTGTGACGATCTTCTGAATATAAATCAGTGTCAACGTGCATAGCATCACCAAAATTACGTCTTACTTCTGGATAATCATATGGATAATATGGATCTTTACGTTCCGTTGAAATATCAGCTAATTTTGGATAGTCTCCATTGCCAGTTCCATCATCAGGATAAGGTTGATATTGTTCTACTGGAATTCCATACTTTTTAGCAGCTGCTTCACGTTCTGCTTGTGTTTCTGGGAAAGGACTAGGCTTCCAGTCCTTATTCCAATGACTTGCACTTCTAAAAACTAATCCTAAACTATTTTTATTTGAAATTTTAAGTGCAAATTTTGACAATTTTACTAAGCCAGCCATTTTTGAAAAACAACTAAAAATCCGCTAGAGTTCAGCACTATCGATTGCTTCTCTCACTCTTAGTTTCTTACAAAGATTTGAATTTTGTGCGGGAAATAATCCGTTGATAGCTATTACTGACTCTTATTATCTAAGAAATTAATTAAATGACAAATTGATTATATTCCAGACAACGGGAAGTCGATTGACAATTGTTTTATGCTTTGTGATTGCACAATATTTATATATTTTCTGCCTTACATGACATGCTTGGTGCATTCAACTGCACATTCCTCAAAATTACATTTCTTGCATGGAGAAAGAAGAAAAATTTATGTACAGTCAGTCAGCATTATTTTCGCAAGTCTAATTTTAATGCAGTTCTTATTCTTCAATTTTTACTGTTGTTGTTGTTGCCAATTCAATTGACAAGATTTAAGGCAGGCAGATACATTACATTTCAGCAACATTGTAAGTGACTTAAAATAATTCATTGAAGCATAAAAGGATTGGGAACTTTATGCTGCATATTTTTTGGTCTACTAATGTTTGGTCAGTATGGACGACAGAATTATAAAAACCCCTCTTTGTGACGTAGTTTTTAAACAACCTCTGATTAATAACAGTCAAAAATTATTCAAATTTTGAAAATCTGTTGGTCAAAAAATGTTTCAAATTTTAAAATTCCGTTGGACATGAAATTATTTTTAAAATGACAATTTTTTGCAGTCACGAACGCATTAGTTATTGTTCTTTGTGTGAATGTAGGAAATGCAACAATAAATGTTTATTTTAAAATAATGACGTGCGGAGATAGTCACACAAAATAAAATAAAGTAAATTAAAAGTGGGTACGGTCTCTATTGATTTTCTAGACTTCAGTGTAGTAAGATCTCTTATCAAAAGTAGTTCGTAGTAAGGCACACAATTATGAATACAAAAAAGAATAATTTATACGCGAATAAATATCGCCTAATTGGCAATGAGTTTTACAAATCATCAAAATACTTTGAAGCGTTACGATTTTACAATAAAAGCTTGTGCCACGCAACTCCAATGTCTGAAGAATTTGCATTGAGTCTTGCGAATCGATCAGCTGTTTATTTTGAAATCGAAGAATATGATGCGTGCATGGAAAACATTAAAATGGCAATTGATTTTGGATATCCGATAGATAAAGTGAAGAAGTTACATGAGAGATACGACAGATGTGCTGAGCTAATTGAGTGCTTTAAAAAGAATTCAGAAAATGATCCATGGAATTTCTTCAGACTGTCATATCCAGCAAATCAACAAATACCATACATAATTGATGGTATTGAATTAAAGGAATCAAAAAAGTACGGTCGTCACTTAATTACAACGAGACAGCTGAATGCTGGTGATATCATAGCTATCGAAAAACCATTTTACAAGTTTATTATGAACAATTCAAGATTCACGCATTGCGCAAATTGTTTAAAAAGTGAAAAATTAAACTTACTTCCGTGCCACAAATGCAATTATAGTAAGTATAACTAGATACATTTTAAAAATAAACCTTGATACTCTTGTTTTGATGCACAGCAATGTATTGTTCAAAGCAGTGCATGTCAATAGGACATCGATTTCATCAGTATGAATGTGATATTGACATGAAAATCGACCAAGATAGTTGCATCTTTCAAATGTGCCATCGTGTTGTGTTTGAGGCATTGGGGATATTTGGAAAGATTGGCAAACTCAAGGCATTTCTCGAAGCAAATTCTAAGCCTAGAACTATTTTTGATCATGTCATGTCATGCACGTCAAGCAGAGGAGACAAAGAAAAAGAAAAGAATCTTTTATTAGCCACACATTTCTTACAGCGAAATCCTATTCAGTCACAATTAGAGGAACCAATGGAAAAGCATTGTCAGCTCATGATGTCAATAACTGATAATGTTGATAACAAGAAGTTTCTTCATGACTTTATGAGACATCAAATGGGATTAATTATTACAAATTCATTTGGATTAATCGATAATTCCGAGGAAGTTGGTGCTGGGGTCTTTCCATTTGCTTCTTATTTCAATCACAGCTGTGCACCAAATGTCTATCGAATAACATATGAAGGAAAACTTATTTTCATTGTGATAAGGCCAATCGAAAAGAACCAGCAGCTGTTTGTCTGTTACCGTGAAAATTTCTTCTACACAGACCTCGACGCAAGACAGAAAGAAATTCATCATGCTTACAAATTCACGTGCAATTGCGAAGCATGCCGGAATAATTACGCAACTCTTGATAAACTACCGAGACATGATGCAAAAGTTAAAATTTCTTCGTCCAATTCCCTTCCATTAGACACAATATTAACGGAATATGAGAAAAATTGTGATTACATCAATGCTAATTACCAAAAATATCCATCGTACGAAATATGCAAATTAATTGAGAGAAATTATGACCTTTTGAGCTTTATCGTGTGTGTTGCTACATCATGTTTAAACTTTACAGCTGACGAGTGAACTGATTTTGTTGTTGTGTAAAAAAAATTGCATAAAAATGATAAAAAATTATTTTCTCACTTTTAATTTCACTATTTTGAATTACTTTCAACAATATTATATATAATGGAAATACTTAGCATATGTGTGAAAGAGAATAAATTGATGACGTCATGGTCAATGGTGATCTATGAAAGCGCATTTTTCATGCAAACAGTTTTGAAATTCTCAGTTAAATCATGTCTGACTTGATAAATTTTAAAATTCTTAAAGATACAAAACTTTCGTTAAAAAATAACTGTCAAAATAAATTTGAAAAAATAACGATAAAATAAAATTTGAAAAACAAATATACTTTCGTTAAAAAATATTTGAAAAATTAACAGTCATTATTTAACTTTAAATCGTTTCAAATTTTTTGTTCAGTTTTCATCAAATCTGTTATTTTCTTAAAAGCCATAAATCATGTAAGCATCATTGAGTCACAAAATATCAAGCAAATACATGAGATCACCAGTCAATCAGACAAAATGCGAGCAAAAGCATGCGTCAGGGAAATACGTCAACAATGAGATGTGAGAATGATCCCGGCAGTTGTTCAGCAAGTTAGTAATAATTAATCATCATAAAAATAAAATACAAATCACTTCACAATTTTTATGGAGATCATTTAAAGTGAAATTATGTACATCCAAGCTCTATTTAATAAATTATTGTGCATAATTACTCTATAAATGATATAAATTTTGCTAGTCATATCTAATGACTATTTATACCTATATCATAACATTATATTAAGTAATATGTGAATGAAATTACAATATAGGCATTAATATGTGTAAGATATATCATTTGTTGTTGATTAATTAATTTTACTTTCATTCAAAACAAAAACATATTTACAAAAATCTTTTGAAGGTCTTTTAATTAGCTTCCATCGTGCACGCTTCTTGCCTTCTTGCTTTACATGATAATAATGCCGCAATTATGAGTTTCACTTTTATACATACCCGTACGAAACATAAAAAGTGAGAAAGACATGTGTAATCTTTGTGGAGGACGTTGCAGCCACAAAGTACAAAGGCAGACAATGAACTCAAAAGGAAAGCACTAATGAACTCTGTCTGAAGGAAAAATTAAAGCAAAAAGTGTCCGAATTAAATAATTTGTTGACATCATCGCAGTCAGCCCACATTTTAGAGCAGTAGAAGATCCATATATGACAGAAACGACGAAGAAAATGAGTGTGTAAACATTGTCTCTTCTCGCCATCATTATTGTTGATTCATAAATGAAGGAAGCAATGACAAAACTTGATTTGACCAAATTTGAAAGCATCTTTTTATTTGTACGACATGATAATCATGTGCGCATATTCATTAAAATTTCATACCATGTCGCTTTTGTTTTTATCGTCGCTTTTCAGTGAAATATGGGAAGCATGTTTAATTCACTTTGTTTATAGCTGATCGTGGGATGATAATTATTTTAAAAAGGCGGAAGAAAAGATCGAGTGAAATAATGCTAATTTTTATTTTCTCGGCTTGTTGAACTTTAAAATTGTTTATTTGTTTTTAAGGTGGATTGCTCCTTGTTATTTAAGTTTAAGCTTTTAAGCTTTAAGACCATATAAATTCTGTTGAAGCCTCACAAATGTTTCTTAAAAATTTAAATCTTAAATAGCCGTTATTTCAAAACCATACAAATTCACTAAAATTTAAATCTCAAACTTTAACAGTCTACAGCAGAGTATTTTAAGGTGCATGAAAATTTCCCTAATGAAAACATTGAAAATTAATGACCAGAAAAATAAGAAATTATTCAATCAACAGAAACCGACCGCATATCCACAACATCTTTAATTGTAGTTTCTTTCTCTACAAGATGTTTTTAAAGTAAAACAGACACTTGTACTTGCACTTTTTTCCGTCTACATGATCATTTAACAAGCATTATGATGAATTGACTAAGCTATTCCATTTATGCAAGATATGAATTTTTAAAATGAAAAAAAAAAAATGAAATCAGCAGTGATTTTTCAAATTTTAGTAATCGATATTTTTTAATTGATTAGCAACGCATGAAACATTTATGTTTCATTTTCTATTTCTATAAATACTCAAAGAAGCTTCTAAGTATCATTCCAGCTTATTGCGCAATACTTGATATTTACACACTATTAAGTATATTTTGTTCTTTCCATTCTCGATCAGCAAACAAGGCATATTCACTTCATCAACTTAACTTAGTATTTAGAAGCGACAGCGGCATTAACATTTTAAATTGATGCTGGTGTTACTAACATTTTATTTTGTTTCTATAAAAGGTAATGTTGATATTATAAGCAACAACAACAATGTATATATCGTATCAAGTTGCTTTGGAAAGTGCATATAAATAGAAAGATATTAGATTTCCGCGTATCCATTATTAATTGAGATCTCAATTTTACGCTACACATTTGTCTGTCTTAATTATCGCACAACAAAAAGTCTTCTTCTTTTGTTTTTCAAGCACGGCATATCCATAATTTACCTCGAAAAAAAAGCATGTCAAGAAGTGAGGCACAAGAAGTCACTTCATTTTCATTTTCTCTAATGTTTATAGATGAATCAGCCTCGAGTAGCGGGAAACGAACGGTTCTTTAGGTATATTTTCTCTTTCTTTCATGCAATTCTATCATAGAAGCATAGCCTAGCTTGTTTAGAGCAACAACAAAATCAAAGTTCGGAGAGTGTAACAACAAAAAGGTAAAAAAAAGCCAGGCAGAGAATCGAATGGAGAGGAAAGTACATTAAAAAGTGGGTCATTATTGGAATTTTATGATAACAAAATTTTTTTTCTTATTTTTTGGGAAACAGCACTTTCGCTCTTATGTTATTTTTTTGAGGGTTTATTCGTTGATGAGGTTTATTATGTTATGAGTGGGATCTGTTATTTTGAGTGCCACTCATTGCTTTAAATTGATTTTGAATGTGACTAGGTTTCGGTTCCAATGTGAACTTGGCAATCGACCTATGAAATTATTTCAGACCCCCTATAAATCTTGTGAGTGACCTAAAAGGAGCTTTAATCATCCTGAAATCCTCTCCTCATTAAACAATACACATTATACATTAACGATCCCCATTCAGACTCAAACAGTCTATGAAATTCACTTCTTTCGCGCTATTTCATTGTCATTTGACAGTGGAAATTTCATGTGGGAAAAAAAAACTTTGTACTTAGACATTAGGACATAATTCATTCATTCCATTCACAATATAGAGGTGTGTGGATATCTATTAGATGAAAACGAAAAGGTTTCATCCCTTCGTTTGCGTGTATGACATTAAAAATCAATATTGACGAAGTTGAAAAAGATTAATATGAATGAATGTCAAGGACGATGCTGTAAAAATCCCGATGCAGATTTTTCTTTCAATAATAATTTTTTTTCTTTTTTCAGGTTCATTGACTTTTATGTCATGCTACACTTCTCTCTATCTCTCTTTTTTTGCAAAGATAATCACACTGAATTTATATAGAATGTGATGGAGATCTATAAATAGTTCTAAATGACTCACCTTAAAGCTAATACTTCGACGCCTTTAAGTCTTCGAATAATTGAGACATCCGATAGCTCCGATCCCCTGTAAGTATTGTGAAACAATGGAGATATTAATTAAAATTGGAAGTTAAATAATTATTAAAAAAGAACCGTTAAACAACAGAATCAAATTCGAATTTTTAAACTTTACGAATTGCCAAAAACTTATGAAATGATTGTCAAAGGATATAACAGAATATGACAGCACACAGCTAATGTCATCGCGAGTAATATATCTGAGTGTAGGAGTCAGTTGTTTATTTAGTTTATAGCCAAACCAGTTTGTACTTTAATGACTCTTTGAATGAGAACTGGATGTTATAGAAAAATAGTTTTATTTTTCTCACGAGCAGCAAATAGTGCTAAGGAACAGTGTAATAACATTCCTATGCTACACATATTCACTCTTTTAAAATGCAAACATGCAACAGCACAAGTCTAATCTCACAATTTGTATCATTAAAATTTGATATCATGAAAGTGTATTTTTATGTATTTAAATTAAGTATTCAAAATGTATAAAACTATCTGGTTAATCGGAATTGGAATCGACAAGAGAGAAAATAAAGAAAAAGTTCATCATAAATTAATAATAAGAGAAAATAGCACAAAGAATCGGTGACTCATTAACTTAATTTATTTAAATCCTTACCAGCAATTGAGTTTCTTAATTTGTGATAAATCTGATTGTTTGGATCTCGCAATAATCATTTCTTCTGTAAGTTTTGTCATTGTGACTTATGCTTTTAAAGATATTTTTTTGCACAAAAATACTTAAAAAAAATTTATAACAAAAAATTTCTCTTCACGACACTTGTTTTATTGACTTTTTTACACAGATGATTTATTGATTTCAAGCTTCTATCACTTCTCGTTATCTTAATTCACAAAGAACGTTCATAAAATGTTTCATTTTACGCGAAAGTCACGAACAATCTCGAGAAAATTTATTGAAATAAAAATCACTACTTTGATTTCGACTTGATAGACTGAACTCTTTGAGTAAACTGTTTTTGTTTCTCTTTATACCTTCTCTGTAAATGTGTGGTATCTATCAATTGAGCACTGCTTATTTTTAAATGCTGGAAAATCGTTGTAATCAATAAACTATTTTAATTCATCAATTACACTCTTATTTTGCGGTGATTCATTCCTTTTATACTTTTATTGTGTTATTTTATGTATGTAGCTCATGTTCTGATCATTAATTGCTAATTCCAAGCATCGATCTTGGATAAAATCGAACTTAAAATAAAGAGAGAAAAATCTCCAGAAGCAATTAAGCTTTCCAAAATTTCCAGCAGAGCGCGAAAAGCTTGATAAGAAGCAATCATTTGTTCACATTCCTTAAGTATTTGAATAATTGCGGTTACTCTTGGTTGCAATTTTCTTTGCTTTCAAGATTTTTATGCTTTATGTTTAAAATTGTAACGGAAAAAATAATTTTGAAATATTTGGGATTTGTATGGTTTTAAATAATTCATTTGTAAGGTTTTGAATAAAACATTTGTAAGGTTTTGAATAAAACATTTGTATAGATTTTGAATAAAACATTTGTATAGTTTTAATTTCAAATGTTCGTAATTACCTGAAAAAGAATTTAAACCTTAAAAAACTGAATTACGTTTGCTGGAAAATCTCCAAAAGACACAACACAAACCATAAAATACAAGATAATTCAATTTATTATTCAAAATAAATCCATTTAAAACAGTTCAACTTAGCATAAAATTCACTTAATCCTTTTTAAACGACTTCTTGAATCCCTTCTTATGACGAGATTTTCCATCCTTCTCATCTGTTTCTTTCTTCGACAAAGCTTTAAAGATTTTCCTCTTCAATTCCTTTTGCTTCTGTAATTGTTGGAATTCACCTTTCTGTCTTTCCTTAATCTTGTCAACATATTTCTTTGTGGACTGTTCCTTTTGTTTCTCTTTCTTTGCCTGATAATTAGCCTTTAACATTTTCATCATCTTGGCAATTTTCTGTTCATGCGGTGAATGCACAACAGCAACACGAGTTGCTTCAAACTTCTGTTTAGGATTAATTGGTGCATTTTTAGGTTTATCTTTATAAGGCAGAGCTTTTTGTAATGCAGCTGGGATTTTAAGAGGTCTCAAGACTTGAGCTTGTCTCACAATTGGTTTATACAAATTATCTTCATTAACTTCATTTCTTATTTCCCTTTCACGTTTCAATTGTCCTAAAGTTTTCATGCCTGTCCATTGTGATTTCGATTCAATTGGAAGCAACATATTATTAACAGGTGCATAAAACTGTGGAACATCAATTTTGAACCATGTTCTACAGAAAATAATATCACTCATTTTGATTTTATCTTCGAATGTAGCACGGAACGTTCCAGGCTCGACATTTACATGTCTTCCTGATTTTTCTTTAATAGATGAAATTCCCTTCTTTATTTGACCTCTAATTCCTGACACTGCCTTTATTTTGGCACCTGTGAATTTAGCTACTTCCAAGTCACTGTTGAACATTCCTGTTGAATAGTATAAAATTTATTATTTTTGAATTTTTGAATAATTTTTTGACAGTTATTTTCAACGGTTAAATTTAAAGTTTGCAATTACCTTTAATGAAGGCAGACTTCTGGAAGATTTTAATTGGTGTACCGACGAGCTTAAGCTTCTTCAAAATCGATGATGATTTGTCAATTTCTTTAACTGATCCAGTTGCTGCAATTCTAAAACCAATTCTCTTCATTTCTGTTATGTCATTTGTGACAGTTTGAACAGCCAAAAATCCAGTTGCTTGAGGCGTAATTGGTCCATAAAAGCTCATATGACAATTAATATGATTTGGTGTATATTTTAAGAATCGATATTTCAAATCATCTTCTCGTTTAGAATAAACAGGAACAGTTTGGAAGCGTCTCCAACCAAGTGAAATAATTAATGGATCTCCAGTTTTTAAAATCTTTCTATGCCATCGGTGCTTTTTGACTTCACAATTAACTAATCCAATATTTTCTTCAGACATGTTTAATGCACCGATCAAAATTGGATAAGAAGCATCAAAGTTCGTGACGAATTCGCATGGAATATTTTTAAAGCTTAATCTCACATAAAGACCAGCTCGAAAACCTTCAATTTCACTTCTAACGTGATCATCGAGACCTGAAAACTCTTTACGATTTAATTCAGCTTGTTTGTCTGCTTCAGCCTTCCATTTTTCATAAAATGCTTCATCATCCTCGATTCTGTGCGAGTCTTTAAGTTCTGGATTATCATATTCTGAATCGAATTTAGCTTTCAACTTCATTTTCTTTGCTATTAATTCTTTACGAGTCATATTCATTTCCTCAACACGATCTCGCTTTTTTGACACTTTTACTTCTTCTTTATTTTCATTTTCATCATCGCTTTCGTCTTTTTTAACTGTTTTTCCTTCAAACTTTTCTCCAGTTTCCAAATCCTCAAAATCACCATAAACTTCGCTATCTCCATCGCTCATGTCATCTAATGCTAATAATTGCTCAGCATCTTCATTACTTTTCCACTTTCCAGTTACAAATTTATTCACAACTAAACTCTTATTATCATCGGACAACCAATTTCTAATTCCAACATTGTCACTCTCAAAAAATGGACATTCTTCTGCATCTCTTTGCTGCTTTTCTTGATGAATTTGTGACTGAAGTTTTGATATACTTTTAAATAATCCACCAATTTTGCCATCTTCTTCTTCATTATCGGAATCAGCGTTTTTGGATGAATTTTGGTGATATTTTCCATAAACTAACTTCATTATACTTTTATTGTTTGATTGTCTCTCTAAATATGCATTTCTAGCTCTATCTGCAACTCCTTCCTTCCAGTCACTTCCAATCATTTCGTCATCATCATCATCATTGTCGATTGTGTCATCAAATCTGTCATTAAAATTAAAATAAGTTTTTAACGGTTAAGTAAAATTCAAATTTTTGGATTCAACGAAGAAAGATCAAATTTCAGAAAGTCGTTATCTTTTAACGAAGGAAGTACAAATTTCAGACAGTCGTTAACTTTTAACAAAGAAAATTCAAATTTGGAAAAGTCGTTAAAATTTAACGAAGAAAATCTAATATCAGACTCGTTATTTTTTAAAAATTAAAATCCCGTTAAAAATAAAAAAAACTTACTCATTTCCATTTCCAATTTCTTGATATTCTTCATCGGAACTGCCTACAGAACCTTCATTTTCTTCATCGTTCTCATCCTCTGGATTCCAACCGCTAGAATCGTTTAAATTGTCGTTTTCTGGCTCAGAATCCATTCCTGAATCATCATCCATTTCCTGATCGTTTTCGCTCCCACTTTCGTCTATATCCTCTTGAAAATCACCAGATTTAATAACGTCACCATCAGAAAACAGACGAAATTCTTGATTTTGAATTTGTTCATCAAATGTTTGTTTCTTCTCAATAATTTCTCTGACAAGCTTTGATTGTTCGGTATTATCTCTCGTGTGACTATGTGATCCTTGAAGTTCAATATAGACAGCATCTTTATCGTAAACAATTCCACCAACACCACTCATTGGAGCATAAAGAAGTCTTTCCTTTTCTAATAAATTTCGTTTCTTTTCTTTTGAAGCCATAGGACATGGATCAGGTAAAGCCTGCAGTTCATCAATTTTCATATCACCTAAACCAGCAATATGAACAGCATTTCCTTTCTTTAATGGAATTCCTCTAACATATCCATACAAAACGACATTTCGATCACACTTTTGATTTAAACGAATTGTTTCTTGATTTGTAATGTCTTCCATACGATCAGCAAGTATATAGCTATGCTGTCCTCGCCATGTAAGTGGTCTAAACTTCATTACGTGAATAAATCTTCCTAAATTCTTAATTTCATTACGAAGATACTCGCCATACTGTATACCAGAAAGATAGAACAATTTAGCACCTTGATAAACTTCTGTCCAAAATCGATGCTTTAAAAGCTTCTTACGTTTTTGAAGAGCTTTTATGTTCTTAATTGAATCGAGATGAGTCAGAATTCCCATAATTTTCGGCATTCCATGAACTTGTGCAATATTAAGGAACTCAAAAATCTCCATTTCGAATCCAAAACTTGCATCACACATTAATAACACTAAATCTGCACATTTTGCTAAATCAATCATCGAATTTATATCATTATTACATTCTATAAGTGTTATGCGACGTTTCTTAGACACTACTATTGTGATCGGTCCTTTAATGCTAGTCACATTCGTTCTAGTAAAGTTTCTGATCAAATTATTAATTAATGTCGATTTTCCCACTTTTGGAGGTCCAACAACGCCTATAAATAAAAGTGTTGTTAATGACACTGATTCGTGCTTGATAATATGATGTACTACCTATAACAATTGGTGGCGCTTCCTCTGTGCTGTTGTCAACAATCGGAATATGATGTTTTTTGGTCTTTAAATCCTGTTTTCTGTGAAATCGATTCTCAGCACTTCGAACGGCATTAATTGCAAATGCTTTTGGATTCTTTTGCTTATCAGTTGGTAGCTGCTTCGACTTTTTATCTTCCTTCTTTTTTGCCTTAACACCTTTTCAAAGAGAATTTAATAAATTTAATTTAATGATGATTTTAGTAATATTTCTTGCTAATCTTCAACTTACCCGAATGCCTTGCCTTGTGCGGCTTCTTTTTATCCATGAAATCATCGTCATTACCCATTATTAACTTGGGTATTTAATATTTTTATCAATTATTTTGAAATATTTATTTCCACTCACATGTGTTCACCAATACCATTGCAATTTAAACTTGTATCAATATAATTCTGACAAATTCTTTGTTTATTTTGAGTTTTTTCAACTATTTGAAGCATTTTAGGACAAATTAGATATTAATATGACCTCATAACTTCAATTAATATCATGTTTAATTCATCAATTTAAGTAAATCAACCAAAAATCGCACTATTCCAACGGATTTTGCAAATTTGAATGTCGAAGGGAAAAAGTTGTGCACTTAGAAAAAAGTGTGAGTGACAAGAAAATCCACAAAATTTCAATTTTAACTGAGAAATACCTAATGAATTAGTGCTTAATTAAATTCAAAACATCAAAAATCAAGTTATGTCGCTTTTCACAAATTTGCTGCAGAGATTCATCAATCCAGTTTCTCAACAACTCCGTTCAAAGTAATTTTGCATAAATTTTAACATCCAGAACTTATAAACAAATAATTTAAATCCATTAACAGGACATATTACTATTCCGAGAAAGCTGCAAAAGGTCCAATAGTCAAAAGATGGGGATATAAAGATAACTTAATCACATCCAGACATGGAATGTTGCCTAGAATTGATAATGGTCGTGCACTCCCAATGCCGATTTACAAGTAAGGCTTAATTGCAGCATAAAATGCATAGTATAATTACTGATAAACTTTTTTTTTCAATCTTGTAGACCCAAAAATGCATGGTGTGAGAAGCGTGCTTTGTTTGGACAGAATGATTATATCGATATTTTAGGAAATGATAATTTACATCCATCAAAAGTCCTTTATAATGTTCCATCATGGCTGAGAGGTGTTGGCGGTAATGAATTTAGCGTAATGTTAAGAAAGAAGAAGATGCTGAAGAAAACAGCATATCCAGTTGCGAGACCAACAAAATGGGCACAATTAGACAAACGCATTTCATACCTTTACAAATGGCTTAATAGAAAGACCAAGACATAAATCTCCTGCCTGTATGTATGATAGAAAAGTGAATTAAAATAGATTTTTAAAACGATACACAATAATTTATTAAATAAATACAGTAAAGTATAAAAATTGATCATCTTAAAAAGCTGGAAGCCTTGGTGGTCGAGGTATTCTTGATGGATGTTCCAGTTCGGAATTTAATTTGTTCATCGAAACGTTCCTGAGAGTGTCAAGACTCGTTAGCTTCAAATAAGGCTCATCTGACATGTTTTTGCATCCATGCACGCTCAAATTTCTAATTCTTTTACAATAAACTGCGATGTAATCAAGCGAGAAGTCAGTCAATTGATGACAACGTGAAATGTCAAGAGAAATTAGTCGCGTCAACTTCTTCGAAATAAGCTCAATGCATTTATCGTTGATATTATGACATTCTGATAGATTAACAACTTCTAAAGCTGGACAATTGATTACTAGTTCCTTAATTCCCTGAATTGATATCTGTTGGCATTTACTTAAATCAATTTCCTTTAATTCTGCCAATTTAAAGTTGTAGATTAATGACACGTCCGATACTTTATTGCAACTTCCTAATTTTAATGTTCTTAATCCCTTCAGTCTAGCTATCGAATAATTACTGCTAGCTTGTTCCTGTAAATTTATTCCCATAGCTAATTGCAGCATTGCCTTCTTCCTCATTGCATCCTCAACAATCTCTTGCTCTGCTTTCGATTTAAGTGATATCCTTATTGGATTTTGTGGACGAAGTGGTTCTGGGCAATAAATACTTCCCGAAATAATTGGGTCTGATTTTCTTTCCACTTCTGTCACTTCCTTATTAACTTCATTTAATTTTGCTTCCATTGACATGCCAGTTAATCCAGCATCGGATATCCTCTCACATAATCTCAAGTCTAATTCACGTAAAAATGTTAAATGTTTTAGAATCATTTGGACACAGACGTCATTGACATGATTAATGCAGTAACTTAGATCCAAAACTCTTAAATTTGGGATATTTTCAGCTACTTTAATTATGGCTGCTTCTGAAATGTTTAGTGCTGATAAATAAAGTTCAAGCAACACTTCATTACGTTCTTTGGCAATTCCTTCTAATATCCCGGAGCTTGTAATAGCCTCACATTCAGAAATGTCAAGAACTTCAAGGAACGGCATATTAGTAACCATCTTTATAGCTATATCTGTTAATGCACGACATCTTCTAACTTTAAGCTGCTTCAAGTTCCTTAAAGTATCACAAATATGGATTAATGCTAAGTCTGTCAATCGAACTGTCAATGACAGATCTAAAACTTGTAAATTCTGTTGTGCTGTAACGAGGCCTATTATTCCTTCATTTGTCAATTGATCGCATGATCTTAAATATAAGCTGCTAAGGTCTAGTTCCTCAATTTCTGCTATAGCTTGTAAAGCATTTCCATCAATTAATGTTGAATTAAAATTCAGTTCCTTAATTTTACCAGCACGCTCTCTAAAGAATTTCTGTATGAAATGGGATGTAAGGACTGTTTTGGAACCAGTCAGTTCCTCGTCATGATTTCCTGGATAATATTTTTTAAATAATCCTTTATGAAATGAAATTGTATTATGGCTTAAATCAAGTGATGATAAATTAGGCATAACTGATGTGATACGATTAAATAAAAGATCAGTTAAGTGTCGATTTTCAGGCAGAGAAAGTTGTGTAACATTTTCCAACACGATATTCATGTCGCTAAAAAGCCGTCCACTGATGAACAAGTCGCTACATTTCCTTATTTTTAAATATGTCAAATTCTTCGTCTCTGACAGAATCGATGACAATTTTTTCTCTGAAATGTCACAGGATATGATTGATAAGCTGTAAATATCATCTCCATATTTCTGAAAGAATCGTCCACAATCGTTAAATTCCACTTCTGTAAATTGGACATTCGGGAAGCATCTAAAACTTTTAAGGAACTCTCTAGCAGGTGTAAAATGGTCGCTAAATGTGATTTTACAAAAGTTGATTTTGGTATCATCAATAAATCGATAATGTTCACTTGCTTCCAAGAATCTTTTACATGCCAAACTCGCATAATGACGATCAATTGGATGTAAGTATTGAAATATTTTCACGATAATCTGAAATGACGCATTAAAAATAGTGTATTAGTATCGTTTATAATTGAGCGTATGCTTTGCGATTAGATCAGCAAGGTGATGTAACAAATCGTCTACTATACATGCTTATAAAGCAACAGATTTATAAGTTAACATAGCTTAAAATTTAACGGTTTTAGGAATTTGAATAAAAACCATACAAATTCTTAATGTATTTCAAAACATTTGTACTGTTCTGAAAGTAATTCCAAAATTTAACGCATTTTAAAAAATTTAAATTTGAAAACCCTACAAATTATACTGCAGCTTCAAATCATTTGTAAGGTTTTTAAACGCGTATTTTCAACCTGATACATTTTAAAGCATGAACAGCATAATGTCATATTAATTTTTCGAACTACAGAACAGGACATTATGTGTATCAGTGTTATATGAAATCGTATAAGTTGATAACCCTACAAACCCTACAAATTATATTGCTGATTCAAATCATTTGTAGGGTTTTCAAACACTTATTCACAGCCTGTACATTTTAAAGCGTGAACAGCATAATAATGAAATTCTTTCGTGTTTTTTTACGTCTCTAATATCTATGGACAAATAAAATAATTGTTCTGAATAAAACATGCCAAAAGTTGTCATAGACGCTGCTGTTAATCAAAAACAGCTGACTTGTAAAGACACAACAAACATAAATTAAAGCGTCAAAAAGTGATATTAAAGATAAGATAAAAGGAATTTAATTAATCCTTATCTATCCTCATCAAACAGTTTTTCTTTGTTACAAGAATAATTCATGCAAATTAAGTTGTGCTTAATTCATCAAATCACTCGACCCTGAAGATTTGTCTGTGCCTTAATAATAATTCTCATTTTTTCTCACTCTCAACAAGGTCACATGATGGAAACTTATTACGAATTTTTCATTTCCTTACCTCCATTGGCAGTGATTCTGCATAATTGATTCCATTATGGATAGTAACGTAATCATTAGCCATGCTGCTTAATTAATGAGTCCTTTACGCGATAATAAGGAAAATTTTTAAAAATCTTTTCACATTTATGAGCCAAATACTATTTTTTCTCAGTTGCCTTCTGCCTTTACTCAATTGCTTACTGCTGCATCAATTAAGTCGTATTCACGTCTATCGTGCACGAATGAATGAAAAGAACTAAATTCGTATGTATTGGATATGACCTGCACTTGTATTAGTTTAATTCTCACTTATCGATTTGTTGTTGCAGGTGTTCTCAAGTATTTTGGGACATTCCGTACACCTGCTAGTTAATTCCTCGCATATTTTTATTTTACTGGATCTTTTTCTCACCGGATCTTATTAAAACATCTAGAGAATTAAAATTTATCGCATCATATAGTTTTAGAAGGACTGTGTTATTGTTTTTTTTTTGCCAGAAAGTGTAAATTAGTAGTTTTATAGCATTCCACTTGTGAGAATAGAGTTAATTATAGTGAAAAGTACAACATAAGACTAATAAAAGTTCATGACAAACAACACTTCTTGTAGTTCCTCAAATGTATACTAAATAATGTAGAATTTATTGCTTTGACATCCAACTCATCACATCACTTAATACACACAATCAATCAATAATACGGAATTGCCATTAGTAACAGACGAAATAAATATTGACTTTCTATATTATAATTATGAGGAGGTAAAGTATATCATTCAGTCTGAAAAATACAGCTTTATTAACCGGAATTTCCTACTTTTTGTCAGGCATCAACAACAATTGATACTTTAATATGAAACGGAATTTGCTGAAACTTACTAAATTGTTAATATTATCAATATTAGCTTTAATTATCGTTATCTTATTTCTAAAGTCGTTATCTTCAACCTCATTCACAAAGGATTTATTTCCATCCATACAAAAACCTCAACAGCATGAACATCCAAGAGTCGGTCGATTCTTTGGCAGAAATAGGAATTTAGAGAATAAGAAAATTGATTGGCATGATTATGAAGCCATTAAGAAGGAAGAAAGTCGTACAGGAACCGGCGAGCATGGAAATTCAGAAACATTAGATCCAAAAGAGAATGAGCTAAAAGATAAGCTTTATCGACAAAATGGATTCAATGCATTACTAAGTGATAAAATATCACTCAACAGAAGTGTACCTGATATACGACATACTGGATGTAGAGACAAGCTATATTTAAGTGAATTGCCATCTGTTAGTGTAATAGTTCCATTCTACAACGAACATTGGTCCACATTATTACGGACAGTTTACTCAGTATTGAATCGAAGTCCTAGTGACTTGCTAGCTGAAATAATTTTAGTTGACGATTGCTCACAAAAGCAATTTTTAAAGAAGACACTAGATGATTATATAGAAGAGAATTTACCCAAAGTCAAAATCATTCATTTACCAGAAAGAGGTGGATTGATAACAGCTCGATTAGTGAGTATCTTTAAAATTAGCCGTTAAAGATTTATTTGAATTTTATGTCGTTCAGTAAGACAAAGTTCAGTTTCGTTAAATTCAGTTCAAAAAAATTTGAAACCGTTATTTTTTGAATTTCTGAAATCCGTTAAATTTAATGCAGAGTTGTCAGATACATCCTTTGAAATAGTGCCTCAACGGAGCATGATAGCTTTTGCCTTTGCCTAGTCATCACCTAGGTATAGGCAAGCCTAGCTAAAGGCAAAAAAGTGTGTCTAGTCAAAGGTACTGCCTAGCCAAAGGCACTACCTAGAAATAGGTTTGCCTAGCCAAAGGCAAAAAAGTGTGCCAAGTCAAAGGCAATACCTAGCCATTGGATTTGATTTAAATCGCAAAAAATCTCCCCACCCTGATTATTGTTCACTATTATGCTCAAATAAATTCAAATTAAGAAAAAAAGGTGTTTAAAATTTGAAGATTTATTCTTGCAAAGGCAGTGCCTTTGGCTAGGTATTGCCTTTGACTAGGCACACTTTTTTGACCTTTGGCTAGGCAAACCTATTTCTAGGAAGTGACTTTGTCTAGCCAGTACCTTTGACTAGACACACTTTTTTGCCTTTAGCTAGACTTGCCTATACCTAGGTGATGACTAGACAAAGGCAAAAGCTCCCATGCTCCGTTGAGGCACCTTTTCAAAGGTATCTATCTGACAACTCTGGTTTCACTTACAGGCTGGAGCAAAAGCAGCTTTTGGCGATGTGCTGATATTCTTAGATTCCCACACAGAAGCAAATGTAAACTGGCTACCTCCGCTTTTAGAGCCTATAGCAGAAGATTATAAGACATGTGTTTGTCCCTTTATTGACGTTATTGCTTTTGACACTTTTGAGTACAGGTAAAATGAATTTATTTATTTACATTTAAATTTAAGTATGTACAAAGTTCTATACATTTTGTTGCTTTTAATTTTTAAGGTTTTCAGGCATTAATTTTGCGTTCTGTCGCTTAAGTTTAATTTTAATTTGAGTTTTTGCTTTACTTGTTAATTAAATTGATTTATTCGGTGTTTTGCGATACAAGACGACTGTTGAAGTTCGCTTGCAACTTTCAGAGAAGTCCTCGATGGACGGTATTTTTGCTTCTGCATGAAGATCGGTGATCCTTTCATATCTTGTTTTATTGAGAACAATTCTCAAGAATTTGTTTTGCAGTACTTGAAGTTTTTGAAGGTGGGTTTTTGCCATGCTTCCGAATGCCTCACAACCATATGTGAATATTGGTCTGATGGCTAGCTTGTAGATGAGAAGTTTGTTTCATACGTCGAGATGTGAGTTCCTACTGATGAGGGGATAATGCTGTCTAAGTGCAGTGTGTGCCCTGTTGGTTAAGTATTCCACATGTGGCTTTAATGTCACTCTCTTGTTGATCACCATTCCCAAATATTTAGCTTCTGTCCCATTTGATGTTTTCGTTGAGGAATTTGATGTTGTTACTTGGAAGTTGCCTGGTCAATTTAATTCACAAGGAAAGCAAAAACTCAAATTAAAACTAAACTTAAGCGACAGAAGGCAAAATTAATGCCTGAAAACCTTAAAAATTAAAAGCAACAAAATGTATAGAACTTTGTACATACTTAAATATAAATGTTAATTTAAAAAAATTTCTTTTGAGTACAGAGCACAAGATGAGGGTGCAAGAGGTAAGAATAAATGTACAAATTGTTTATAGTAATTGGAATTGACATTTAATGACCTTTTTAGGTGCATTCGATTGGAAGTTTTTCTATAAACGATTGCCTCTTACAAAAGAAGATTTAAAACATCCAACTGAACCATTTCCATCGCCTGTCATGGCTGGAGGCCTGTTTGGAATCTCATCTAAGTTCTTCTGGGAATTGGGTGGTTACGATCCAGGTAAAATATTTAATTACAATCGAATCAAATGACATTCTGAGTAATTTCTAGGACTTGACATTTGGGGAGGCGAGCAGTATGAGTTGAGCTTCAAAATATGGCAATGTCATGGTAAAATGGTTGATGCACCATGCTCGAGAGTTGGTCATATATATCGAGGTATACAGTTACTTTATTATACTCAAAAAGTCACTACTAATGCAATAAATCTTTATCGCAGGTTACGCGCCATTTGATAATCCAAGAAAGGGTGATTTCCTGACAAAGAATTACAAAAGAGTAGCTGAGGTATGAATAATTAAAATAATATTTCAACAAAAGTCATTAACCGCACTTTTACACTTCATTTAGGTATGGATGGATGAGTACAAAGAATATTTATACGAGAAAAACCCAAAATATAAATCTGTTGATCCAGGGGACTTAACAGAGCAATTAAAAATAAGAGATAAACTTAAATGCAAATCATTCGATTGGTTCATGAAGGAAGTAGCATTTGATTTAATGGATAAATATCCGCCAGTAGAACCACCAAATTTTGCATCAGGTGCAATTCAGTCATTAGCAAATCCCACATTCTGTGTAGATACATTAAGTAGAGGCGAGAAGAATAAAGTAGGATTATATTACTGTGCCATGGACAAAGCAAATCCTCAAGCCACACAAAATTTCGCATTAAGTTGGCAAAGAGACATACGAATAAGGCACGGCGAACAATGTTGGGATGTATCAGAAAGTGGAAATTCTCCAGTCGTTCTCTTCGGTTGTCATGGAATGCAAGGAAATCAGTTATTCAGATATCATTTGGACACTAAAATGATTCAGCATGTCATATCCAATAGATGTTTAGATGCTAATGTTGCTAAGAAGGAAGTTTTTGTCAGTACATGTGATAACGATAATGCTAATCAGAAATGGATGTTTGGTTCTGTAAATGAGACAGCTTTAAATAACTGGATTACATCAGGATCAAAACTTGTGTCATAAAGTATTCCATTATTATTTAAAAGTTCAGGAATTAAAACCATACAAATGTTTAACGGTTATTTTTCAAATTTTGTAGAATTTGTATAGCTCTAGAAATTTTTCAAAAATGTTTTAACGGCTTTTTGTATGGAATAAAGAAGTTTTAAGACCTAGATAGCTTCCCTCAAAAATTATACGTTTGAGTAAATTGGATACTTTACAACTCGCATGATATGAGTTAATATCATAAAACGCAACACTTTAATTGCATACAATTGAAAATAATCACAGACTTAGATAGTGTATAGAACAGATTGATTAATTATATTAAAATTAAGTTCATAGCAATTAAGATACGTGGAGAGGATTGAAACATTAGCCATTTTTATATATAAATACATTCATATGCCTCTCATGTTGATTCATTATTAATAAAATAAATAAAAAGGAAAATTTGGTTCCAATTGATTGATTGCTAACTTAAAACCCTTTCAATTTCTATTCAGACTAGCTCGTCGCATAAGTGCACATATGTGTGTCATTTGTTATATCTAAAATATTATGATTCCAAGGTAGCATACTTTTGATTGTTGTCTATAGAATGAGAAATCAATACTTTTAGTTTCAGCGACAACACAAAATAAATTGTCCTGCCAAAGTGCATTTGAATTATGCATGGAAATACTACAAAATGAGACAAGGCAAAGCTGATATCGATCAAATATTCACCAATTAATTTGAGACCTCAATCAGTCGTGCTTCTGAATTCGTTACTGATTGTCAAACTTTATAATGTTAAGCATTATAATTTATCCTCAACTGCAGTTTGCTTTGCAACATAGTTAAATTAACTTCAAGAATTTGTCTCATTGCTCCAAAAAAAAAGGAAAATAAAAGTGAAATTAAAAAAAAATCAGTTCAAGTCATTGGATATAGCTCACAGTTGCTGTTGACGACCCGAAACAAACAAAAATATTCAGCTGCTTTTCTCTGTGCCTTATTCACTTTTTTAAGAAAGTTTAACAAAAATATTATTGTGACATTTTTAAAAACTAAGTCGTGCTGAAAGGTAGGTGAAGTTAATCAACCTTGTAGATATGTCTGTAGTCACGGTTCTACCGGATGCGTGTAATAAGCACATCAAGACAAATACAACACCCACGTAAGATAAGCTTTACTCATTCATTCATTCATTATTTATCCAATTACATCATCCAACTTTGCCTTATTTCTTTCATTCAATAATGCATGCTGTGTCTGTACGCACATACAGACGATCTCTTAAAAGTATGGAAAGTATTTATTCAATGACACCAACTAGTTCAAAATTCTCCGTGTTGTCTCGACGAAAGATTAATCAAAAGAATAATCGTGATCGAAATTCATCGCTTGTGCCAGCTGTTAGTGAAATTAAGCAGCGTGTTGTGTCCGCTCGAATGCTCCGAATGAAACAGTTACAAAATCAAATTGGCGAGGCACATCATCGAATTGCAGTAAGATGTTTTGATATTCTTTTAAAGGTTTTATTTCCTTGTAATTTCTAGTAGTCATAAATTGAATATTTAACCCCCCCCCCCCACTCTCCAAACCTCCCTAGTATTTTTATAATTTCTCTCTTAAATTGATGATAATTTCTTTTAACGTAAGGCTTTTGGCAACAACATTTCCCTCTTTGACATTGATTATTGGCTTAAAAAATAGAAGCAAATAGAAGTTTCTGCTTGTTTGACCATTTCTGGATGTTTACTGGATCTTTTTTGGAAGATTTTAAGAAAACATTTGTTTTGAGCATTCTACATGATAATTTGTGAAAAGTCGAGGTTGAATATAATAAAAGATTTGTTTAAAATGCTTTATAATGCTTAATTAATGTAGATTTATCTGAATTTGACAATTTTCATTTGGTTTGTTTTGATTTAAAAATGCTTCGTTAAGTTTTTTGAATTCCAAAAGTCCGTTGAAGTTTTAAAATTTAAAATTCAGTTAAAAATTTATATAAATTATCTGCAAAAAACTTTAAATTAAATTGTTAATAAGCCACTGCTTGAACATATATTAACTGATTCAATCTAATTTTAGGAATTGTCATCAGAAAATCGCTTACTCAAGTCGCTCCATAAACGTCAAGATTCAGCACTTTCAAAATATGAAAATTCAAATGCAGAACTGCCTCAATTACTTCATTCGCACGCGGAAGAGTTGAGAATGTGGCAAACACGTTGTCGCAACTTACAGCGACAGAATAAAGAATTGCAAGCAAAAATGAAGCAGAAAGAGACAATTTTGCTGACAATATCAGATCAAAATAAGCAGCTGCTGCTTTTAAATAAAGACAAAAATCTTCAGGAACGTGCCGGTCTTCAAGAGCGCGTGAAAATACTCGAGCAACGATGTATGGATAAAGAAAATGAAATCAAATTGCTAGCAAGGCGTCTTCAATTGGAATCAAAGGCATTCAAGTCGAATCTTACATTAGAACAGCAAAAGTATCGTGACTTAATCACAAAAATTGAAATGTCTGATTTCTTGACGGTTACCGATAAAAAAGCTACTCCACATAAAGCTAAAACTTTATATACCAAGTCACCATTAAATCGAATTGCCTCAAAATCAGCAGCAAGTCTTTCGCATGTTAGTGACGAGAAAGTATCATCAGCAGGTACAACAACAACTTTACCGCCATGCAGCAATGAGCCAAAGAAAGTAATTGATGTAAATAAGCCGTCCGTCAATAATAATGTAAAATTAGAGATTATTGATGCATCAGAGTCAGAATTTGACTTAACTAAGAACTGTATTGACAAATCGAATAGTCTGGATGAGAATGATGAGACATCAAGTCGAGTTAAAAATGGAATGATACGTGCTCGTCAACAGCAGCAACAGCCCAACAATAAAAACACATTAGCATCGACAAAGGCGAGCACAAAGTTATCTCCATTGCACACAGAACATCCGTACAAATCGATTGATAATAAAAGCGAGAAGAAATCAATTTGTAACGATAGTGAGTTGTCAGATGATGATGAATTTCAATTTTTTAGTAATCACAATGGCACAAAAACGGTAATAATTAGTCCAATTATGATTAGAGAATCTGATGATTTGATAGGGCTGTTGACGGATTCGTTGGCTTAAAGTTTGTACCTTTGTTGTTGAATGTAGAATATGTAGAATGTTGTAAGCATTATTAATCCCTGAATTTAAAGTTGTTGAAATATAGCTCAATCGCTTTGAGTATGGCAATTAACAGAACTAAATGCTCGATAATTTGGCATCCATTTGAGATTTTTTCTCTCTTAAAAAATCTGTTGTGATTGGCTTAATTAGTCAATTTTAAAGCGATTGGAGCTCATAAATTTATTCTTGTTATTTTTTTTTGGATTGACATTTAAGAACAAGTAAATTAATAGCGTCAATTAATCATGTTATATTGTTGGATTTAATGATTCCGATTAATTTTTATTAAGTGCTTCCAATTAATTTATTTAATACATGATAATTGCAATCTAGCGAATCTCGGAGCCTTATTAAATTCAATTTTTATCAGTTTTTCACACCCCAAAAAAAAAATGATTAAAATTATATTTTCGATTATTAGACACATAATAATGCAAGAGAACTGCTTGAACACAAAATGCACATTAATGAATTGGAGGAAAAATTGAAACAAAATTCTTTGGACGATAACAGTCAAAAATCTCATCTTCAATGTCCATCATTATATCTGCCAAAAACATCAAACTCATCATCCTTATCATCGCATGACGACATAACATTAAGAAATGAAGACATGACACATTATACATTTATTGATGGTCGAGGTGACAATGAAATTGTAACAATTCAGCGTGAAATACGCGATAGCACGTTACAGCGTGAATCCATACTGGATGAATATTGTGAGACGATTTTTGATGACGAAAACAAATCTCATTACAGTGAAAATAGCATCACAAGAGTTAAGAAGATAGAATTTGCTCGAGGAGCTGCAGCCAACAAAAACAACATTAACAGCTATGGACACACAAATGGAGTCAACGGAAGCAGCTTCTGGTCAGCAAAAAACCAAAACCAATCATCATATCAAATTAACGATTACGCTAAATCAAATGGACATGCCAAAACAGGAACAGAATCAACGACAGCAGGACCGAAGGAAGGAATCGGTAAGCCTACGAAGCTTGATGACAAGAAAAAAACTCGATTGTTGGCCATTCTAAAGAATATGGATGGAAGTGTCGAAAACTGATGCCTTTAAAGTTTAAATGTCTTTTTTCTGTTCGATTGTAAATTTCTGTAAAATAAATAATGTAATTAGACTTGAATGAGACACAATTGAATTGATTTTTTTAAATGTTTTAATTCTTCATTTTTCATCCTTCTTGAAATAACGAAATAATAATAATTTAATGTAAATACATTATTCACTTTCATAGTTTTTAAATTACTTTGCAGCAACAATTATGTTTTAATTTTCTTTGAAGGGATAAACTTTTTTTTTCTTGTTTTTAAACTCTTTAAAACTATAGATTTCATTCTTTTTTCTTAATTTTCTTTAAAATCAGGGAAATGAAGTCGATTGGAATAGGCTGAAAATTGATTATTTTAAACGAATTTCTTTAATTTAAAACTTTAACGGTTTTCAAAATTTTGAATATTTTAATCGATTTTTGATGAAATTCAAATGTAAATGAGCCGTTAAAATTTTGAACTCGAGAACCTCTCAAATGTCTAGTTTAACAACAATTGTAAGGTTTTAAAGGTATTTATTTTTGAAAACCTCTCAAATGTTTGAAATTAAGTGCAATTGAAAGGTTTTCGGACACTTCGAATGATATTTTTAAATACAATTTCATTATCACAGAAACTGTACAGTAATTAAGTAACATGACTCATCCAATTTCTAGCCAAATCAACTTCATTTCCCGACCAATTGATTCATTACGAGAAAAATAGAGCAAAAGAAATGAAGGAAATTCATTTTTGATGTATCTGTGTAAGTGTGTGTGTGTGTATTTGTGGTTTAATTTTCTTTGTATTGTTTTATTCTTTTTCCATAAACCTTAATTGGGAGTAAAAGAGGCGTTAGGCATTCATAAAACTTTTTCACAGTTTTTTATACTTTTTTTTATTATAAATAGCATTTTTTTTTTCATTTTAAATCAATATTTACGCTTAACAATTAATGCAATTTTATTTTCATCATCTTTTTTTTACTTGATTCATTTTCTAAAGTATTTTATTTCAGAGCTTCGTGATAGTTTCGAATAAGATTTCATGGTGAATTGTTTCAAGAAGTTCGCAATTGTACGAATAAACTACGTCTAGAACATGAGTACTCAGTATCGTAATAACAAATTAAAATAATTAGTGAGAACTATGCTATTGAATTAATGTTTTTAAAGTTTCACAACCGCTAATAAAGATCATTATTTAAATCAATTCTTATTAAGTTTTTCCAACGAAATTAAATGATATCATTAAATGGTAATATAAAATTAAAAATTATATAAAGATTTCTTATAAAGCAAAATTATATAGGATTACGCTTTTCAGGTGTGCTCTGAGGTTCTGTGAAAAATATTATCAAGTGAAACGTGAGGAAAAATTATAGCTTAATGTTTGTTCATACAATGAGAATTAAAATATAACGGCTTTTTTGAATTCAAAAAATTCAAACTTTTGTTTTGTTAAGTTCAACGAAATGAACTTTTTGATCATTCAAACTCATTTAAACTGTTAATAATCTTCTGTTAAAACAAATTAATATGGATGTTAACTAGCTTAAAACAAATATTAATTTCCTGTTAATTCGTATACCTAAAATCATAATTAATCTTCAAAACCATACACATTTTGAACAAAAAATTCAATTTAATGACCGCAAAGAATTGACATGATTTCCATCAAAAATAATCTGATTTACAGTGCATTAGTCTCGCGGTTCATAAGCTAACCTTCAATTTAAACGTTTTCAAAATCTTAATCTGTGCACGAAATGTTTGTCATTGCACAAAAATCCTCACGTGTCTTCTGGTTCAATAATTTCTTGAATTTCACACACACAACACCTGCGTCATTGAAACATATGATTCATAGCTTTAAATACAACATACTTGTATCAAGTTATAGGCTTATGAACTCCAACTTAAAAATGAATCACATTTGTATCGATTCTTCATTAAATTCACCATGAAATTCTACTCGAAATATATCCTAGTAACATTCAGCTACACATCCTTCAAAATGTTAAACTGTCTTTTTCTGTCTGTATATATATTATTCATTAATTTTTTTCTTGTTATTAAAGTATATTTTTTTTTATTTTTTCATCAACAACGAAAAAAAGATGAGAAAAAAATTCATCACAACTGAAGTATATAAAAAATTATATAGAGCTTGTAATGCACTACAAATTTCACATTTTAGAAAGGATTTACGGATGTCGAATCTACTCTTGCACTTAGATCCTTTTGAGGACGTTTCTAATAATTAACTATTGTGTATCTAAGAGAGAATGACAAGAACTGGCATGATTCTGTGTCTAAATCAACAACAATGCTGCTTGAACTATTTTTTTTAAAGAATAAATAATGACAGTAAAGCACATCCTCAAAATTAAAGAGCAACAGTCGAATCCGTACATCGATTAAATCCTCCTTCCTGCTTATTATTTTTTTGGTTTCTCTAAACTTTCTTCACATTTCTACAGGAAAAAAGGAAACAATAAAAAGTTATTTGCAGCTAAAAAGGCGTTTTTGTTGTTATGTTCATATCCATCCACAAATTCGCTCTTATAATCCTTATGATTTTCATGTTTTTTTGCTTTATCTGAATCAAGAATTGTTATTTTTTTTCATTTAATATAATTTATAGATTTTTATTTCCCCTACAAACTAAAATTGACGTTAAATTGGTTGTGTATCTACTGAAGTTGACACAAGGACCCGATCTTTCATCGCCAAATCATTATTATTGTTTAGCATACTAGTCGCAGAATCACTAATTAACGGCTGCTTCACAATCACAGTGCCATCATCGATTTGACTATTATGAATATTTAGGCCACCATCCAATGGTGTATTTATTGATGTTGAATTTGTTGTTGTTGTTATCCCACCGATGCTACGCAATGGGGATGATGATGAGATAATTGCCTGCGTCACTGTATTGCTATTTAAATTACAATTAGAATTACAACTAGACGATGAATTATTATTGCTGGCCACACTGCACGATGTTGTTGTTACATCGTCTGACAAATGAAGTGCCTGCTCTAAATCAGCCAGCACTTCCATCTCTTTGGGTTCAATCAAATTAAAGCGTCTAGAGAATTTAAAAAAAAAAAAACGAAATAAGAAAAGAATGCCATAAATCATTAGCGATTAATGAGCTATAGTTGCCAATAAAATGCACTCATACCTTTGCAGGGCTACAAGCAAGGCATACGTTGAATTTAAATGCGGATGCAGTCCAAGCAGAGCAATTTCACGAAAATGTGCTGCAATAAGAGAAGATTTCGAAATTAATTATAATGCAATTAGCTAAGATATAAAATTAGAATTTATTATTAATGTTTTTTTGTTATGCCTACCTGCATACATATGCGCAATAACATGAAATAATAAGCGCAACATTTTCCTCACGTGTGACTCAAAGCCAGATGGAAATTCTGAGAATTAAATGCAATAAAAAATATAAACATTACAATGCTTGTTGATAAGAACATGACTGACTTGTTTCAAGAAGCATTAAAATATAAATTTGCTCAACTCACCTTTTGCATATTTGGTGGGAAAGTATGACTCATCACTGATAGTACGTTGTGTATATGTCATTACGTAATCAATATATTGAGGTGCAGGACATCTGTTCTTTTTGCCTTTCTCATCGTACCACAGATAAGTTCTGCAATTTAAAATGATTAATTTATTTTTTGAGTTCATTATGTAATCACATTTAGAATGATTTTATGAGCTGTATGACTGCACAATAGCATTTACGATAAGATAATTTAGCTCGAGTTTAAAATGAATAATCACTGGCTGCTGATTAAGACAAATATTGGATAAAGATTCATAAATCATAGCAAATAAACTTTTCTCGTTAAACTTTACAAAAAAACTATTGAAAAGTTTTCAAAGAAAATATTAATTTATCGTAGGGGCTGTTCACTTATTACGTAACGCGAAAAAATGACTTCTTAGACCCCCCCCCCTCGTAACAAAATTTGTATGAAAAAAAAATTTCCTTGTTTGAATCGTAACAAAATCTTAGACCCCCCCCCTCCCTCTAAAAGCGTTACGTAATAAGTGAATGGCCCCGTACCAAAAAGTTTGGAAAGCTTGTTAAAATTCTTGACGTGGAAATAAAGCGTTCCTGGGTTGGTCACTGGTGAAATAAAGGTTTACTTATGACAATCTAGTTCTATCCATGAAAGGTTTAACCAACACTGCTTTATTTGGCGCACGCAATGTGATCATCACTTACTTTAAACCGACAAAGAAACCACCTTCAACGTTTATAACGTGCAATTTGTCAATCTTGACATTTGCTTCTCTTTAAGGAACTGACCTATTTTAATTTTATTAGTCATATATGCGCATTAAACTATAAAGTCAATAAGACTGACCCCCGACTTACAAAAATCATTCTAGAAATATAGGAACTATTGCCAAACTGTAGAAAAATAAGGTATTGAGCCAAAACTCAGCTACAACATAAAAAATTTTAGGTGAATTTATCAGATAACGAATCTAATAAAATGTCTAGGCAAGGTCATTTACTTCAAAAAGGTTCAAGATAATATTTTCATAAGAGTAAGCACCACTTGAAGATTCCCACAATCTTAAATAATGTTAATTAAGGACTTTAATAAGAAACAAAACTTCCTCCGGTCGTGAAGACAAAAAAAAAAAAACTTTCAAATTAACATCCCAAAAACAGTCATACAGCACATGAGTCATAATGCTTTGCCTTCTTTTTTTTTGCAGACAAGCTCATTAATTCAGCACAAGTATATACTTACTTTGATTGAGGTGCCGTCATATCGGGGCATCCATTTGTCGTACAATGCTCGCTTATTGTACCATAAACTAAATTTACATACTCAAATATTTGTATAGCTACAAGAAAAGGGAGATGATTTGTTTTTGTGTGTTTTAATTAAAACATTCTTTTAAGAGACATGCCAATTGATACTTACTGTAAGAAGCTAACCATTCATTATAATCTACGCCTGTTGGCAAGTCGACCATCGATCTTAAATCGGCTGGTGTGAACTTTAACAGTTCAAGTACACTTTCTTCTAAATATAATTTTGTATCACCTTGTGCCGCGTCATCGCGCTCTTTGCGGCGGGCTTTTCTGTTTTTTGATAAGGAAAAAAAGAAAAGGAAATTAAATTTATTAATAAAATTATTTAATTCTTTTTATGTTCTTGTATTTCTATCACATCGACACTTGAGAATTTTGATTATGGATATTGTATGTATTGATATTTTTTGAGTTACGGGATTGTTAAGTGGATTTGCAAATATTCATTTTTCAATTTTACGCTACTAATGCAATCTAATAATAAGTTCTAACGTAAGTAACATAAATTGATTTTTGATTATTTTTTTTCCCAATAATTTCTAATACAATTATTATCGTCGGAAAATTCCATAAAGCTTTGAAATCCCTGAGACAAGTCAATTTGTTATTATTCATATTAAGTCATTGATGCTGCATCATCGCAATTGAGCATGTTTGATTGCCGTTAGTCTATTGATCCAGAATACCTCAATAGAACAATGTTAAATGGACTATTCTAGAGCTTTACATACGTGACTATGAAAAGTAGCCATCAAAGTCTGGATTTATAAGCTAATCTTTATACTAATCTCAAATGTAAGCTTATTTAGAACTGAATAGGATTTGATTTTAATTGAGTAAGAGTATTAAGCAGTTGTAATAGATGGTTTAAAGTTCCTGAATCCAATTTGCGAGTAAACTTTTAGAAGATTTGTAAGCAAATCATTTTAAAGTGATAATTAGATAAGGATGAAGCATATAAAAATTATTAGGGTCTTTAGGTTGGGTTTGAAAGTGACGTACAATCTTAAGGTGAAGAGAGTGTCTTGAGTTTTGTAACAAGAGGAGGGGTTTAAAAACCTAGTAAATATGAACAACACCCAAGTGAGAATAAGTTAAATGAAGATACGTGTAATTAATAATCAATCAGAGATAACTGAATACATACATCAAAAAAATCTAAATCCCAAAAAAATTGTGACCCAAAAAAGCACGCAATAAATTTAAAAAATGAAATTTCGCCAACGCAATTCAAGAAAATCTAATCTTTGTAAACACGTAATACGTATTAGATAACGTTGTAGTAAGTTTAAGGTTTAAATAATATTCACAGTAAAGCATTTATTTGTTTTGATAAAAATAACTTAAATCGTGATTTCTATTTACAATTGCTGGGCTGTTATCAAGGATTTGCGTGTATTGAATGTGGTTTGAGAATAATTCGTCACACAAAACCACTTGAAACTCACTTGAAATTGAAATCTACAATGAATCATTTATTTCTAATTAAATGTAGTTTCAATGGTCTTAATTTGAGTAATTGATTGTGATTCCAATTTTTTAGGTTTTTATGTTGTTGTTGAGGCTTCTCATATCTCATCGTATCTTATATCAACGAACGACAATCAATAATTGATGATGACAATCAGACGCGAATTTGTAAGACTTCTCAGGCTTGCCTCTCTTATTGCGACTTATAGACGATGTTGTAAAACTAATTTATAATCATTAAGTTTGTCTAATTTTTCAGCTATCAAGCAGGAATGAAAATATTTCTGGAATTTACTGTCTCAAACAGGCATTTTGTCATGTTCTGCTGCTCTATATTTGTCAATAATTTAATCTTTTAGTTTTTATAAAAAATAATAATAATAGTGAAGCTTTTCTTGTTTATAGAACGTGACGAAAGAAAAATGTAAACAGGCAGAGATTTCATAAATATGCACTTTCTTCCTATTTCATCATAATATTCATAAATCCATCAGACACTTATTGTGTGCCTAATAATCATACGATCAATTTGAATGAATGAGGTAAAACAATCTGAAACGGAGCAGATACGGAGGCAGAGATAAAACAAAAATCGAAAGTGCTATTTTTGAGTATAAGGCATTCAACAAGTGCAGCAAATGTTGTTTTTTTTTCTTTTGTTTACTTGAACTTCACAAAAAAGGTTAAACGATTTTAGTTTCTGTATTTCAAGTTAATTTAAATGTTTTCTTTTCAGTACTTGTTAATAGGTTAGGACTGCTTGATACTTTTTAGAAGAGTTTATGAACTTCAAATTCAAATGCGTTTGGGTCGAGCTTTATTTTTTGGGGATTTCTTAATTGCTTATGTATTATTTGTATGGGTTGTCTAAAGGAGGTTCTCGAAATTTCACTTTTTTAAGTTACATAATACTTGAACGACCCCAAGCTCCACCGCTCATATTACATTTTTCATGAAAATTTGAAATGATCCAGCTTAGAACTAATTTACTTAGAAAACTATGAAATACTTAACATATTAATGTATTACACAATTGTCATGACTAATACAATCAATACAAACGTTCCACGAGCATTAAAAATATCAAATGGTGGCAAGTAGAAAAATTAATCATAAATTATATATTTTTCACCACATTAAATGATAACAAAATTAATAAGAAATAAAATAAAATTATTATTGCCAATTCGACTAATTTTCAAAAGTCTTGAAAGGTGCGAAAAATTTTGATTTAATTGCGTCAAAAATCACTTTGCAATCGCTTTAACCTTGAATTTATTGCAACAACACTTGATACACTTGAAACTTAATAGTTACTAAGTGGACATGCTTAGATACATAAAATAGATCTCAAGTTGAGACGTGAGAGTATTAATGAGAATAATAACTGGAAATGTCAAAGTAATACAGGATAAATAGTAAAACAGCATGAGAGAATTCACTAGATTTCCTTATTCACTCAAAGCAAATTGTCATCAATTAAAGTGAAGCCACAAGCCAACTCATAATCAATTAATTAATTAAGAATAAAAAAATAGTAATTTCTACTAATTAGTCATTTTCATTCATCGTCACAGACTTTGTTTTTTCCCTCTTTATAAATAAATAAAGCTTGGCTGAGGAATGAATGGAAACTTTTTTTGTGCACTTTATTCTGTACAGTACCAGTGGCGAAGCCAGAAATTTCTTTAGACTGTCTTTTCTCAAATAACCATAGCAAATTGAAAGTTTTCGACTCGAACCCCTCGACTACACTCCTGTGCAGCTTTAAAAATCACAAAAAAAGTAATGTGGTTGGCGACGTTAAGCAAAGCACAAAAAAATCAATTTAAATTCATTGTTTTATTTCAGTAGATTGGAAACAGAACATTCTTGGATGTATTAATATGGCATTCAAAATTTAATTACAACAAAAACAGAATATAAAGACACGATGACAAGTCAATGAGACACACAAATAAAATTAACTAATTCTTCTTCATATGAAAATAAAGAAAATCTTACATGGGACAAAAGACGATCGTCACAGATTGATGTGCATAACGTATTAAGTCATTGAGTGCATCACCAAAGCGACTCGGTAATGTGCCTACGTGCATTGTTATAATTAATTTAGAGCCACTAATAATGAGAGTGGCTCCCAAGTGCTCATTAGAATCAATTAAACCACTTGATTTTTTTTTCGTTTTTGAATTCTTCTTGAAGCTTATGGACGTAATTAAAAATTATTTGATAAACAATGAGTCACCCAATCAATGGTATTAATATTGTTAGTTTTATATGATACGGTGATGTGCTGAGTATTATTATTTTTTGGGGTGGGAGTCTCATGAGGAGGAGAAGCAAGAAAGGAGGTACAACAGTAAAATAATATCAATACGATATTTACACTTTATTAAAATTCCATCGCACATTGGTCTGTCTAAAATTGGCCAATGTCGAAAATGCCTTAAATAAACACTGATCACACATTAAAATCATTTGTCTAAATAAAATTATATTTTTTGATTTTTTTCCGCACACAGTCAGTCAGCACTTAATGGAAACAATGTTTCTTATTTTATGTTTTTTGAAAATAATTAAACCACATAAAAAATCAGGCTTGAATAATGTCTACTAGAGTAACCGGAAGTGATTTTACTTCACTACATAATTTATTTACAAAAATAAACGCAAATGTTTGTAATCTGATTCGCAATTTTTTAACACGATTTTTTTTTCTGTTCGATTGATTTTTTTTTTGTTCAAATTTCCTTATTTTAAATATTTTTTGACTCGAACGATTCAAGAAAAAAAAAAGTCGAAGAGCCGAAAATATTCGCGAAATGACATGAACAGCAAACTTAACCAAACTGAAGGAATTGAGCAAAGAAAAGAAACAAACACACCAGTTTAATAATTGTAAAAATTCCCTCTTTTCTGACGCATATACCGCATATATTCCATATATATCGCATTACACACATATGAGATATTTCTCTACACATTTATGTAGCAAAATAATACATTTAACTAAATTTTGTTATCAGGTGTCGCAGCATTGTATTAGTAGCCACACAATAAATATTATGCTGGGCTTATTAAATTCACCCTCACTCATATATTCACTTTACTTTATATTTTTGCGCTATAAACGCTATTGCGATAAGATTTTGATGTTAATGTAATGTAATTTTATCTTTTATTCTCTCTCTTATGTCTTATTGAATGTATATGCAACATAGATACAAAGCTCAGCAAGTGGAAAATGAGGTCACTTCTGTTGAGATAAAAATGTACATTTTCGGTAGAAACGGGAAGACATGCATGAGATAATGTCGAAGCTTTAAGTTTCGTTCTATATTTTATTATTTTATATAAACATCAATTTGTCTTTAAATGAATTCTGTTTGTTCCATTAATTAGCACATATGCTTTTAACACTATCTAATTCAATTTGAATTAAGAATTGAAACTTTATCACGTCGTAGTTTGTCATCACATTGTTATCTAGCTAATCTCCCGAGATTTACTCACGTACCGAATTCCTCTAAGCTTGGCTCTTTATTCTACATTTCTTTTTTTGCGTATTTTCCTTTCTATAAAATTTCTCATCAAGTTTCAATGACATTCAACTAGCATTTAGTGGATGAGTTGGATGAGTTTCTACTTAGTCATTCCTATTTAAACAACTCATCATTACCAGATAAATTGTGAAAGTTTAATCCCAACTGAATTGCTTCTTTCCATTTCAAGTTTTTTACGAAAGATTCTCGAGAAATTTTTTCGCAACTGCTAAGTTGGAAAATTTAATGATTCAG